CAATTGCAAATGTGCGAGGTCTTCATCTTCATTATGACGTGGTCGGACAATCCGGCCCATGGATTGCATTCATGCCGGGTGGTCGAAAAGCAGGGCACGAAATCCAGTCTCTGGCGAAGAAGATCGCTAGTACAGGCTACCGAGTACTGCTTCATGACAGGCGGAATTGCGGTGCATCCGATGTGATGATCGAGGGCGATCAGCCCGAATACGAAATCTGGGCTGATGATCTTTATGAATTGTTGAAACAACTCGATGCATTTCCGGTAATCATTGGTGGTTCATCATCGGGTTCTCGGACAGCATTGATTCTAGCACTCAAACATCCCGAGTTGATCCGTGCATTACTGCTTATGCGTGTCACAGGTGGTTCCTTTGGTTGTACATTATTAGCAGAAGAGTATTACGGCAAATTCATCAGAATCGCAGAACAGAATGGCATGGCTGCGATTTGTGAAACCGATCACTTTGCAGCGTGTATCATGGCACGACCTGTTAATCGTGAACGACTGATGTCGATGGACACTGCCCATTTTATTTCAGTGATGAAGAACTGGAGCCGCTATTTCATCAATGGTATCGATCAACCAGTTCTTGGCGCAGATGAAGATCAACTTCGATCACTTCGAATACCCACGTTCATCATTCCAGGAAATGACAAGACTCACCCTCGCGATGTGGGCGAAAAATTGCATCAACTTCTTCCATGTAGCAAAGTATCTATTGTCATTGATGAGCAATTAGATGTTGATTATGCGCCTTCCGAAGATTGGGTAGCGCAATATGACATTTTGGCAGAACGTTTTACAAATTTTATCGTACGAAACACGTAACTCTTACACAAGCATCGCTTAAAGTATTTCTGCATTGTTGCAACTTTGTACAGCTTGATTGGAATCAGAAGAGGCAATAATCGTAATCGAACCAAACAGCTATGAAAACAAAATAATATCGACGAACAATCAACCAAGCCATTTCAAACATTTTCTCTCTCAGCAATTTCAATTTTCACTGTATATTTTGTGTGAATAAGTTTAAAACCAAAACACATGTCAAATAGATTTCGTCAATCTGAATTTCACCATTGAATAATTAAAAACTTCGAATGTGCAAACGGCATCGAAAAATGGCCGCTGTTGCCTACTGGCTACTAAAAGAATGAAAGTTTTATAGGCATGGTGGAACTTTATCTCCTTGTAGTAGGAAAGGAGACTTCCATCGCGCGACTTTAAGCAAGCTCATTTTAATAAATGATTTCGCCAATGATACGCTTTCTTTCTTTTCTTGATATGTCATCTTCTCCTCTGCATATCTTGTTTTCACCTCTGTTGATTTCTGATGTGCCATCTCCTTGTTCCCATCGCTTGTTTTTACCTTTCTCCATCAGCTACTATCTGTTACTAATTAGTTTATCAGTTATCGCTTGTCTCCTAATACTTCGATTATGGGTGCTGGTGTGAGTGTATCAAGAAAACTATGATGTGTTTCGACCTTGCTTAAGGGTCTAATCGGATGGTTTATACAAAATATATGTAGTTGATTGATGTTCACATGATAAGGAAAGTAGATAATATGCATCCGATCTGTATAGATGTTTCTGAGAGTGAAGGAAGGTGTAGTCGGAGCCTAATTTTTATCAATTCTGGCAGTTTGTTATCTGTGTGACTGGTTGATCTATTGTACTGTTCATTGAAGGATATGGAGAATTTCGACGAAAATTTTTATGGTTTCAAAAGAAAATGAACACCTAATTGCGTAACTTCGTTAGATATGTCTTCATTAGTTTATTCGCTATTACTGTTGCTATGGACTGAATGAAATGCTGTCAGTGTCAAGTGTTAAGTTATTATTCAGATGGATCCAATGAATTTGAATATTTCTGGTCAGCTTGAAGTTTTCGTATTCTTTTCCATATTTATTGCAATTGTTAGAAGATCGAAAAAATGCATGATCATCAATTGGTATAGCTGTGGCTGTGGTTCTTCAATATATTCGCGCATCCACTCATGTCCTCACTCACACCCACACCCTAATATGTCAAAAGACAAAAATATTATTATTTATGATTTTATACGATTTACACCATACAGTTTGTTTTTCTTCAAAAATGAGTTGAAAAATTTCTAATGGAAAAAATTGTGGATTCATGAAGTTTACGTCGTTGTAGTTTGACAAATAGCCGATGATGTATTCTACGTTTTAATTTATTTAAACAATATCATTGTTATTTTGTTTGTTGAACACAGATGAATGGTTCACGGCGGATACTGATCGGTAATCAAATAAGTGTAACGTCCAAATATACGAACCGTTGAAACAGAAGAAAAATATTTTACATTTTTGGTCGTCTCCCTTAATGTTTCTCGGTACTGTTAACTGAATTGTTGTTGTTGCGTTATATGTATAAGAATCATACAATCTCATATTTTATTTAATAGACTGTTCGACTTGAATATCAGTCTAAAAGATTAGAAGATAAAAAATATCATCTACAAATCGAGAGCTCAAAAGAAGTCAACTAATAAATAACTCATCGCTGTTCATAAAATCATTTTCATGTCATAATATATAATGTTTCGAAATGAACTGGATTCAAACGTTTCACATAATTCAATTGATCTAATCTTCAGGACTTTTTACTGAACTCCCACAAAAAGCTGGTAAGAAAGATTTGCATACATTAACGATATTTTCGCTGATATCACTCAAAGACACGAAAACGATAACATACTAATTTCATGATATTGTTTCATATACTATAATACCGCACTATCTTGTTACTTTACAATCAATAGGATCAATTGCATCTTCAAGTTTATCAAATATTTCAGTGACAGATATCCAATTTGGGGTGTGGGTGCGAGTGTGGTGCTGGGTGTGAAGGGTGAGTTAATGTGTGAATAGATTAAAGAACCATAGCCACATCCACACTAACGCTTACACCCGCACCCAAACCATTTTGTCGCGAAAGCCGCCCATGACCGTAACAACTGTTCAAAGAAAAAGCTCTTTTAGATGTAAAAACACCATAACATATTGCTGAAATAACACATCAGAGTTCTTAGGTCAGCTTATGATGGTATAGTTGTTAATTTATCATGTTGCAAAAGAAGTTTTAATTTCACTTTATATCTTGTTCGATAGGAGCTTGTTTAATTTAGTATTTGTAGAAAAGAGCTAGCAAATCCCCACTTCATGTTTTTTTCCGACATTTTAGCTAGTAATAGCGACAAAAGTTTCCAATTGATGAGGGCGGCCGAGGAGTCGTACCTCTGATATCCTACCGGTCAGGTCATTATTGATTATGGTTCTCGAAATACTCGTCTATCTCTCATCGTCTTTTATTCTGTCGCACATATTATTAATATTGCCATCTATTCAAGACTTTTGCTTTAATTTTCCACAATTGTTAAGCTAATTTGTGCTAAACATTAAATAAGTTAAATCATACGTAGTGTCGTAATAGATACTTAAAAATCGTCAACCATACAGAATATCTTATTTACTTTTACACCCATTTGGAGTTTTTTAAAAGAAGTATTTTCTTCTATACTAGAAAAAAAATCGAATAAGGCTCTTATTTTTCCAACTTACAACGACTATCGAAAATATATAAAAAAAATATTGTAACTGTATGTTGTCGATAACACTTTGCTTCTTTTCTTCCCTTGCACGTGGTAACGCGTTAAAAGTACTGTTTACGAAAAGTAAAATATTTGCACAGCAAGAGAAAGTAAAAATTTCCAACTTGAAGTGTATTTATATTAACCTCCTTCACAATAACTGACCATATGTCCATATCCACAACTATGTCATTACAGTCTTGTACGACTAATAACTTAATTATTATTTGGTTAGATGCACATTTTCATATTTTTAATAAGAATACACAAAAAGTCATAATTAAACTTCAAAATATTGTCAATTGTATCAAAATATTTACTGATGCTGATGAATGTATTGGTTTTGTTCATAATATTAAAGATAAAAAAGTATTTATGATTATTTCTAATACTTTCAACCAATACTCTTCTCTTTTTCTCCATCTTATCGAAGAGATGGTTCAAATTTATTCGATGTATATTATTGGTGATCATCAAGCAAAATATGAACAATATAAAAAACTGAAAGGTGTATTTACTGAAATTGAGTATATTTTTGATTCATTGAAACACAATGTTCAACAAGGTGAGAGCAGTCTCGTATCCACTCGCACGGATTCCACCAATCTTGATAAACTTAATCCATCGTATATATATTCTAAATTAATCATAGAAATCATTTTAAAGATCCAATATGACGAAGAAGCAATGAAGATATTTACCAATTACTGGCGTGAGCAATACACTGGTTCTAGTTCACATTTGAAAAGGATTGATGAATTCGAAAGACATTATAAAGATCAATCACCCGTTTCGTGGTATATAAAAGAATTCTTCTTGTATTCATCTCTCAATAGAGCTTTAAGGTTATTAGATATCGATATGATAATTAGGATGGGATTTTTTATTCAAGATCTTTATCGAGAAATGGAACGCCTGCATTCAGAGGCTCAATATACGGACAAAATAATCGTTTATCGAGGACAAGGCTTATCAAATGCCGATTTTGAAACGATAAAAAAAGGTAAAGAGGACCTTCTCTCCTTTAATAACTTTTTATCGACAAGTGCTGATCGAGATGTAAGCTTGATATATGCAGACAGCGCTCGATCAAATCTTGATATAATAGGAGTTCTATTTCAAATGGAAGTTGATCCATCTATTTCGTCAATTCCATTTGTTCAAATAAACATCTTCGATGAAGATTGAGAGATTCTCTTTTCAATGCACACTGTTTTCCGAATTAGTGATATCCAACAAATCGACAATCAGTTATGGCAAATAAAGCTAATATTAACGAGTGACACTGATTCACAATTGGAATGTTTGGCCGACTATATTCGGAATGAAATTGAGGACGAAAATCCTTTAAACCGTTTAGCCTTATTAATGAACAAAATGGGTCATTTCGATAAAGCTAAAGAAATCTATACGACCTTGCTAGAAACTACATCTTCAGCTACAAATTATAGCAGTATTGGTTTGATATATCAATCAATGGGAAATTATTCTACCGCATTGTCTTACTATGAAAAGACGCTTGAAATTGATAAAAACTCTCTTCCATACGATCATCCATCGTTAGCCATTACATATAACAACATTGCCGGCGTTCATCAATCCATCGGAAACTATTCATTGTCACTCTCATTTTATACGAAAGCACTCGAAATTAAGCAGAAGAGTCTTCCACCAAATCATCCATCATTGGCAACTACCTACAATAATATCGGCGAAGTGTATAGTTCAATGGGCGAATACTCTAAAGCACTTTCATTCTATGAAGAAGCATTAAAGATTCAGCGAAAATACTTTCCGTATAATCATCTAGCGTTGGCTATTACGTATAACAACATTGGTTCAGTACATCGATTACTAGGAAATACTTGCATTGCAATCGAGTTCTATGATAAAACACTTGAAATCGAGCTTCATTATCTTCTACCCAATCATCCATCATTGGCTATTACTTACAACAACATTGGTCTTTTGCATAGCTCCAAAAAAAACTATCCAACTGCTCTTTCTTATTATGAAAAGGCGCTTGAAATTGGACAAAAAACCCTCCCATCGGATCATTCATCGTTAGCTTTACTCTATAATAACATTGGTGAAGTTTATGATTCAATGGAAAATCATTCAGTAGCGCTATCTTTCTATGAAAAGTCACTAGAAATTCTACAGAAATCGCTTCCACCTAATCATCCAGAATTAGCTGCTGTTTATAACAATATTGGCGAGGTATATCGATTGACAGGAAATTATTCAAGAGCATTGTTATATTATGAAAACACGTTAAAAATTGAACAAAAAGCTCTTCCATTGAATCATCCATCGTTGGCCATTACCTATACCAATATGGCTGTAGCATTAGAAGATCTTCAGCGATATAATGAGGCTATTGAACTTGCAGAACGAGCTGTTGATATTATTCGTCATACCTTTGAATCCAATCATTCAAAAACAAAAGAAATTCAAAATTACCTAGACAAACTTCGAAAAAAACTTTAATATAATATCGCACATTTTTTCTGTTTCTTTTATTCAAACAAAATTACATTAAATCAATCCAGAAGAGTATGCCATGTATAGATTTTTAACTGGATCGTCATAGTGATAAAAAGTAGACAGAGAGAGTCCTCGTGGTTTAATGGTCTCCGTTTGTCAAAAATTTTAATTTTGGTCAAAAATATTGATTTTTGAGCTTTCTCTATAGTCGAATAGTCAACATTTTCTACTTCCAGAATCGATATTATTCTGGATCTTTACGATAGATTCGATAGCTTTTTTGGTATTCTGCATACACTCACATCTACATCCGCAAGGTTTGTATCGAACACAAGCGACTTGAAAAGTAACACAGATCGTAGAGTGAGTTTGAAAAGAAAAAGGTTGAATCTAGTGCTAATTTGGCTATGTAAGAGTTCTTCATTTGATGAAGTTTTTTATGTTTTATAATACAATCGTGTTAAACTCACTTGATAGGTATCGCTTTTGTTCACCTAAAACATATCAGATGTCATAATACAGGTATTACCATTGTTGCACAAGAAAATTATTCACTTTAGTGTACAGAAGAATGCAACATTTATTACGAACAAATATTTCCAATTTACTCCTTTGACGAAATCAAAAAGCTGTGTAGTCCATGTAATGCATATTACTTTCAGTTTTTCTTGGGATCTTTCTCAAAAAACGAAAAACAAAAGTGTGATGAAAAATGTTCTTTGTCTTGTATATATTGAACATGTTTTAATTATAATTGTAAGAGAAATGTTTTTTTTTACAAAAGAAAAAGTTAATCTTTAAAACTTTTGAACGCTGATTTGTTTGCATATTCATCTTCAAATTTAACCATTTCTAATGCTAATCGATCCCGTAAACTAATTAATTTCGTATCTAAATCTGATTGTTGATTTTTAAATCTTTGTCGTTGTGCTTTAACAGCATCATTAATCGCTCGAAAATCATATAATACAGCTTGATCTTTTAAATCCGAAACAAGTTTAAGCAATGATTCAAACGCACGAACCTAAATACATCGTAAAATAATACAAAAAACAAATAAAGATCTTCAAAATTAATCCTTTCTTACCATATTATAAGCTCGTACACGCATTTCAAAATCATCAGTTGTATTTGTTAATGATCTTGGTAATTGATCTTTTATTTGATTTGATTGTGTTTCTTCAACGCGAATAAGATTAATAATTGCAATGAAATTATCTAATATCGATTGAAGATTATCTTTTGCTTGTTTATGAAAAGCAGCACCTTTAACATTTGTTGTACGAGTTCGACTATCCATCTTCAATAATCAAACAAATTAACTTTTTTCCTCTATATGTTTATTTCTAAATAAGTTTGTTCAAAGTAAAATAAAACAATAAAAGCAAAAAGCATGAATATATAGTTTAATTGAGAAAAAAAAATACAGATCTACATGAGGCACATCTACTTTCGAACAGAAAAACAGAACAAAAGAAAAACAAAAAGAAAAAGAAATCAAATGAGGTTTTTTCAATCAGAACACTGAGACATCATGATTAGAATTGTTTGTTCCATTGGTACCATTATTGTAATTATTGTCATTGTTTGTTGATGACAGAAGACTTTGTAGATTAGATGTTGATTCATTTTTACCATTATTTAAAACTATAAAATAAAATTTTATATACAAATATGATTCACTATTAGCGACCACATAAGGTACGGGGGGCAGGTTATATATTTATGTTCGACAACAGAAAAACAGACCTGAAAAGATGGAGGAAGCATTCCTGTTGGTGCTTTATTTTTTATTCGGTTATTAAATATAGAGAACAAAAGAACCGAAAAAGATTATCTTACCAGCACGTTCAAGATTAGTTGATGATGGTGCTTTTGCTTGCATTTGCTGTAAACGTCGCTCTTTTTCTTTACGCTGTGAAGAAAAAAAGAAAGCTGATTTTTATTTCATGTTGTTGTTTTTGTTTTTGTTTTACCTCTTGTCGACATTTATAAGCATTACCAAGTAAACGAAGTTCTTCACATAATGCTTCATAACGATATGCAATACGAATAGCTGGAACATTAGTTCGACGTATATCATTACCAGCTACACCAGATTCTTGATAATCTGGTCCAAGCCAATACATTTTAACCTGATTAATTCAAGAGAAAAAAAAGAAACACACGAGAATAAAGCTCAACTTTTTTTTAAAAATTTTATACTTCATGAGAAAAACCACTCATTAAAACAGAATTTCGAGCTAATTCACACATATCAACTGATGATAATTTCCAGACTTGTGCAGCAATTGAATATTCTTCCATTAAAGGTTCCTAAATAATCATCATAATTAGAAAACAATATATTGATCAAAATTAAATCAAGTTTTAAAACTGATTCTTTTTTCAATCATTCATTAGAATAACAAAACCAGGTGCAAAATAAACATGACTAGGATTTTCTCAATTAAGTTAAAAAATTCATTCTTTAATGTTAAAGTTCTGAAATTCAAGAACTAAAATGTTAACTCATCATTAGATCTTATTGATATTCTATATTATTCTATCAGATTGCTATTTTAAAAAAATTTCAGAAATGTATTATTATTATTAATGAACACCAAACGGAAGAAAAATTCTCTTGTATGCTTTTAGCACCGCAAGTCATTTAATGTATTACATTCATTCTTCAATATATATATATATATATATCAAATTCTATTCATTATTAAGTAAAAGAAAACTGTTTTTCTCATAATTCAGTATCGAGTTTGATATTCGTACTAAAAATAAATCAAACCTTGGTAAAATGGAATTGCATTGGATCATCTGTAGATAATGATACACATAAACCACGTTCAAAATATTCCAACATTGGATTACGATTATAATTAATAAATAAGGAATTATTACTTAATGGTGACATTGCAATACCAATCTGACATAAATAAAATAAATATTGTAATACAGGAGTCTAAATAAAGAAATTTTAATACACATTTAACTGATTTAAAAAAGAAAACAAATAATTTACTTTGCGTAGAAGTAAACCATGTGAAATATTTTCAGCAACCATATAAGCTGTAACTAGATGTGTAACAGCACCAGCTTCACCACAATGTGGACGAAATTGATACGTATTTAAACCACGAGCTCTGAAGAATAAAAAAAGAAAACATTCGTTAATTAAAAAAAGAAGCAAATTTCATTCTCCACCATACCTTCGAAGTTGATTTAATGAAAGAATATTTGCATACATATAAAACTAAAAGAAAAAAATAATAAATTCATGCCATAATAGAATTATTTGATTTTTTGTTTATACCAAATAATAAACGTATGGTGGATTGTCTTTCATATTCCATTCTTCTGGATGTGGCATATCAGCCGTAATAATTGGTCTTTCAGGTTTGGTTTCATCATCAACAGAATCAAAACCTGTTAAATGATGCATAAAACGAAATAAATCTGGATGTGATGATGGATCAATTGTTGCATCAAATAATGGTTGAAATAAATTTGTTAAAAATTCTTGAAAATTTTTTGCTATACCATTTGCATGATAAACATCACTAAATTGAAAAAAAAAGGAATTTCTTTTGTGTTTTGAATTCAAATATAAACATACTAAAGACGAGGTATTTGTACCATCCAACTAACATTTGCTGAATACATTGTGTTTGTAACACACCATTTAGCTAATTTATCCCATTCATCACTACTTTTACCATATATTGATAAACGAAGTTCTGCATGTTGATATTTACTATCTTCTAAATCAGACATAACTTCCTGAAACAAAAAGAAAAGAAACTTTTATATTGAATAAAATTTTAGAATTTTTACTTTTAATAAATCAGCAAAGAATACACCTTCAATATAGTTGTCAGTTTTAATAAAAATTTCTCTAAAATTATAGAAGCAAAACAATAAAAAATGTAATAGCACTTAAAATTAATCGTATACTTAACAGATGATCTTGTTGTCTTCATATTTCTCAAGAGGAGTTTAGAATCTTGAGATGTAAGGTTTCTGTAAAATTTAACTCTTCGCACATCTCATACTTTAATATATATATACACGTCACAATAAAAACACTACGTATTTCATGATTTCCAATGTGAGCAATGTTTTAACAATAACAGAGAATAAAGCTTCATTAAAACATTGTTTGAAATCATAAAATACGTACTATTTAATTGTATACTTTACATGCCTTTTTGACTATCTTGCGGTATAGGATATTACGTAGCAGCAGATTTACTAGATGGTATCTTCCCTACAGACATATTAACTAGCTACAGGATCAGCTGTATATCAAAATGTAGTCATTCTCGAGGGAATCTCTGCAGATGTCAAATCGCTTTTCGATCGAGATGATGTTCATTTGATGAATAATAGAAAAATTTAGAATAGTTGAATTTTTCAACAAAAAGCTGTAGTTCCTCTCAAATCACGTGGAAAATCGATTTTCGACTTCAAACTTTGCATGAACAAAGCTCTCAATGAGATAAGTACATCGGATATTCGAAATTTTTTTATGTATAAAAGCGAATTTTATTCATATGTTTATATCGGTAAAAAGGAAAAACTAGTTGCACAATCAACTAATTTCATTAAAAAATTTATACATGGAAAGTTTGAAGTCGGCACTCCTATCTCGAGAATGAAGATCCTGAAAACCAAATCATTCTGAATTTTCCTATTACCTTCATCGGTTAGACATATGATTAATTTCAAGTGCTACTGTTTTTTTTTTACCTTAAAGCACTTTGACCAAGTGGATTATATTTAGCATTGAAACGATCAAAACGTTGAAACGTATTTCGATCCTAAATCAAGCAAAAACAAAAATACTAATGTTGAAAAATTGATTTTGAATTTCTTACAGCATGAACACCAAGCATATCAACACTTAAATCATAAGCTGTAATTTTTAATTCATCAAATACTTCCTTTAATGTCATTACTCGTCCATCTTTTGTTTTATAAACATTCATATCACCAGATGTTTTCATTTTCTTTTTCATAAAACGTAATAAATGTTTTTGATTCATCGATGATGCTGCATGTATATGTGTATCAACTTTTCGTACATTATAAAAATCTCTATGTGGTGTTGATTTAATAGCTGCCCATTCTTTAACTTCATTAAGTAAACAATGTAATTCAAATCTAGCTTTAAGATATTGTAAACGACGGTAACAAAATGATTTTAATGGTCCATCTGTTATCATAGCTGATAAAAGTGTATAATCATCAATAAATTGATTACGATCAACAACCAGATAATCCACTGGTACCCATCCTTTTGTATCATCAGGTATATAAAGACGATAAATACCTTTTTCAGGTTTAACACAAACATCAACTGATTCAAGTACTGGTATATTAAATGCTTCTTCACGTTTAATAACTGGTGGATGAAATGGATGAGGATCGTCTATGAGCAATAAAACAAAAGAAAAATTATAAATAAATAAACTAATCAAGTTTTTGTGTGTCTTAAGGAAAAAAGAATCAAGCTTATTTAAAAAAATTCAAACACACACACAGCAAACAAAACTTCGTTAGTATAGAGTAAATGAAAAACAAGTCAAGCACCATCACCTATTTAATTTCTTTTTCCTTGTTGAATTCTTTTTTTGTTGAGATTTAAAAGAAAAATATAAAAGAAAAATTTTCAAGTACCAGAATCTATATCATTTGTTTTTTTTTGTAGATTACTATCTACTTTTGGAGATATACTATTTGATGCAAGCTGTTGTGGAATCGTGCGTGGATTTATGGATACAACAGTCGGATTGGGTAGTGCATGTCCACTAGCATTACCAGAAGTGGTTCTGAGTTTAGATTCTAAATATAAATAAGGTATCACTGCAAACATTCATACATATAAATATAGAAAAATAGATCTATATGAATAACTATCAAGACAAAAGCAATGTGATTTAAGCAAAGATAAGTGAAAATCGTATCGTATCCACACTCGCTATTAGTGATGATGAGGAAGAAGATGATGAAAAAGGTGATTGTGTTTGATCCAGACCAGTGTTTGCCCGTATTGTTGATGATGCACGACGTGATTGATCTTCTTGTTCTAAAGTTTTTGTTAAAAATTTTGCAACTGTTGTTGGAAATGATTGAAGACTGAAAATCATATATCTTGGAAAAATTAGAGAAAAAACAAAAGACATTATATTTTTGAAAATAAAAATATTTAATATTACTTTTCACGTATAACCATAGCACGAAGTAATGGTCCAACAGCATCTTCTAAATCTTCAATATGTGACATATCTTCAAAATCACCAGCAATTTTTATTCGTTGAAATACTTCACGTAAACTTGATTTATCATATATTGATGCTCTTGCTAGGGTTTGTCGATGAGTATGTTCAAATAGTTCACTTGTTGCCGGTGTTGGATGAGGTTCTTTAGCATAAGAATCTTGAGATGAATCGTTTTCAGAAGTTATTGTTACTGTACTAGTATGTTCATCATGATTTCGATCTTGAGCAACTCTATTTTTTTATGCATAAAAAGAGAAAGAAAATATCGAATAGAAATCATAAGAAGAAATATCGAACCTATGTTGTACAGCACGTTCGAGTTCATCTTGTAATGAACTAGCTATTTCAAGAGGCATTTCTGTTTCAAATGAATCGATTGCTGATGGATCATTAAAACGAACATTACGACGTTTAATAAGTTCAGCAGGTACTTCATTCAATGATGGTATTATTTCAGGATGAAGAATATGATTTGGATAAATTTGTGGTTTAGCAACTTGAAAAAAAAAACATTTATTTTTTTAAAAAAATTTATATGTATAAAAGAAAAAACAAGTAAACTCACTTTTTCCTGATCGTTGTTCATTTGTTGGTTGTGATGTATCATTAGTATGTTGAGTTTGAAGAACATTACGAGCATCATAAATAGTTTGTTGATTCCATTCATCACTAGAAGCAGATGTCTGTCGACCAAATGCTTGAACTTCTTCACTTGAATGTGTATTCATGATTATTATTTTTTGTGTATCATACAATTTATAAATATTAAGTTTTTTTTGTGCAATCTGGAAAAATATTGTACATAAGAAATGCAAACAATAAGATACACACAAGTGCGTTTTATATTAGAGAATGTGATATAGGAAAGAAGAAAATAAGAGAAAAACAACCCAATGGACTTGTCTAATACACAAGTATGGAAAGAAAAAAAAACTTTGCGCTAATATAAATACATGCTCGAGTAGCAGTTTCTCGCGCATCAACGGATGATCTTCCTTCAACGCGAACAACATGTCAAAAGACAGGAAATAATGCTCAGAGGTATACGCATTTTCTCGATTTTTCTTAATGAGACTCGTCAATTCCTAATGCATTCTTTTTCATTTTTACTTTCTTATATATACCTGAAATAAAATATGCAGATAAGCTATTGTTGATGCTAATTAGGATCATTTTTTTTCTTTTTCTCATGCGTACTTATCATTTATGACCATCTCTCAACTCAGCACATAATAATAGACAATTCGATAAAAATATCCTTAAGTACGACAATAATATACTAAAGATCAAAGTACATTTATTTCGTATTCAATTCATGATATATAACTTAGTATGATTTTGCGTATTTTTTCAAATGATAAAAATCGATGCCATAAAATAATAAAACAAAAAACAGTTGTCTTGTTTCTTTGTTTTATATATGTATATCAACACATCAAAATGACTAAGCATGAAACTAAAATCCCCATAAATGGGCAATTAAAAATAAAAGAATCGAATAAAACTATGATAGAAAGTTTCACGTTAAAGGAAAAGGACAACAAATAAAACTAAAAATCTAAAAAAAAAAAGAAAAAAAACCTAAAGGACTTGTGCGAGACATGTACATAAATATAAGGTTTTTGCACTGAATTTGTTTAAAAAAATGAATAGATAATTAGGCAATAAAATAGATAAGTGATTAAATAAGAAAAAAGTATCATTATATGTCTTTTTTGTCAATCTTTTCTTTAAGCATGATGTCTTAAAGCGATTGGTTGTTGTCGTTGTTCAACACCTTTTAACGTAAGACCAACATCTTTCCAAACATGTGTTAATGCATCAACTAATTGATCAATCATTTCACTTGTATGATAAGGTGTAGCAGCAATTCTTAAACGTTCCGTTCCTCGTTCAACAGTTGGATAATTAATCGATTGAATATAAATTGAATAACGATTAAGTAAATGATTACATAATAATGAAGCTAATGCTGCATTACCCACCTAATGTTAAAATAAAAACAGAAGAATAAATAATTTATATAAAATAAAATTTATTTTTATACATGAATTGGTATAATATGGCTTGGTGACACTATTACTGGAAGGCCAGCATCAACTAATTTTGATCGTAATTCACGAACATTTTCTTGTTGTTTACGACGTAATGCACGACCTTCGTCACTCATTGAAATCTATTGAAAATATAATGCTTTCCTCTGGAATTACATCACGCGATGCAAAGATTTTGAAATCTCTACTAGATCATATTACTGATTTAAAAATTCATCAAAATGGTTTTTCTTATGTAAATTATAGATTTTATATCAAAACAAGACATTTTTTTTCCTGAATGAATTTGAGACGTGTTAAAATATAGAAAGTTGTTGCAACTTTTATTGAAACGTAACAAAACTATTTAATTTTTTTCTCGAAGTCTCAGGTTTTTGAAAAATTCGTATTTTCAAATTTTGTTTTGAAACTTTGTGCATATCGACAACTCAACGAATATTCATTTCAAAAAAAAAGTGTGAGTATATTTTGAATAGCTTTTGATAGAAACTAGGTAGAGAGGTGAAGTTTCCATCGTTTAAAAGAGAATATGAAACTGCGTCGAACTATGTATACCAGTTTTTCTTTAAACAAGTTTTCTCAGAGTCTACCATCAAGTTTGTTAAACACAAAAGATTATCTAACGTAAAAGTTTTACGATCTCAATTTTCAGAAGTGCACTTGCATCGTTAACTGAAGATCTATAAAATCTATAACTCCTATGTTATAAGTTTTAGCCAATCATGAGTGATGTACATTTTACTGCATGCTATCGGCAGATTTTTCATTGAAAATTGACTTTTTTTTCTCATTTTTCAACGAAAAAACTCACCCTATAAACTTACTCAAAAGCCTAGATTTTTTGAAAGAATTGGTCAGAGACTCCGAGAAAACTTGTCAGAAAAATCTGATATAGACTATTCGATGCAGTTTCATTTCCTCTTTTAAACGGTGAAAATCGCATTTCTCTACTTAGTTTCTATCAAAAATTATTCAAAAAATACTCACACTTTTTCTTTTTTGAAATGGGTATTAGATTTAGCTTTCATACAAAAATTTAGAAGTTTTCAACAAAGCCTCTTTGAGATTCGATATTTACAAGGTGTAGACTTTTCATGAATATTGTAAACAAATAAAAATTCAAATCCTTTTAGAGATTTTATTAGAATATTATGTAATAACTATAAAGAAAAAAATCATTGAAATCAAAAGAAGACATGTCAAGAGATTCCCTCGTTAGCCGTTTTGTAATATTAGGAAATAATTTTTGGATAAATCATGCAAAACCCAATTGATTTCGTGTATCACTTCTAGAAATAATGGTTCATACTCTTGCAATAGACTCTATGTATCGAAAGTCTATTTTTCAAATTGTTTTTTTTTAGTCAAAAAGTCATGCAATTATGGATTTTAATGCTTCGTGGATCCGCTCTAGAAGAAACAATTAGGCGCAAAGTTTGTAAACAACATATTGCCCTTTCTAACAAGGAAAAAAGACATTATTGATGTAAATGTCACCAATATGGTCTAGTAGAGTCTCATATATTGGTAAAGACATTTAGCAAAATATATTGATGCCTAACCTCAATAGCTGCTAAAGAACTAGCTAAAACTGTTGGTGGCATTGATGTTGTAAAAATAAAGCCTGAACCATAACTTCGAATAAAATCAGTCATTGCAGCATTACCGGCAATATAACCACCAATACTTCCAAATGCTTTGCCTAAAATAAAAACAAATGTATAAATAGACATTCTATTAAAAAATGTACAAAATACATACCAAGTGTTCCTGATATAATATCCATTTTATGGAGTACCTGATCACGTTCGCCTATACCCGCTCCATTAGGACCATATAATCCAACAGCATGCACTTCATCAATAAATGTTATCGAACCATACTCATGTGCAACATCAAGCATTGCTTCCAAATCACATATTGAACCTAATTAGAAAAAAATAAAATATCACAAAAGAAAAAAACAAAACAAAATTTTATACCATCCATTGAATGAACTGTTTCAAAAGCAACAATTTTCGGTATATGACGTGGGATCTTTTTTAATAATTCTTCCAAATGATTAACATCATTATGTCGAAATACATGTTTTGGTACTTGACTATTTCTAATACCTTGTATCATTGATGCATGATTACCGCTGTCCGATAAAATATGGCACTTTGGTAATCCTTTAGCTAATGTAAATAATGTTGTATCATTAGCAACATAACATGATGTAAATATAAGTGCAGATTCTTTTTGATGAAGACGTGCTAATTGTTCTTCAAGTTTTTCATGCAAGGGACTTGTACCAGATATATTTCGTGTACCACCTGAACCAGATCCATGTGCTGTTACTGCATCACTGATAAGAATATAAAAAAAGATTCATCAATCTTATTTAAGAAAAAAAAAACTATTTCCGTTTGAATTAATACAAAAACAACTCTTTACAGTGAAATAAATGAGATTTGGAATTCATGTGTAAAGCTTGGAAGTTTTAATAAATTTTCAACGATGAATAGGCTTTTCTTTTCTTATTATTAGTTTTTCTCAATATAAAAAAAAACAGGTCGGCATGAATTGAAACAATGCATTTAAATAAAGTATTTATTTAGTCACTTACATGACTGCCTTTCTTAATTTCGGATGTTGACCTAAGCCAAGATAATCATTGCTACACCAAACAGTTATTGTACGTGATTCAGAATCCTCATTTAAAGTTTTTTTTTCTTCAGCTTGAGGAAAACAACCACTTTTACGTTGTACACGTTTAAAAATTCGATAAGAATTATCCAGTTTTTTTGCTTCAATTTTTGCATCAAAGAAAGCATCATATTCAAATGTATTTGCCACATTAATATGTGATGATGTTATTGGACGTGGAACTTTGTCAACACTTGATTTTCGATTAACTTTAATTGTATCTTGATCCATATTAACAACACGACGAAGTGCAATTGGTGTTGAGTGTAAAAATGGACATAACAGATCTTCACATTCAGCCGAAATAATGACTTTAAAAAAAAACAAAACAAACAAAAAATTTTAATTTTTTTTACTCCTTCGTTCGTCTTACTTTCACCATATGGATTTGGTTTGTTTGTATTCATTGATGTTTTAACATTTTGTATGATTGGTTTAAATTTTGATGATGAATATTGATGATTTTTTTGTTCAAGCATTTTTTCATGAACAGCCTTGATTTCATTTAAACTGAGTGGACGAGACGTTGATGATGAAACATTTGTTGATGATAAATTACCATTATGATGAATATTTGATGTTGATATTTTTCGAGCAAATTGACTAAATATTGGACATGATTCCACACCAGAATTAAGAATATTTGGAGCTGAAGCTCGAACTTGTTGTAAAGTTAAATGAGATAAAAATGGACATTTAAGAACAGGCAATGCCATGCTTTGTTTTTTTTTATATATTATATGGTTAAAATGGAGCGGATTGATATGCTTATAAGCAAACGTTAATCTATAAAATATTAAAAAAAAAAGAATGTGTTTGTGCACTTTTTATGGGAATAAATTCCAGATCGCAGGGGATTTTATCAGAAGTGAGACATGCTTTTTTTTCTATAGAAAAATATTTTTCGTTTTGTAGCATAGCCTAAGGAAGAGATTTTCAAAGTAATAATGTAAAAAAAAAAGATCTTAGTTGAAAAGAAAATAGAATTATAAAAACAAAAATATCAGAAAAAAGCTTCTGCAACACAAGAAAAGTAATAATGATCCTATTGTAAACGATATAAAATAGCGATGACAAGAAAAAGAATATTGGTGATTAAACGGTCTAAATTTAGTTTACTCATTCATGTAAAAGAATCTGTTTTTATGACTTTTCATATGTCATGACTGAACCAATATATATATATATACTTTTTTCATCAACCCTTACCTTTATTCCCTTTCTCGTTTGTATGAACTGCATAGCATATATATATATATATATCCTATTTCTAAGACTGAATAAAAAGAAAAAGACAAAAGATGTGTCGGTTTATATATGCTTCAGTGGTTAGTTTCTACAGCATCTTACGACGAAAATAGGAATAGACTAAGTGGTCCGGATGCAGCTGATAATGAATATTTCCTATTTCATAAGGGCAATGTCATACTGTTCTTTCTTTATCTCTTCTAGATAATACAAAGTAAAAAAACAGAAACCCACATACAGATGGTTGTCAACAAGATTATATATGCATTTGCATGCCATTGTGACTGGATACTCCAATATTTCTTTTTGTATTGTGCTGCTTCTATAATATATCAGAAAAATATGACTTTTAACCAATAATAGTACTCGCATAGTGCAAATAAGCTGCTACTGTTTGAATTATATATCTGATATGAAACTGAAATAATCAAATGCTTTCGTATAATGCTTCAAATAGTAAGAACGATTTTCAATAAATAAATTTGATAAAAGTAATTTCAGCAAAACATTATGAAGGCACCAGATTATTTTGGTTTCGTATAAAATATACAATCCAAACAATAACAGCTCATTAGTACCACATAAATACTATTGCTGGTAAAAAAATCATATTTTTCTAATATATTATAGAAGCAGTACGATACAAAAAAAATTGGGGTATCCAGCCAGCCAGTCTGGGCAACCCCGGTATATATATATACATATATCTATATTCCAGGCTCTGTATGTGTGAAACCAAGGTTGTCACATAAGATTCTTTATAGAATAAGACAGAACAAAGAAAAAGATAAGAAAACCGACATAACAGGAATGTAAACAAATATTTCATACAAAGAGAAAAAGTCTAATTTGTCCTTATAAATTGCAAGTAAATATAGCTGAGAAATAATACTCAAACGTGACGTACTCATACACGCAATAAATACTTTTTAAATTTTCTTGCGTACAAAAAGAAAAAAAAGGAATTAATATAACATTCATTTGAATCATCATTTCTTCTTCCATAATACCATATAAAAATCAAAATAAATTTTGTTTTTTCAATGAAAAATAATAAATAAATAATCATATCATCAAAACAAGTTAATCTAACTAACAAAATATGATTGTTACAAATGAGTATAGATTTTAAAAAGTCACTATTGGTGAATAAAAATGATCCTACACAAGAAATGATACCATAAGATAAGACATTATTGCTAAATAAACATAGAGCTAGATGTCGTTTGTTTCTGGCTGATAAACTACCAATGTAGCTTGAGCTAACATGACCGGTTAATATTATTCTCTACTAAATAAACGGAGGACGTATGAGTCGATATTTATTTTAACTTGTGCCTTTTTATTCATTCATCATCAAAACAAAAACAAACAAGAAAACAGAACCATGTCTCATCAATCAGGAATTACTGGTGAATTAAATAATAAAATCTCTAAAATATTTTGCTTATAAGAAATGTTCTTTTTTATTTAGCCAATGATGCATTACGAGAAAAATTTGCTGAAATGAAAGATGGACATATTCGAGTTGTTGTTGTTGTTATTGAAAACGGTTCGATATGATTTTATATTTATCGATATCTCTAAAGATATTTTTCCCATATAGAAAGTTTGGTAGCAAAAGGAGAACATAATGCTGAACGAACATTTAATGAAGGTTAATAAAATAAAAACAAAATCTCTTGTTTTATTTAAATTTATTCATTTAAATAATTTTCATAGATTTTGATAAAATGATACCACCATTAATTCACAAACATAGACCTGCTTATTATTTTGTTCGTCTTGATACCATTAGTGAAATAAGTGGACATAATTGGTTATTAATCGTTTACATTCCGGATGATGCTAAAGTATTTTTTTTTTATTTCAAAAATTATTAAAGCAATTGAAATTTCAATTTAGGTTCGTGAACGAATGTTATATGCATCAACAGTGGCTACACTTAAACGAGAATTTGGTTTAACATATATTACTCAAGAAATTCGAGCATCATCAGCGGTAAATATTAATACAAAAAAAGAAAACAAATGAATTTTCATTATTTAATTCGTTTAGCATGAAATGACAAGTCATTCGTTTCATCAACATGTTCGTAGTCGAGCAGCATCACCACCAAGAACAATGCGTGAAGAAGAAATGCTTGAAATAAAACAACGAGAAGTTAGTTTTATAATAATTAACAAATATACCTAGATGAAAAATCTTTTTTTTTTTATTTATATTAGGTTACGGCGGATATTAGTGTTGATTCCCGACATCAAACTTTACAAGGATTAACGTTTCCTTTGGATGAAAATGTCGTTGAAGCTTTACATTTATTTAAAAAAGAAAACGTTGATTATGTACAATTGGTAAAGAAAAAGATTCAAAATGAATTTATGAAAGAGCATAGTGCAAGAAAATTCTATCTGATTTTGTGTTTTCTTTTCAGGAGAAAAACAAATTGTAGAATGAAAAGTTTTGAAAGACGTACAGAATTCAAATGTTTTAAAAGTAAAATTAATTTTAATATGTAAAATTCCAGCTATTCATAATAACAAATTTAGAATTATTACACAAAAAGAAAATTTGATATTCATCTTTATCGATGTATATATTAGTGTCTAAAATGACATTAAGTACAATGAGCAATTTTTATAGAATAAATGGGCATGAGTAGACAATTGCAGGACCAATTTTTTTTGGTCCCGGTCCCTATAAAATGATTCACCAACATTTCCGCGCACGACGCTTTTCGGCGCTCGACACTTCCGCGCTGAATGAAGTTTGCTGTTTTTTCTATGTTAAGTTAATACATCTTCTAAAATTTTATTAAGTGTTCTGTTGGTGCGACTGCAGAGTTTTGGTGTGAGTGTTGGAATGGGACGAAGGCACCTGGAATCTTAATACCAACAACTACATCCCTACACTCAAATTGACTCCAGAAATCACATCCAAATCCAGGATCTACATAGAAGCGCACACCTGCATCAATCCACACACGCACTTCACAGCCTAAGTTCACATCCACAGTAGCACCGATACCTGGAATGCCAGAGGCATTACCTAGCATGCCAGTAGCATTACACGAGATGCTAGTAGCATCGCCCGAGTTCCTAGAGATATTACCATGGATGATAGAAGCATCAATAAGATGCTAGAGACATCATCTAGGCTGCTAAACGCATAACTTGGGATGCTGGTTATATTATATGTGATGCTAGAAGCATCACATGGAAAGCGAGGGGCATCACTTATGATGCTGCGAACAATTCAAGTGATACCTATGGTATCCGAGGTTATGCTTATAATCACCCAGGTGAGACTTCCGACACCCTAGTGATGCTTCTAGCATTCCAGGTAACATCACGAGCAACCCGCATGATGTCTCTAGCAGTTCAGATGATGCCTGTAGCATCCCGGGTGTCAGTGTCAGCACCCTAGTTTTCCGTAAAAAACAATCTGACTTTCAGAACAGATGAGGTCCATCAAATGACTTCCTCAATCAGGTGTCGATTTGAGCATAACTGCTTCAGCAGTTTCCCCTAAGGTCGGAAGAACTGTTTGAACAATTCATTTCATTTGAGCTAAATTGTCCAAAAAAGATTAGATCAGATCACATTACTTTTACAAGCAGCTCTCCCTCCAGTTTTGAAGTTTTACCGAATGGCCCTACGCACGCCCCGCACCATCACACACATTCCATGCCGGAGTTCAGACATGCAGATCTGTTAATGGAAGTTTAGAAGATGCATTAACGTAACGCAGAGAAAACAAAACTTTATTTAGCGCGAAAGTGTCGCGCGCGGTGGTGTCATGTGAGGAAATGTCGCTGCGCTGAAGTGTCGTGCGCGAAACTGTCGCGCGCAGAAATGTCATGCCACGGTAATTATCTGTCAAAAGTGTATTTTTTTCATAATAATATTATCTTCCAGTACTCAATAACAATATCGAAGGAAAACAAACTAAGATTCGTAAAAGAAGATATTCGACGTACAATGCATCAAGTGATTCTAAAATTTTATCAGAAAGTCTTTTATTTTAAAAAACTAACAAATAAAACATTGTTCGATGCAGATTGCAAATATCTACTTATTTTTCACTTAAAGTGTCTTTGGTATCTTTATGCTGACTGAATAGACATGTTAAGCAAAGAAAAAAAATTCTGTGAAAGTTTCATTGAGTTTGGAGATGTGGGTACCGACTACACTGGACACGAATTTTTAGGAAAACCCTTAGTTGACAAATCATGCATACTTTTTTCAACAGGAAAACTGTTAGAATTCAGGTTTTCATATAGAGCAATAGAATAACAGCTCTTATTAGAAAATCTGTATGATTTATTCTGCAGACGTTTCTTTGGAAAAAAAGATACTTTTTTCTAAGAGAATAGAAATTTGGTAATCTTTCGAGTCTAGAATTTTTCCAAATTCGTGAAGACCTCGAATAGTTTTTTTGTGCACTAAAAAGTCGGTCAAAATATATATTGGGAATTATTCAAATCACAAAAGCTCGGCGTAATCTATAGATCGATGTTGTATTCAGATGCTTATTGATGAACTGGAGAGAGAGATAGATCGAATTTTAACATTAGTTTCCCTTTCAATTCCATATTGGACATAATCTCAGTTTGGATGCTAACATATACATAAATATCATTGACATGTTCTAAACTAACATAATTGGATCTTTCATCCAATATCATATGTTTGTTTGCATTAACGGCAATACTCATAAGAACCGACAATAAATTGCCAATTAGAGAATAGTTCTTGAAATACTGGGGTTTGATGAAAGCCGATCATTTAAATATCAAACTATCGACAATTTTTGTTCAAATTACATTACATTGGATGCTACATGTAATAATAATAATAAAAATTCTACAGAATTTTATTGATAAAAAAAATTTATTGAATTAGAAAATAATAATAAGTTTGAAGACTTATATAGAATAATGAAGTTTACTAACATTGTATTTTGTTATTGAATCTATTAATATATTTTCATTATATTTTCTTTTAGGAAATTGATCATGAACAAGAACGTATACTTCTAGCTCATTCTGAATCACATGTAACTCCTGAACATATTCAAAAATGTTTACCAAATAATGCCGGACGATATCATATATATAGATTTAAACATAATTTTCACGAACAAACTTTAAATTCTCTATGTATGTTACGATAAATCTTCATCTATGCAAAGTGTAACATGAACTTTTTAAATTTAGTCTTTCTCTATTCTGTACCTGGCCATGGTTCAAAAATAAAACAACGTATGCTTTATGCTAGTTGTAAAGAAAGTGTTATTGATACGATTGAAAAAAAAATGGGTATTTTTTTCGATCGAAAAGTATGTTATTATTTATTAGATAGGCTTCATAATTTTGTTTTATGTTTTTATTCAAGTTGGAACTTTGTGATATAAGTGATTTAACACATGATTATCTTTTTCAACAACTTCATCCGGAATCAATAGCAAGTACAGGTAAAACGACATTTGCAAAACCAAAAGCTCCATCATCACGTGGTCCACGTCGTCTAGTCAAATCAAATGAAAATCCGGATGAATGATAAAAATCAAAATTCTCTTACACCTTCGTTTTTCTATTTATGATTAGATTTAATTTTCTTTTCTTTTCTTTTGGTCGATTTTGTGACATATACATACAATTGCTCTTTTTTTTGTAACCAATTGGCTAATTGATAAATGACTTTATTTCTTTCGACTATTCTATATGTTATTGTTATCAAATACAAAAAAAAATGTAATAATACTTAATCGTTTTGTTAATCAATATATATGACTAATATAATAAAAAAAAATATGAGTCAAATCAAGCATTTAACTTTTTAAGATAAAATTATATTACGTCTTTAAATTTTGATCATTAGTAATCAAAAAACAACAATATGAATCATTGTTATTTTTTCAAGCTTTAATATAGAATTATCGTTGATTGACTTGTTCTTTTTTTCTTTTGTTGTTTTGACAATTATTCAAAATAATAAAAAATAATTTTACTTTTTTCTCTTTTTTATTAGAAAAACTTAATTAAAAAATTTCATCTTTGTCGTAAATAGTCTGATAAGTTGATTGAATATTTGATCATTTATGTGTATGAAGACCCGTCTGTCATTTATATCGGATAAAAGAACAAAAATAATGACTGTACATTTATCATCTTACACCAGATGCAAACACTCTTGCATACAATAACAATACGAGTATTTTTGATAATTATTACAAAACTTTCTATTAAGAATATCATCGTGATCTAACAAAGAAAACGACACGTGATAGTGTCATCAAAATACTTAGCTATGACAATATTTTCTTTGTTGTCATCTCTTTCAGGGTAATTGTCATTGTTATCAAAAGACGATTATCCTCTTTAATTTTTGTGACGAAATGTACTCATTATGAGACAAGATGTACAATAGAAAAAAAGAAAAACATCTTGACTACCATATTTCGGGTTTTTTTCTCCTTTTTTTTTATTTGGTTGTATCTTCGTTCTTGCTTACTACATGCACACCAATGTTTATTACGTGAAAAGATGAAAGGGGGAGATAGTTACACACACATAGGCGTACTTGTCTCGCTCTATAGCTATAAAATAATACTGAAATATCGCACGTTTTTTATTTGTTTCGGTTTGATGATGCTACCTTTCACATTTATATCCGTTTGACAGCATTCACCATCGTTTATTTGCTCCTGTTTCTTTTTTCTATGACTAATATGTATGTAAAACTGTAATATGAATAAGAGAAGTTACAATTTTTTCTTTCTTTCTTTTTTCTTTCTTTTTAATGGAATGAATGCGTCGGCAGAGAAGTGTGTTTGTTGATGAGAAGAAGAATATTAACAAAAAAAAAAAAAAAAAAAGAAAAATAGCACTCGAAAGAGAAGAAAGTTCAGCAAATTAGTGCATGATCATTCATTTCTTGTTCTTTTTTATTTTAGCCGCCGTCAAAGCACATACGCAAACGACTGGCTTATGAACGATGTTGTTTCCATTGTCAAAACAGTATGATATACCACAATCAACTATTGATTCACAGTATGATACAACAGGTTATTCATCATCGTCATATATGACTAACTGGGGACAATCCACAGCTGAATCGGACTTTTATGCTGGTCATAATAGTGATTCAGCTACTAATCCATCATCTCGTCAATATCAATTACGTCGGCACCGTAGTAATTATTTAAATGATTCACTTTCAGATACTCCCAATGCTCAATATTTTCGACCACGACAACAACAACATCAACAGCAAGAACCAATGCATTCAACAAATAGTCCACGAAGACCTACAATAAATTTTCTTTTACCGTAAGTTAATATGTTCTTGTAGGATAAATTGTTTCTCAAGAGATTAAAAAGAATGTTGATAAATAGATTCCTTACAGATCAGATGTTTCTATTTTGCTATATTTACTTTAATGTAGAACTCTAACTGCGTACAACCAGAAAAAAACATCGTCGTTCTCTGTTGTATATATATGAATATACAGATATATATCTAAAAGAATAGAGGAAAAAAAAAATCATCGATGCATCTACTGACATATCCAAATGGGGATATTGACGTTACAGAGTTATCATAAAAGCAATCGAACAACTGTTCTTAGTAACGACAGTAAAGGACATTGTTTTCAAGAAAATTATTTCTAAAAAAAACTTTTTTTCTAGCATCATTCATATCGAATATAATATCAAAAAAAATGAGAATAATAATATATAATCTTATAAAAATGACATCAATATTTGCGTAAATGAGTTGAATAATTCTAGACCTTGTTCTCATAGTTATCTTAACCATAAAAAACAAGGACAAACGTACAAAAAAAAGGACCCGATGTTACAGTTGAGTTAGAAAACATCTAGAAAAGTGATATCAGTCTCATTCTTCTTTTTGTCGTAAGATTTCATGGAACATGCTTTTATAAATATATGATGATAATTCGCATTCTTCCTGCGATTAATTGCCTTTTGTACATGTATTTTCTTTTTTCTCAGTCTTTCTTTGTTTCTAACATCTTTCGCAGAATTACACCCACTAATATAGGTCTAGTCCTTCTTTCTATTCTGTCTATCTTTGTTTCTTGTCGCTTGTTCGTATTTTACCAAAAAAGCTGATAAGGTCATTGTTACTAGCAAGCCAAATACAATATATCTATCTCTTTATAACTATCGTACAATATAACAGCAATCGATTGTTTTCTTCTATCTTTTTTACAACAAATAAACGACATATTATAGTCAAACAATTATCAAATTTTATCATTCATGACTTCGATTAGGTATGAACATGATATACATATCATCTAACGACAATAGGTAACGAAATACTACACAATAATAGTAAAGTAAAAGTGAAATATAATCGATTTCGCCCACATATTTGATCTATTTGAACGAATATATGACATACATATAGAAAGAGAGAGAAAGTAAACTGAACAAATTGTTCTCTCTTTCCTCCTTTTTTTTTGCCGAAGAGTCAACCGAAGTAATGATGAAATCTTTCGTTGTCATCTCGATTGCGTTCATCTTACGCAAGTGTTATAAGCAAACTGAATGCTATAAACTTTTCACCTATGATGATCGATCTTCATAGTTATTCTCCTTTTCGTTTGCGTCTTTTCGTTCGTAATGCTCTTTTTCTTGCTTACAAATCAATCATGAAAAGTATCTTTTCTTATATGTCAATAGGTCTAATGCAGACTCTTCTCTTATTTCTTTTTCTCATACATATATTTTTTCATTTTACGTATGTTTCACTATATCGTTATCGTAAGCTCGGAAGAAAAACAGGACGTTCGCAATATTCGTTGACGTTTTCTCTCTCTGTCATCTGCCAAGTCTTCCCATAGTATTTGCACGTTTTTTTTTTGGCAAGATAAAGAAATTTCGAATTTGTTTTTTTTTTTCTTTCATCTATACTACGTTAAGTATCAAGGTGACAAACTATGTTCGATAATAATGATGACCATTCGTTACTTGATTTATTTTTTTCTTGATAGATAGATAACGATCAGTATGTGTATATTTTTCTGTATAAATATGTCATTTTTTTTATTCAATGCGATTATTTTTCTGAAGAATTGAAATTAATGGCATCTGGTCGAATTTCGTTTCAAACTAAATCTCGAGTTACAGCAGTAGAACGCTACAAACGACGTTATTGGGATAAACAACGCTCACGTTCTAATAATGATTTATTAGACGAGTAAGAAAAAAATAATAAAATAAATAGTATTTTTTATTAGTAGATATTAATCTTCTTATTTTTGTGCAATGTACTTGTGAAAATATTAGACATTTTTATTTGTGATTTTTATTATATGACAAATGAAAGAGAAAAGTGATAGTATATATTTTGATTAACTTGTGTGCTTTTTCTATTCCTAAATTATACCTTGATTCATAATGGTTTTTCTTCGCTCTCTCCAAAAGAAAAAGTCAGGAAAAAGAAAACGATGAACATTAATGATAACACATAATTGAAAAGAAAATTATTGTTATTCAAACTGTCTGTATTTTTTTTTTATTGATTTATAAATGCACATAAAAATATATTATTGATATATCCATGTTATACATTCAAAAGAGAGAATTGTGCATATTTGAATAATTAGGAATTTAGATTAGGAGAATAATGCTAATATTTATCTAAATTAGTTACACTTGAGCGGTTCTTTTTTTTTGTGGGTGAAAAATAAGGCAAAGCATTCTTTACTTTTTCTTTCTCCTTCACATTTTCGCTTGCGGTTTTACTTTGAGGCCAGTAAAAAAAAAAAAAGAGAGAATGCGTCGTCACGTCGCTGGTGTGCTGCTTCATCAAGTATCCTTTCGTATGTTTGCTCGCATTCGTATTTGTTGAGAGGAGTACACATATGAGAAAAGAAGTTTGAAGAAGAGAAATGTAGAAAAAAAAACCCGAAAGAATGAAAGAAAGAAAGAAAAAGAAGACGAACGAAATACGATTTTCTGTTGTTGAAATAAAAAAGCATTATCTGGACAGTTCATTTCTTCATTTCTTTTTTTTTCTTGCATCGTCGTAGTCATTTTTTCATGCACTAAACTTCATTTATGTCTACGATTATTTCAAAGATATTTTGCATTGATTACATGGACATTGACAATGACGATAAAAGTCAAATTTGTTCAAACGCATGTTCTTATTGAATAACTTTTTTCATTTCTTCGAACTTACTATCTTTCTTTTCTCTTTCTTCACATTTCACACAAAAGAACACATCTAACATATCACTTTTGTTCGTATTACAGTATCGAGTACATTAAGTTATCATAAAGAGAACAAATACGTGTAAATTAGAGAACAAGTACGAACAATGATTACCTTTCAAAATTCTGATATTGACTCAATTGGTCTCTCTGATTATTATTCACACACATTGGGTGGTAACAGGTAAAAATAAACTTTGAGTAAAAGAGAAGAGAAAATGTTCTTAAATAATATGCCTTACGGGAATAAACTAATGTTTCATCAAATGTTATAATATTATTCATTAAAAAAGAGTTTTACATTAGATGTAAAAAAATAGATTTGTTAATCACTGTATTAATCATTAACGATTTTATAAAATAGTTCAAACACATACTTGAATATTGTTTTTTTTTCGTTTTTTGCTCTACTTTATATTATTATTCATTACTGTGAATATTTTTAATGTTTTTTTTAAAGGCTAAAAAATGGAGAAACAAATGGTAATGCACGTCAACGTACACGTCATTTGAATTGGTCTAGTTTGGGTAGTCTTAATAGTTTTGGTGATTCAACAACAACTCCATCATCATCCCAAGGACATACAGGTAGTGGAGGAAGTAATGGAGGTGGTAGTGGCGGAAGTAATACTGGTGGTAGTGGTACTAGTGTTCAAAAACGTGAAACATTACATAGCCGATTTGAATTTAAACAAACATTGGGTAAAGGTACATATGGTAAAGTGAAATTGGCATTAGATAAACGTAAGAATGAACAAGTAGCGATAAAAACAATAAAAAAATCCCGTATTGAAAATCCACATGATTTGGCTAGAATTCGACGTGAAATTGATTTTATGACAAGTCTTAATCATCCATACATTATTAAAATAAAAGAAGGTATATTATAACTTTTTTTTTCTATTCAGAAAATTTTATTTATAAAAATACTCATTAATAGTTTATGAAAGTCGAGAAAAAATTATCCTTGTTATGGAATATGCAAGTGGTGGTGAATTATATGATTATCTTAATCGTATGAAGCGTATACCAGAATCTCAAGCAAGAGCAATCTTTCGACAGATTGTATCCGCTGTTCATTTTCTTCATAAAGTATATCAAACAAATCAATTATTCTTCATTAAAATTATTATTTTGTTTTTAAATCTTTTTCTAGAATCATATTGTTCATAGAGATTTGAAATTGGAAAATATTCTAATTGATCATAAAGGAGATATTAAAGTAAATAGAATAATTAAAAAAGAAAATATGAGTTTAAGCAATTATGTGTGTACTTTTTATTCGTTTTTAGTTAGCAGATTTTGGCCTAAGCAATAGTTGGTCACCTCGTCAATTACTGTATGTTATAGTTTATTTCAATGTGCAGAAATATTTGACTCTCTAGCTTTTAATCAGACATACCTTCTGTGGATCACCACTCTACGCTTCACCAGAAATCGTCTCCGGTACACCATATCGTGGTCCTGAAGTATGTATTTCATTATTTATGACTTCCTCGTAAATGAATATCTATGTTCAATATAGGTCGATTGCTGGTCATTGGGTGTTCTGCTATATACCCTTGTCTTTGGTACGATGCCATTTCAAGGTGGCGATTACAATCGATTAGTACGCAATATAACTACAGGAAATTTTATTCAACCTCGTGAACAGTCAGGTAATTAAAGTTCTTTTAAGAATAGTAAAAAATATAGATGATAGATAAAAAGAGAAATATAAATATACGTCCCAAAGGCCATTAGTTTTGTTTCGTATAAAACGGCTTTTTTTTTTTTTTAACAAAACTTTTTAAAAATCGAAAAACACCTATAGGCGCACTCGATCTCATACGTCAATGTCTTGCGGTATCACCAACAAAGCGTTTTAATATTGATAATATTACTACTCATGAATGGATCAATGTTGGCTATAATCGTTCACCTATACACAATAATCTTCCTTCAACAATGCAAAAAAATAATACTATGTTATCATCTCGTCCAACATTATCAAAAACCAATGAAACACCAAGAACAACATCAATAAAGTCAAAAATCAGATCAAAATCTATACAACCATCTGCTCTTAAATACTCTCATCCTCCTCCACCACCTCCTCCTCCTTCTTCTGGTAAACCACCTCCAGTTACTGCACCTCAACCATCATTGAAAAATGGTCGTGTACCATATTTTGGATCAAAATTGAAATCTATGACAAATGGAAATCATCAAATAAAACAATTTAATCGATTAAAAGACAATAAAACAACAAAAACTAATAAAAATGAACCACAAAAATCTAATCAATTAAATAAACGAACATATAATTATAGACCTAATGGTAGTCTATCATCGCTATCATCATCTAAACCTCCTCCAATACATACGTTGATTTATTAGAAAAAGAAAAATAATTAGAAATTGTTTTTGTTTTTGTTTTTTATTTTCTTCTTTTGTTTATTCTCTTTTATCATATTCATATTTTTCCTTTTACGAGATCTAGAAAAAAACTAATCTAATCCTATGCTTGAGCATGCTATATACACATAAGTGAATAATTGGTGATGGACTAAAAAAAAAGATAAATTTTCTATGCTTATTTTTAACTTTATTTCATTAATATCATAGGTGCTCTTTCACTTATACGATATTGCTTGACACCCGATGCTAATAATCGCGCTACAACAAAAGATATTCTTCGTCATGAATGGCTAGCAAATGGACCTATACTTTCATTAAGACTTACTTCAACAACACCAACATCTATTTCACTTGCTGATCAACAACCATATAAAGATTACGAAAAAGTTCATCTACGTTCAAGTGTACCACCATCATCCACATATAATGAAAAATCAATGTCACCAACCGCTTCACTTGTTGATCTTGAACTTCAAACAAGTTCATTTTTTGATACAACAAAAATACATGATAATAATTTATCAAAACCTACTGAACAACCACAACGACGTAATCGGATATCAGCTGTATCTGATTCAACACGTTATCATTCATCAACATCTCGTCCTGTAGATCGACGACCATTAAGTTTATCACTTGATGATCAATATCCAAATAATCCTATTGATTATCATTATGCATCAACAAGTGAAAGACCATCATTATTATTAACACAACCATATATTCGTCGAACTCGTCGAACTGTTTCACCAACATCAACAAAATCAAAATCATCATATGATAATAATGATCGAATGAATACTCCACCAATAACTCATCGATATACATTAGGAATATCATCTGATACAAAAAAACCAACATCACCAATTAGTTCATCAAATTATCCTGATTCATATGATTGTGATACAACACTACGTGATCATAAACGTAAGCCTATTTTTAAATATACACCACCAACAATACCACCAACAAATGAATTAAATGTTGTACCAAGTCTTTCAAATTCAACAACACCTGTTGCACCATCTGTATTTACAACATCAGCTATTAAATTTGCTCCAGCACCTTTACGACGCATAAGTCCAATTAATGATCAAGAAAATAATATTAACAATTCTTTATTAAGTACAGCACGATTCTTAAATAATACAATATCTAATACATCTTCTAACATTGATGATAGTATTAATACAGCTACTACTAATCACAATAACCATCATTCATTACTAACTTCATATGATACAAATAATTTACGAAAGAGTCGTTTATTAGATGATAATAATAATCTGATACCATTAAGGGTGCATGATTAATAATCTTTTATCTTTATTCCTTTTCTGCCTCTCCATCGCTCGTTTTTATTTGTCCCAGTTTCAACTGTGATACTGTGTGACTTTCATTCACAAAGAACGATAACAGTAGTAGACAATGATTTTTCTTGTCTGTACATCTACCCTTCTAATTGATCTCTTCCTCATTTGTTTTTTTTTGTTTGTTTATTTGAATAAAAGTTTTCATGTGTGTATGTGTGTACCCATTTTCTATTTACTTATTCAGGTTGTGTAAAACAAAACGAAATATTGCTGATGTTACTTGCTGCTATGAAAATATTTAAATATGTATGTGTGTGTGTGTTATATTTTAAAAGTTTGATTTTCTTTTTTTTTTCTTTTTGTATCATAAAAAGAAAGAGCGAAAGTATAAACCTTGAAAGAAAAAATAATAAAAGAATCGGTTCATATTGTGTCTCAGTTTATTACATTAACATCAAGGTTAACTTTATTATTTAAAGAAAAAAAAAAAAGAAAAAAAAAATCCATTTCAAGGATATACGATTTATTTACTACTGGATGCTAATTTACTTGCAGCAGCTTTTGTATCATCTGCATATCGAGCTAGACGAAAATAACTTAAACGTTCCTAGAAAAAAAATACACAACATTGAAATTTTGTTTGTTTGTTTTTTTTTTGAGAATTTCTATCTACCGGATCGATATCAACTATTGTATCAGATACATCATCAAGTTCATCTTTGATTAATAGTTCATTCATCTATATAAGTATTAAAAAAAAATAGATATTAGTTTTGTTTTTTCAACAGTATTTTTACTTCATTCAATGGTGGTAAACAATTCGGTCGATTGAGACCGAACATAATCTGATAAAGTTCAACAAGATCATTTCGAATTTGATTATCATATGCAAAATTTCTAAAAGTTTTTAAAATAAATATTATTGTTTTTATTTTGATTTTATTTTTCATACTTCATCAATGACCATAATCGATTAACTGTTATTGGATTATTAAGAGAACATGTTTGATTTTGTCGAAATGGTGGATGACGACACAAATGTTGAACTATTTTACGTCTGAAAAAGATTTTTCAAGAAAAAAACAAAAGCATCCAAATTTTAACAAACCTTAAATTATAATCAGGATCATTCGCAATAAGATTGAATATATATTCAAATACATCTTGATTCATTCGAGCTAAAAATAAGCACAATTCTTGTTCAAACACTAGTTTCTATTAGTGTGCAATATCTCCGACATCATCAGCAATAAGCAAACGTATACATAGCAAAATTAATTGTATTTCAGAAGCAGAAAGACATAAAAAAAACTAAATAGTATAATTTTTCATATAAAATAAAAGCTTGAACACTGTACTCTGAAAGTATTTGCTAAATGTCAATTAGCTTCGGTTGCGAAAAGTCACACCTGTGTAGGAAATTAGCTCTTATCAGAGACCATGATCGAGGGAGGGTAAACTATAGTTTGCCCTGCTAACGGCTTTTTTTCATAAAATGTCATGTGAAAATGTTTTCTATATGTGAATATGCATGCTTTCAAAATACAAAAAAATGCGATTTAAAACATTAAAATGAATAATAAAAATAAATAATTTAATTACTTATGAATCGGGTACAATATATCTGAACTTCAATCCTTGTACTGGATATTTTGACCAAAAAAATGGAACTCAGCAAACTCTGATCTTAATCAGCAACTCGAGACCGATAGACCTTAATGTAAAGGCTTTACGATGAAGATACTGATGTTTCTTCTAAGACTGAACAACATCTTTTCTGACATTTTCCTGACTTTCCACGCTTGAAATGCATTAATTTTCAGTTTCTTATTAACCAATAGATTTACATTGCAATATAGAAAGTACTTCAGTTCACTGTAATCTCGAGACTCAGGGAAGTCTCCATTGTCTGAGGCGGTCACAGCATGGATCTTTTCTCTATGAATGACTGCGATCGTGAAATATGGTGAAACTATGAGAGTAAAAGATTTAAATTTAGACACTTTCTGCGACCACTGTATTTTATGAATTACTTATCCTTCGAAAAACAATAATGATTCTATTAATCCTTAGTCCATACAGTTTTATGAAGTACTTGCCTTTCTTCTACTATGTTCATTATTTTAATTAAATAAGTAAATCATTTTATCTTTTATCATATATCTTACTTTCAATTTGTTCAACAAGAATTTCACAAGCTGCTAATCGTACACGATCAAACATTCCATATGATGCATATTCATAAAAAACATTAATATCAATAAGGATACCACTTATAATATTTAATTTATGTAAAACTCTTAAACAACTACATGTTACACAAAATCCATATGATGGAATAATTTTATCATAATTAAGTTGTAATAATATTTCATCAAATATTCGTTTTGTATTATTATCTAATGTATGATTTAATAAAAGATCAACATTTGTTGTTGTACTTGTCAAACCAATATTTGTTAATGTATTTCCAAGTGAATCAATTAATGATGAACGATAAAAAGCATCAGAAAAACGATTCTTAGAATTTTCATTATAATGTATTAATTCAAATAGAAAATTAATTACTTCTGGTGGACATACACGATCTTTATTACGTTGTAATGCTATAGCTTGTGGAATTGTTTTTTGTATCATATACATTTGTGAATTTGAAAAATCATTTATACGTACAATATATGCTGATGGTACTGTTAATGATAAATTATTTGTTGAAGATGTTGTTACATTTGTTGATGATGATGTTGAATTTGTTGACATAAAGACACGACGAAAAAAGCTTAATGTTGCTAATGTACCTGTCCATGTATTTGCCATAGAATTTGCAATCTAAATAAAATATTCAAATGGACTTTTATTTATTATATTAAAACAATCATCTATGAAATAGGTCATTGATTGTACAGTCAAAGGTTAAAAAGAACATATGTGAGGGATAAAAAAACAGATGGACGTTTGCCATCTAGATAGTATCGAATTTTATAAATAGATCATAACAAACTTTTTTCTGATAAGATATTAGATACAAATATTGATTTATATGAATAATATTTGCAATTAATGGCGAACAGAACTAACATTCGTTGGATCATATTGACCTATTCGTAGTGAATAATATGAAAAATATATTTTATTTTTGATATAAAGTCATAAATAACACGATATTACTGCTAAATACTTCATTAGAAATGATAGACAATCAAAAAAAGCATTCCATAGCCGATTTGAAAAGAAGTTATTATCGATAAACGATAGAAATCTGCAGCTTTAATTATGATCCTTTATCTAGGAATGAATGATTTCGAATCAGAATCAAAATCAATGATGAAATATTATTAAAAAAATGAAGACTAATGATTTCTGTACGATCCAGAAAATAAAAGACATGATTTCAAGCCGGAAATAGTCACTTTTACAAGTGTCTAATTATATACCATCTCTCGAAATGGCTCATTTTTCAACTAATAATTTGTGATAAGTAGGTTTCGAATTTTCTATAGATCAAATAACTGCGAAATCAAATTAGTAATAAACATGAACGGGTCATTTATGACGAATTCTGTATCTCCAAAAATTCAACCATATCAGTGTCATAATTAATACTTACATTAGCTATTTTCATTGTTGCCTCAACATAAACTTTAGTGGACTAATGCTGGTTTAAAATAAGAATTTATTCATTTATTTTTACACGTTTAGTGAAGGATTGCCTTGCTTTCAGTCATTGCTATTATATAGTTTGATACTTGCTACTACACAACGCAATGTTTCCTCAAACCCGTTTTCTAAGTCTGTTTGACTATAAACAATATTATTAATTAGCCGACAAAAAGTATTGCTATTTGTACAACACTTATAATGTGCTACTCAAATCTATTAATCTGATGAAAGAAAATAACAAGTGATTGGTCCTACTCTAGTCTTGTGGCTTCACCCTCTATGCTACATTATCATAGTACACTATATATACTGTGTAAACTCATTTTAATAAAAATAAAACGAATAATAGGATAGATAAAATTCATACATGAGTAAGAACATATGCACATTCAATTCGAACACGATAAAAACAATTTGATGAATCTAAAACAGCGCCAAGTGTTTCTCGAGTAATTTGACTTGGAAATCGTTTAAGTGCTTCAAGTGCTTCAAATTGTGAAAGAATATCACGTTCATAACGTAATTCCCATTGCCAATTATAATCAGCTTGTTCAAATTGTAATTCTCGAATAATTTTTAAATCAGGATCAATTCTTATCCATAATATTGGACATTCAGAACTAAACGAAAAAAAAACAAAATAAAATTTTTTTTTCCATATCAATTTCTTTACTCCATTTGCTGAAGATCCATATCAACTTCATCACCAGATATTAATGGAATTTTCTTTTTCTTATTTCTAAATGAGACAAAAAAAAATACATCGATTAATCGAAAAGTGTTTAGACAAGATGTTGGTTTACTTATGATCCTCTAGAAAGAATATTGTCGGCAAGGTAAAACGTATGAGTTAGGATGCTTTTTTCGAATATGGTCTTAGAAATTTTGTTCGAGAATAGTAAGAGTCTTTTTGAAAGAACTAAAAATGGTAAAACCAACAGGCTTTTGTTCTACCTGTAAATCCTTTTTCAAAGACACATAAAATTGTCTGAGTCGGTTGTTTTGTAGAACGGACACTTTTCTACAAAATGTGATATTGAACTAACAACAAACATCACTTCAGTTGCTTCCCTTCCGATAGCATCGACTTTTTGCCTATAGATACTGCCTAGTGTTCTAAAAAAAAAACTTGAAAAGGTTTGACTAAGCTTTTGAATTGTTAACATGTTTTTGTTTTCTAGAGGTTCCATATTTTAGAAAAACTCATATATAAGAAGTCTGATCTGAAACTTTACGCATGTAAAGAACTCTACTCGACTAGCTTCCATCAAAAAATTGAGAAATTTTCAGCAAAGTTTCTCCGAAATAAGTAGCTTTCAAAGAATGTATGTTACATACATTACTCATGGAAGACAATCTACATCTTGAAAGTTTGACATCTCGAAGAAACTTTGCTTATAACTTCTGAACGTTTTTATAAAAGTTATTCTAATTGAGTTCTCTACATGCGCAAATTTTCAGATCAAAAATTCGGAATCTCTAGAATAAAAATTCAATAGTATATCTAAATTTTGTTAGGAACTCGAGTTATTTTAGGATTATTATCAGGTCAGTATGTTGTATCTATAAGACAAACATCATTAAAATCGAAAAGGTGCAATTTGAACGAAGCAGTCCTCTTGCTAGCTATAGCTTTTACTCAAAAATTTTTCAACCATTCATTTAAGCCGAAATCTATTGTCAATGATTCAAAACTGAGCATTTAATATGTTAGCTTCTGATCTGCAAAGTAATATATAAATGAAGATCCTAAGTATCAGTTTCGAATAGCAATAGCGAAAATGAAAAAATTTTCCGTCGAAACTAAGTTTTTGGGTCTTCCCAAGATTATTTCACCTCTCATAAACAAAATTTGAGACGAAAATTCTTAAAGGCATATTTGAAAACAGCATCCTAACTCATAGCTTTCACTGCTTTCTAACAGATCAAAAGTGAACAAACTTTCCAATCAATTGTTTTTTTTTTAAATTTTAATTTACCGACGAACTTTGGAATGACATGTTAATTCATATTTTGTAACACTATCTTCTAATAAAATTGTTTGACTAAATGAACCTTCTAATTCTTGTACACGTATAACTAATGAACCCTAATAGATATTTGTTTTTATCAATTAAAAGTTTTTTTTTTCTTTTATTTATTTTCATACTAAAAACTTTTTTGAACCTTTAATTGTTGTATCTTGTTTAAGTTCTAATTCAACAACATTTCGTTTACGACTAAATGAAAAACTTCCAATTAATTTTGGACAACCTGATTCGTATCTTCAACAAAAAAGAAACACAAAAAACCGATTATTCATAAGAAAATGACACAATCTAACATACACCCATTGTGTTAGTAATGCTTGAATATCTTTTGTTGTTAATGTACTAACAACACGTGAAAATGATTTACTTGATATATGTAAACGTGAACGTGAACTAAGCGATGCATCTTTTAAACAAGCTGTTGTTGCTAAACACATAAGTTTATTAAGAATCTAAAGAAAATTTACACATAAATATTATTGATATTATTTTATGATGAAATTCACCTGCATCATAATTTCTCGACCAATGAAATCATCAATCATTCGTACGACAAGATGAGCTTTTTTTGCTGCTACCTTGAAAACGAAAAAAAAATTTTTTTTTTTAAATATTGAATTCGATAAAATGAATCAATTTATACTTCAAGATATTGAGAAGACATCATTGTTCCACGACGATTATTTACACTTGTTATATCTGATTCTGATTTTATCGGAGCAAAATCAAGACGAATTGGATTTTCTTCACGTTCATATCGAATAACATCAAGCATGTCCTATATTTTAGTTTCAAAAAAAACAAAATATTTTTCTTTTTTCTATTGTATTATTCATTACTCGATTAAGATTGTAACGATATTCATTATTTCCAAATGCTCGTCTTGTATATAAACTAGTTAAATATAAAGCTAGACCTTTTAATAACCACCAATCACGCCTACAATAAAACTAATTGTTTTATTAAAATCAAATATAAAATAACTAACCAAGAACGCATGGTTATAAAACAACCAAAAAATTGGTTTGCTAATGCAAATGCCATTTGTGTTCTTGCGTGCCATGTTGCTTCAATTACAGTTGATGGATATAATAGATTAACACTAAAACAATATGGAATAAATTCATAGATATTCTATTATTTTTCTGGAATGAAGTTTTTTTTTATTGTCATTTGTCTCGCTATTGTTATTTTCAAAAAGCAATGATGCTGACTAATTTTTGAATAGCTTTTGATAGGAACAACATAGAAATTTAGGTTTTCTAACGTTCAAGATGGAAGACCATGGATCACCTATATACGTCAAAATCGGATTGATGGACAACTGAAACATGAGATGATTTTCGACGAATATTTTCACAAAAAGATATTTGGAAGCAATTTCATATTGGATTTTGACTAGTCGATAGAAAAAACTCTTCTCTTTTGATCTATATAAGGCTCACTTTCGTACATATTCCGTTCAGAAGTTATGGGGATTTTTCCAGGACCCCTGATTTCAGCAAATTGGTCTTGGAAATCTCCAAAAGAGTTCAAGACAAGGATAATTCATCATGCCAAGCCGAATGGTGATGTTTGTTTTCATTTTCAGTGCAATCTGAGATTACTATTTCAGTTTTTCTGAAATTTTAAAAATTTCCTTACATATCAACTTTACTTGGTTCAGATCGATTTTTAAAAGTATGGCCGTAACCGAGATCTGAGTTTTTCAATGCAAAGTATAACAATATCAACAATGTCTCTTATATGAAACATTTATATCTCGACTAAATCTCAATAAGAAGAACAATCTTTTGAAAAGTTTCGTTAATCTTGGGATACCCCACTTGTAAATAAAGTATAAACTCAAAAAACTTGGAACCGTTTATAGAGTCATCATTAGAGACTCCTAAAACTGTCCTTAATGCTCACTATTTTAGATGAAAGCTAGGAAATCTTTTTCGACCAAAATGTTTTCCTCACCAGTTAGCATCTAACTGCCTAAATCGATGAATTCAGGCTCTAAAAGCAATCGAGCTTCACTGAAACCGACAGAGACGAATAGTCACTGAAAAAATCTGAAGACTTTTCGATGCAGAATGCTGCTTCCAAGTGTCATCGGTTTCCTTCGCATGTTAAAAGTTTTTTGTGACTTGTTTCTTGTGCAGTATTAGCGATCTCGACGATGGGATCTACAATTTTGATGAGTGGAAGAAGAGTGTTCTAATTCACTTTAAAGGAAAACGCTAAATTAATGTCTGCGCCAGAATTGAAGAGAGCTTAATGTAAGCTCTCTCACTCGACAACAACAACAACAACAACAGTTAGTGAATTTTGCTTTTCAGCAATCGAAAAAGGAGAGCGCTGAGCGGCTTTTTTGTCTGATACAATATAAGACAAAACTATTTTCAAGTCAATAATCTTCATAAACAATTCAAAAATATGCATGAAAACGATGTTTCTTTTGAAGCAAGTTTTGATAAGAAGTCAAAAAATCTTCTAAAAATCAATAGAATCCTATAGAATTTGATTGAATGTCTACCCGATTTTGTTTCCTTTATATTACAATGTCAGAAGCAAATCAACGGAATCGTGTCTTAAACTATAAATATGTAGTCCTTCTATCTGAAGCATATATCAAAATCAAAAGTACATAGAAACAGAACACTGTTTTTATGAATTTCTGGAATATTTTGCAAAAATGATGGGTTTTAAATTAGTTTTGTCTTATATCCTATATGACAAAAAGGTAACCAAAATTCTTCTCTTTTCATTGTCGAAAACCTCAGATCACTGGCAGTTTCTGATGTCGAGTGACTGAACTTACAAACATCTAGAGCTCGTCGAATCCAAAGTTTACCGACTCAAATCCGAATGATTCCGAGACCAACTCGACAGACCCTACACTCATCCCTTTTGAATTCTAATGCCGATATTAGTCGGATACTTCCGTGATTTATTCTTATCAAAAAAAAGTTTTTTCATTGTATATATGAGATCTATTTACTTAAATATAGCCATAGATGCAAATGGTATACATTCAGCATGTGGTTCAGTAACAAATACTTGTTTATAATTAGGATATTGACAACTTGCATTTAATAATTCTTCAAAATATTCAAGTGGCTAGAATTGAAAAAAAAAACAAATAAAAAAATATTTCAAATAAAAAAAAAGAGCAAGATCTTTGTCTTGATTACTTCATGAACAAAGCTTGTGGTATTTGTTAGAAGTGTTAACAAACCAGGAAGACAATAATTTGTTATTTCTTGAGTATTAGAATCAACAACTGATTCGAATGATCTCAAAAATTGAAAAAAGAAATCTACATTTTATTCTATTGACCTAAAAGAAAACGAAATCAATACCCTATAGCAAGTCCAATAAATGGTGCAGGTGCTGGAGTTGATAAATAAAATCGATAAGTTTTTAATTCATTATTTGTTGTACATTCCACAAGTTCTCCAGACGCTACGACAGTTAAGGATTCTTCAACTGTTACTTCAATTGTCCATGTTGATGGCTCACAATAACTATCTACGCATGGAAACCAAAGACGAGCATCATGACCAGTTGTAAATAAATGACGACTAAGCTATAAAATAAGATTTTATTTGTCTAAATAATTGATTTCCTTGTTTCTTTTAACTTACACGTGATAATTTAGCATCATCATCAGGTACAAAAAAATGAATACCACTTTCAGGTTGTTCAAGTGAAAAATCAATTGTTACTTTATAAACAATATCACTGGTATTATTATCATCATTAGGAGTTGTTGAAGAATTTTGTTCTTGTTGTTGTAAAGATGATGGGATAAATATTGTTAATTCTCCATTACCTTCATCAGGATCAACATATTCAGAAAAACGTTGTTGACGTTTTAATAATGATGTTAGATCTCGTCTAAAGAAAATTTCAATTAATATATATTAAAACACTTTTTTTTTCAAACAACTAGAATTATTATTGATCTAGCTTGTGATAATTCAGGGTAACTCAAATTTCATCAGTCTAATTGTCAGCATCATTACTATGATATTTAACATACAATGAGACTTTGCATTTACAAAGACACAGGTGTCACCGAAATGATAAAAAATTTTCTCTATGAAAAACCTACGAGATTTCTATTGCGAATTACTTAGTCTAGCTTTGTCTAACTATGTACTAACGCAAACAGACCGGAATATATCGAAGTTTCGATTAAAAAATTGAAAATTCAATTGAGACTGAGATATTTTTTGCTCTGATCAGTCTGTTTGGTTTTATATACATTAGAATGAAACTATTCATTGATACTCTCTGTCTCGATTAGAGATGTGTAGAATCATGAGAAAAGAATTTGTTCCGATCAAAACTAAATATTAGTTAAATATTCTATAGTTTTAAGCGAATTATCATATAAGCGATATCAATCAGAATATAGGTCAAGACAGATGACCCAAAAAAGTCCTGGTCATCAACTAAATATATCAAAAAAAAACCAAGTATTGAAAATTTTTTTTTAGATATAGTACAAATAAATTCAGGCATATTTATTTCTAGATCGAGATCAGACGTATCTAGTTTTGATGAATACCAAAATAAGGCGAAGAAAATATCTGTTCGTTGTCTTGTAAGTTGCTTTTCTTTGATTCACCTAAATCCAATACCAACTAAGCAAGATTCTATCACTGATGTAATTCATATCCTCATTTATTTTCATTCTAATTTTTTTTAGACAGTATGAAAACACAGAACTTTTGTAAAATAAACCGAATCTATGTTGAATCAAACAAAAATTTTTCCATTCTATCATATTCAAATATTAGTACAATTGAATTCTAAACTATTTTTCAATTAACATAATACATTACAATTAATAAAGACAACGAACTAACGTCGAATATATATTAATAATTTATAAATCTGAAAGAATATTGTAACAACCTTCTCATTGACAATAACTGGAATTCTATCTGTCTTTTAGTAATCATAAGAGAAATGTATCAATAGACACTTTTTTTTCTCACCTTGGATCATCATCGGACAAAATCTGTATATTTGGATCATCATATGAAAATTCCACATTTCGTTCACCATTAATGGTTACAGCATAAATCGCTAGATACAGTTGGTTTTTTTTTTAAATTTTTATTCATTAAATTTCATACATAGTTTTTCTCATTTTTCATTCATTGTACTTACTTAATTGACGTGCATTTAATTTGATAACATTAAAATTTTTCACAAGTGGATGTAATGTCAATTCCGTATAGCCCTATATATATATAATATGTGGCAAATAATGACATATTATATATTCGAGAAAGAAAAGACACACTCACAACTAGACAACGTTTGTCGAAGCTGACACCTGTTATACATAATGTCTGATGTGATCTAGATTAACAAATTTTATTTATTCAATCATCTGATTAAACAACCAAAAGAAAAAAGAAAAAGAAAAAAAAGAAATTCCAACTCACAGCACAAATGAACGTGTTACTTGGCGTAACTCTTCAAGTTCCATGCTGAAAGAAAAAAGTCTTAAAATTCTCATGTATTATGTTTTCTTCTTTTTTCTCAATATTCTTTTCTTGGTTTCTTTTTCATCTTGTCAATAAACAACAATACAAGCGCAAAAAAAAAAATTACACAAAAAAAAAAGTTACAGAAACAATACACGCATATAACAAATAAACAAACAACAACAACAACATTAAATCAAAAAAAGAACGTTGGTTTTTATTTCGTTCAGAGAATCTACTAAAAACTGTTCCCATAAAAACAAATTGAACATGTACGTACATTTGCAAAAAAAGAGAGAAAGATATCAAACAACTTTTAGTTAATTTCTTTTTTTCTTGTCTGTTGGTAATACTTGACAAAGAAAAATAAAACAAATGTGAACAACACACACACACACACGGTTAATGCAGAACTTTATGTACATTGAAATATATCTAATAGAATCTTGAATAATCATACAAGGAGGAGATAGGAAAAAAGACGACGGAAAATCACTGCATCGGACGTCGAAAAAAAGAAAAAAACAACCACAACACCGAGAAAAAAAAATGAGAATACAATATGTACGTACGAATGAGAGAAGGAAGAAAACAAAAAAAAACTATATATTACATATACAAAATATGTCTATTGGTTTTTCTTTTTGTTTTGTCAATATGTTTGGCGAAAAAAAGAAAAATCAAACAGTCGACTAGAACCGACACGTTTGAAATTTATATTATATATATATATATATACATAAATATGTTTTGCAAGATATTTATTTTTCTGTCAACATAAGAATGATATGATTTGCTGACTATATTATTTATTTTAAATCACAAAACTTGCACACGTTGAAGGCGTTGAGTTAGTTTTTCAGATAAAGGTGAATCTGATGTTGATAATCGAAATAGTAGAAATAAACCGACTTTATCAGCCGATGCAATCCAACCATGAGTACCTGGATTTGGATTAAAACGAATCTTAAAAAATAAAAATAATATATTTAAATATATTTGAAATTCAAATTTTGGATATTACTTTGCGATATGTATGCACTTTATGTGTTTCATCATGTTGAGGATCAACATTATTACTTGCGTATTCCTAAATATCATTTATATTCAATTAAATGTTCTTAATTTTAATCAATCGAAATTACTGTTCGTTCAATAGCAATCTGTACACAATATTGTCCAGTTGGAATACCACATGATGTTGATTGATTTTGATTATATTGTTGCATATTAACATGATCTGTTAGATTACCTGTTGTTGCACCACTTGTATTCGTTAAATAAGTCGATAATTTAGCTACACACTAAAAAATTTTCATTATTTGATTTTCAATGAAGAAGTCAATTTTTATTATTTTTCTTACTACACTTGGTCGATATTTCTGATTATTTTGTCCCCAAGTTGACGCATCACCACGTGCAATCCAAACAGTACCTAAATATTTCATATAGAGAAAAAAAAAATTTTCTAACATAAATATCTCCTTGTCGACAAAATAGTAGTTGGGATCAATACTTTCATTAGGAATAACACAATTTCTAGTCGAGTAGAACTTACATCAAATATCCTATTGGCACGACTTATGCGTTCTAAATAGATATTGGTTCGAGGGCCGTGGTTCCGCCAGGACAAGGATCAAATTCTTTTTTTTTTGGTCAGCGTTGTATACTTATTTCTCGATGGTGCCCGAACTTTATTCTTTTTCTAATCGAGTTCGACATCTAACTGTTTTTCAGATTGGGGGACCAAGACTAATTCATGTTTTAGTTCGAGACCTGATTTTTTTCTGACAGTTTGTAGTAGCTAGTTTTTTGTTCTCGACTGAGACTGGAAACAAAGTTCTTTTTTTTTGATCAGAATGAAAACGAAAAATGACTGCTTTTGTTCATATCGAAAATTTTTATATTTACCATCAAGATCAGCATAAGCAACGCCATCAATCCATTCGGAATAATCTAAACTAACAATTTGCCATGCTGATAACATTGATGTTTGTAAAAGATTAGGAACATTTTGTCCTGGTAATAATATTGAATGTGTTGGCACGGAAAGTAATTCATTTTGATTACTAATAATATATAGATATATTTGAAAAAAAAAATTTCTATTAATATTTTATATTACTTTGCATGTGCACAACCAGCATATAATGTATCATGAAGTGTTGATGATGCAAATTCACTTGCATTTGACCAATGACGATAACAAAAAATATTTTCATCACGAGTTGTCCATACTCTATGAAAAATAAAACAAATTATCTATTCATAAAAATTTGACAAAAAAAAATATAATTTTATTTCATACGTCCAAGATTGTTTATTTTTCAAACTAACTGCAATTAAATGTTCAGAATTTCTTAGAAATTTTACATCTTGTATTGGTGTATCTTCCACAAAAAATCTTCTTACTGGATAAATTAATGAACAATTTGTTGCCTAAATAAATAATAAAAAAAAAAAAAGAAAGAATAAATTTTTTTCGAAACAATACATTTTCTTTTTTTTTTTTTACTTGTTCAACAAGTGATTTTGAATTCATTTCCCACATTAAAACAATACCATTTTCATATCCAGCACATAATTTATTTGGATTATCATAACACCAATCAAGTGCTGTACAAGAACCATATTCAGCACAACCAATACTACCATCTTTACGTCTATTAAGTGGTGGTACAAGTTGTGCACCACTACTTATTGTACATAAATTTCTTGATGCACCATGTGGAACACCAAATATAATAACAATACCTTGACTTGTACCAATAGCTAAATAACTTAAATATGGATCATTTATTGTTGGACGTTCGGGTAACCATTTTAAACATGTTACTTGACCAAAATCAGCTGCAACTGTAACATGTAAATTTGGTACATGTAAACTTTGTCTTAAACGTCCACAATTTAGTATTAAAAGTAATGTTGAACCTGGTGGTGAACGACGATCTTGATTTGTTGATGAATAATTTCCATGTAATTGATTTCCATTATCATATGACCATTGTTCAAGTGCTAATGCAACATATTGACTACCAATAACATCAACAGCACGTGGTAACCATTCAACACAACGTATAGGTCGACCAACATTTAAAACAATAACATGTGAAGCAGCAAAACTATCCAATGGATTTAAAAATCGATCACACGAAAGCATCTTCAATGAAACAAACGAAAAATTTATTATTAAAAATTCGGCTTTTTTTTTTTTTATTTTTTTAGTATTTACTCGAACACGTAAACAACTAGCACCATTACTTAAACAAGCAGCTGATTCATTTTCTGGTATAAGTTGTCCAATAGTTGTCGATGGTGCAGAAAATGATATACGTCCATTAATTGGAAATTTATAACGTGCAAATGCTGCACGAAATGCTCGATCATTCACACGACATGGATCATCTAAAATCAAATATTTTTTTTTTATAAAGGTTTTATTTTTATTATAACTTATTCTTTATACCTGGACATGTATCTTGAGAATCATCATGATAAAGTTCAAGATGATCACAAACACTACTAACAGATGAAAATGGTATACCACAAAATTTACATACTGCCATAACTAAAAGAATAAAACAATTATTTTCATGAGAAGTTTTCAAGAAAAAAAAAACACTTATTTATTTGGCTAAAATTTTTAGTAATTTTCGATATCTTCTACTTTTGTCAGAAAAAAAAATTGAGAAACCTTTTTGATTATCATATAAAAAAAAACTTCTACAACCAAATGATCATATTAACTTGTCATCCTTTGACTGAACATGGAAAATAAGAATTTGAAAAACACCTACAAAGTACAAAACTGAAGTCCGGATCTAGTAGTTTAGCTTTTTGTCAAATAAGGCTACACAAAACTGTAGACACAAAGGTTCCTTATTTGCAGTCTCATATTCTATTTCAAAATGAGAATTAAACCTGTAGAAAGACATCCTACAAAGAGTTTTATGTTGTCCAATGAGCTAAATTTAATCTTTGTATGTTGAATATTTTCCGAAAACGTTATGATATAATACTAAAAATTTTATATGATTTAAATCTATTTAATCTCAGATCGATTGTTAGATGATACTGCTTAATTAATTATAATTTTACCTGGACCTAACGGACAATCAGTTTTTAAATGTTCTTTTAGTTTTTTAAGTGTTGCAAATTGTGTTTTTCCACGACAACGATGACATTGTACAAATGTTTCTGTACGTAAACGTGTATTAATTTCTTGTTCTTGTTCAGGTAATAAAGAATCTGTTGCGAATTCAATATGCTAATAAAACGAAAAAAAAAAAATGAGAATTTTTTTTTTTTTTGTTTGATCTAAAAATTCTTACTTCTCGCATTCTTGAGCGAGCTAATTCAGCTAATTCACTACTAATATCAATAGCACGTGGAGATCGCATAGCAACAGTTTTTTGTGGATCATTCTAAAATAACAAAAGTTTTTCATTTTTATATATTAAAAAATTAAACTTATGATCATCAATATACTTTTCCATGTTGATCATTCAATATAACTTGATTATTATTCATTGTTGGAGTTAATGATATACCAGAAGGATTCATATGTGTATGTTTTGTATATGGTGCCATTGGTGGTGTTGCTCCATCAGATTTTGTTTTAGGTGGTCGACCACGTTTACGCTTAAATTTCATAAAATAATAATAATAATAAAAAATTTTATAATAAATTATTAAAAAAAAAAGAATTACTTTTGGATCCGAATCATTTAAATCTGGTTTAATTATTGGTAATGACATTGTTTGATTAATCATTGTTGGTGGAATATTATAAGTATCAATACCACGTGGTGATATACCTGTTGTCATTGCAATCATTGGATTCATCATTTGTGTTTGTTGTTGTTGCTGTTGTGCTGCTAAATCATTTGAAATTTTCTTTTTTTTTTTAGATTTTTTTGAATTTGATGTTCCAACAGATGTTGTTAAACCAGCTGGTTTACGTGATACATCAATTTTATCTGTAGATACAGTACCACCTTCTTCCGCACCCTTTTTAAATAAAATATTATTTAAAAATAAAACAATCATTTTTGTAAAACTTACATGTCGTGCTAAATGTGTACGTAACGAACTTCGATCAGCTAATTCACTTCCACACATTAAACAACGAAAAAAAGCTTTTGGATATGGTGATTTAGTACATGAATTATATAAATGATAACGTATGCCTTCTTTGGAAGCAAAATCAACTGTACAAAATGGACAAACAAAACGTCCATCACGAAATGTAGCTTGTCGTATAACATTAAAATGTGGTAAATCAGGATAAGAAAAAAAACCTGATTGATGTCTTATATGTGGCCATGCTTGTGGTATAGGTATAAGTGCTAACATTTCACGATGAATTTCAGCAATATCATGTGGATTTTTATTTGTTGGTTGCTGTTGTGGTTGTTGTTGCTGATCATCATTTGTTGCTGTTGTGGTTGTTTGTTGTTCTGTATCCATAGGAAGTGAATTTGATGATGAAGGCATATGAGGTAATTGTTGATGATCATCAGATAATTGTACAGATGTTTGCTCATTTGTTGGAACATTTACAATAGTTTCATCATTAGTATTATCATTGACATTTGCACCAGTACCAGTAGCAATTAAATGCATTAAACCACTTGAATCAATTGCATTTTGTTGTTGTTGTTCATCAGTTGGCCTAAACAAAGCAAAAAGTAATGTGTCAATAAAATGTCTTTTTTTTACCATGGCCAATCATTATTTGTTGCTGATTCTTGTTGTTGTTGATCGGATGATATATGTGATTGATCAACGACTGAAGATAAATTATTAGTAGGCGAATCTGGATCAGCCATAGGTTATTGATTTTGTTGTTTTTACAACATTCGTATATTGTTAATTCCCTAATAAACGATCGCATAATGACAAGTATAACCATTTAAGGATAATATTAATCTTAGTGCTCGCTATTTGGGGACAAGATTTGGTCATTTTTTCTTCTTTTTCTTTCTCGTTTTTTTTCTTCTTCTTTTTTTTTTCTTTTTTTTTCCTTTCACTACTTTTCCGAAAATCCAGAACACAAGAGAAAAAAGAGGGAGAGAGAGAGAGTGAAGAAGAAGAATAAGAAAAAGGCCCGCATTTTCGCCCCTACTTTTTCTCCTCGCCGCTTTGCTTGTCTGTCCCTCTTTTTTTCACTCTCACGCACAGATGTTAAATATCCTTTTTCTGCCTTGCTTCAGACTGTCATCATCACTTGCAGTATGTGCTTCTTCGTTCGTCAATTCTGCGCTCTTCTTCGCGGAGGAAGCCGAGAGAGGGAATAAAAATAAGATGGAGAAGGAGAAACAATACAAGCGAAACAAAAAAAAAAAGAACGTCAACTATTTGGAAGAAACAACGGACGGATATATAGAGAAGAAAAAATAAAAATGGAAAATGGGGAAGAAAGAGGAAAAGAGGAATGAATGAATGTCCAACGAGAAAGAAAAACATAATTCAATAGCCATTTTTAATTATTTTAAGACTCTGTTAAAGAAGAATAATAAAAATATTTTCAAATAGAATTACTTTTTAGTGATTTCTTTTTGACAATTCAAATGTTTTTTTAGATTATTTATTGAATAGAAATTAGATTATATTATTCTGCATAAGTGTTCAACATTTTGATTGGACAAAAATGAACGATTAGGAATGTACGATGAGTCATAAGTTTTGCCACCAGGGCTAATCAAAGGAGCCTATACAAAGCATTTGGTAGCAAAAATGGATATTTTGTTTTTGAGGTTTTTGTACATGTGTTTAAAAAAGAAAAATATTCTAATGTTTTGTTAAATGTGTGAATGAGTTGTTTTTAATAATAAATTAATGTTGCTTTTCTAATGCTTATTTATTATTTATGAATGTAAGTCTTTATCATTCTTTTAGGATGAATACAACGCATTTTAACTTTTAGACAAATCCATTATTTGAATAGTAGATTCAATTTTAATATAGAATTTTTTTCTGATTTTATAAGTACTAGTTTTTTTTAATAAATCATTCGTTGATCTTTTGAAATATTTATCATTATTTGAACTGTTATAAATTGACAATAAATTTATTTTTTGAATGTATAGTAAACAATCTCAATGAACAGAATTTTTTTTTAAATGAATGCAACATGTATGTGCATGTTGACGATAAATATATTTTAATAACTTAACGAAAGTTGTTATATTATCGTATTACGATTGTGAATTTACTGTTAATGATATATTGCAACGTATACGATTTGATGAATCTGTTGTTGATATGTACAATTTCAAAGATGGATTTCGTTGATAATTCAAATATTGATAATATTCAGTATTATCATTATTTGATGATATTAAACTTAACTATACATCATACAAAAAAAAATGTTTTTTTCATATTAAATATTTAATAATATGGTTTCGTATCATTCTGTGAATAAGTATCTTTTTATTGAGGCATATCAAGTAACATTTTAATAGTATTTAAACAACAAAATCGTATTAATTTCAATACTAACATCAATATGTAAGTTTGGTTTAGTATCAATTCATTAAATAATTCTCGATGATATACATATAGATATGAAAATGATGTATGTTCTGTTGAAGTCTATAATTGAAATTACTTTTTTTTCCATTAGTTTTTTCGTTACTTGAATAAGTTTCTCATCGAACTGTAATATGTTTATTGTGCTTGAATACTTTTTCATATTTAATGAAACATAAAAAGACGAAGGAATTATGCATCCGTTCACTTGTAATGTAAAGCAAAAAATTTTCAATGAATTTCCTATCAGAGCTCGCAGTACCTTTTTAGCAGTAAGAGGCGCTAAATATTTGATAGATAATCTAAGGCAACAAATGAGTAGAAAAAACTACCCTCTAAAATTTGACAGACAGACTTTTCGAGAATAGATGAGTATTTTTGCTGATATGCGGTAAAAAGTAAGAGAAATCTGGCCCCTCCTACGCTCTAGTCTGTGCTTCTGTTTACCTATATATTTTATTCTTTCATATTACATTTACTCGAACCTGTTTTTTCTCTCTCGTTTCGTTTCTTCTTCACATCCATTTATTACCTGAAGAAAAAAAAAACGAAATAAATGTTATTATTATCGTATCGAAAACATAGTTTTGTTTTTCTTTTGTTCTTATTAGATAGACACGTGTCCTTGGTTTTTTCCTCTATCTGTCTATGGTTTATTGGCCTTGCATATTGTCTAACCGAATAAGGTCTTCATAGTTAGTGCCATGAGGATACGAGCTACCAACACACCAAAAAAAAAACAGAAAATAAGACCGACGAGCATTTCTCTCTTTTACTATTTCTACAGTAATAAAGAAAAAAAATTGATCATCAGACAGAAAACTTTCGGTGCATTGATGGTGACGATATCGGGAAACAGAACAGAAAAAAAAAAGAGAAGGGCTATTGCGTTAGACTACTTTGCACAATACAGAGCAAGAGTATCCATCTCGTGTAAAGTCATGGCGTCAATTATTATTTCTTGCTGACATGTTGCTGTTAATGCTTTTTTTCGATTTTATGTTTCAGTAAAGTAGAAGAGAAAAAATAAAAATACACTTCTACACAATGTACCGACTGTTACAATGCAAAGGGCAAATATTAATCTTTTTTCAATAACATATCTCGATTCATATTGATCTTTCATGTAAACTATTAAAATAAATATTAAATGTAATTTTCAATGAAACTAAATATCTTGGATCATTGATAATTGTCTATTTCCTTTTTAATATTTTTTTTCGTCATATTAAGTTTTTAGATTGGTAACATGTCGAAATATAAATATCGAGATGACGACTGAAGACAAATTTCAATCTTCGAATATTCAACAAACAAATGGTTCTGAAAATGGTGATACAACACAGCAAGATAATGAAGTAGCAGCAATAACATCTAATTCATCTTCTGGACCACCACTAAGACGATCACGTTTTTTTCGTTCGAAACGTAGACAACGTTTACATGAAGAACAAACTAATTCAGACGACGGTATTAATGTTGGGTCTAATGAATCAGTTAATTCGTTGGAAAGTTCAGGTAAGAGTATTATAGAAATCTATATATGTTTAACCAAAATGTTGGTTTCCTTTAATATTTAGAACAATCAAGTGAAGAAACACCTGTTCAACAAATTTTAATAGCTGATATAAATACTCCAATTGAATTAAGCGAAAGAAGACGTCCATTTGTATCGCCTCCTCCTTCTCCTCCATCTACAGATGATAATGATGAAACAGATACCAGCACAGCTTCAGAAGAAGTTCGATTTACAGCAAAAGTTGAAGATCTTGATGCTGAACGTCATGCGTATTTAACAAAAAAAAAGGCTATTGACCAATCATCATCTACTCAATCAAAATCATCTGTATCCAAAACGTTTTCCGGTTATGAAAGAAAAAAATCACACTCAGTTAAATTGACTAATTCTGATCGAGTTGATGCATATCAAAAGAAAAATGTACGTTTTGCAGATGATTTTGGTCTTGATTTAAGTCAAGTTAAAGTTATTAAATCCGATGAGTTACCTCATGTGCCTAGTGCTGCTTTCAAAGATTTACATGTTAATAATGATGAAAATTCACTATCATTTTATGAAGAACGTATGAAATTAATAACTTATCTAGAACAACAATTTGAAAATCCTATTCATGCTCAAGGTTTTGACGATCGTGTTGCACGTCATAAAGTTGCACTAGAACAAGCTAGTAAGTCTATTGAATAATGTGACTTAAGTGGTGTCTATTAATACATTTCTAAGATCAGTATTGGAATCAAATTTTTTATTTATAATTTAGACGCTATTGATAATCGAATATATGGAACAATAAAAATTGTTTCATTAGGTTATAATAAACGAGTTAAAATTCGTGTCACAACAGACAATTGGATTACATTTCAAGATCATGATGCAACATACATTGCAGATTCATATGATGGCACATATGATCGATTTTCATTTACACTAGATGTTGATCGAGACCGTATATGTGTTGGAAATAATATCCAATTTTGTATTGGTTATGAATCATATGTTGGTCCAGATTATTGGGACAGTAATTATCAGCAAAATTATCGATTTGATTGCGTTTCAAGAAATGTACCCGATTATAGTGGTTAGGATATTTTTTATGGTTTTTGTATTTTTTAGCAAGAAAAAAAAGGAAAGAAAAAAAAATTAGATTCACCTCAATGAACAGCACGATTAACCATAGTCAAATATGCTTTGGAAAATCGACAACGCATATGATTATCTATATATATATAATTCTATTTCTTCATCCGTCTCTTAAAGAAAAAATCGTCTTTGTTCTATTTCTTTTAATAGAGAAAGCAAACTAGATGAATGTTTTATCATTTGTTATTTAGAAAATATTCTCCATGTTTGTTAGTTACATTATTTGATTTCTTTTTCATTTTCATTTTCTCCGTTCGGTTGATCCTCGCGCTAGTATGTATAACCGTGCTCGTTTATCACATGTACAGTCTTCTTTTTTTTCTTTGTATACCTAGAAGGGTTTTTTTTCATTTGTTTCGTATATAAAATATACAAGAAAAGAAACAAAGGATATATTTGAACAACGATTTTAGAAAAAGAAACTAACATTCTTGTTTTAAACTTATTTTTTACTAGTTTGTTTTTATTACAATGTTTATGTTTAAGATTATCCTCTAAATATATAAAAACAAGTAATCCATCTATGGGTGATATGAATTTAATTCGTAGATATATTCGATGATTGTTTTTTTTTTGGAAAAAATTCTTCAATTATTTCAAGCAATGAAGTTTTATTTAAATAATAAAATTATTAAATTAAAAGAAAGTAAATACATTATTTATTAATAGATGTTCATAGAGACGATAACTCTTATTAGATACATAAAATTTTTTATTATATTTTATTACATTATCACAAGTTAATTCCTTGTACAAAATTCAGTACGATAGTAAACTCATCGCTGCATGACTAGTAATACCTAAATACAGTAAACTTCTATCTAAACCACAACTATGAGCTATATCAGTAGTGTACAAATACAGTAGTAAGCAAATCTCAGCTTACGGTATTGTTGTCTGACAAAAATATTATTTTTCGTACAATTGAGGGGTACACTAACGGAATAGTATATGTATATCAGTAGCATTATACTAACTGTATTAATGGCATCGCTTTAAGTTGATCAGACAGATACCGATTTATTCCATAACCAGAAGAAGAACTCAAACTTGGCTTATCTGCAGTCATTTTGTAAATATTCATTATGGGACCACCAGAATTTGCTATTCTTTGGTAAGCTAAAATACTAGCAATACTTGTCCTGTATGAGTATGAGTATAATACATAAAAGAGATGCAGAATAATAAAAAGAAAATACACTTAATGAAACAAAAAATTCTTTTGGAATCATTTTCATTTTCTGTCAAATAGAACTGAAAGTCCTTAATAATTGGAGAATAATTATTCAAAAACAAAATAGATAAATCTTAAATAGTCGATGGTATCATGTAATCTCAAAATTCAATGTCCGCAATTTATTTTTTGCTCGATCACTCAGGTACTTTCGTCGTCTTATCTATCATGAAGGTCAATGTATACGATATCGTTAAGAGAACAACAACACTGGTTGCTAGTAATTTGACGATAAAAACTTGTTTTTTTTAACTTTTAAGAATTTCAAAAAAAGTGTACCTATAAATATATGAAATTAAATAAGTGAATGTGTAATATAGATCAGGATATTAATAGCGTACTTTGATAAAGCTTAATTCATTAATAAGTTTTTTCAAGTTATTGAAATTTGTATCGATTTCGGTTAGTATTGAAATAGATATTGGAAAAAACATTAAAAAAATAAAGTGATTATCAATTTTGTATAAAAGTCATATCGTTATATTTTGTACGTGCTGTTTCTCTTTCATCAACAAACGTCTATCGCTGACTTTTAACATCATAAACAAGTAATTATTAACACCAAAACATCAAAGAACAGACATATGACTTATTCAGCAAGAAAAATCGATCATATAAAAGACGTCTAAAACTTTCAAAAACGAATAGTTATATTAAACTTTGCAGAACTATATATATATTGGTGAAAGCTGTCTATTTTTAAGAGTGAGAATTTTTTAATTTTATCTTAATTCATACAATTTAAACATCTCGGATATTTCAAATAAACACTAACTATTTCGTATTAAGTACTATTGATCCATTATTGTTAATAAATTTCAAGTTGTAACATGATCAACGTGAAATTAGTATTTTCGAGTATCTAGTCTATAAATCTCGTTTCAATCGAATGATTTTAAAATAACTTTTTAAAAATTTTATTTCCTTCGTAGACTGCCAAATCCACGCAAAGTTTCATATTTTTATCTTATATCGTTTCTAAGTTACAGAATTGACAGTTCGACAAAAAAAATGGCATTTGTAAACGAGACATGTCAAAGAGACACTTGTCTAGAAAAAGAAAGAAACACTATTAAAACATGTCATTCAATGATCTATACATCTTTCTGTTCGTATACTTTTGTTTTTGACACTTTTTTTCTATGTATACAGTGGCACAAAACCACCGCTCCTACATAATATGAGAGACTTGAATAGAAAAGCAATATCTATTAGATAATAGATAGCTTTTGATATGAAAATGTTCACAATTTCTTATGTCTATATAATGGAACAGGGATGGGTGTAGCCAAAAACAAATTGTATATTCTTTCACTTTGTACAGTAACATTTTTCAAACTTTCATCTCTAATTGAAAGTAAAAAGTTATATTAGAGATAGCAATTTCGATCTGCTAGCTTTTACTATTCCAAATACATTCAAATTATATCACAAAATGTATTTTAATGTTTTTTCTGCAAGTATTTTCAGTTAAACCACCTCAAAAATATTCTTTTCAACTATAATTTAGCTAAAAAAAAATTCTATGTATAAATTTGAATGTATTGTGAACTACGCTTTACTAGTCACTTTCTATGCAGACCTGCAAAAATGATTCGATTTTTTCTATGGATTTCCCTGGAAACTCTTTTAAGTCTTCGTATACTTGATCGAAAATATACAAGTGATAACACCAGATATGTTTATCTTGCCGTGTCACTGACACTGTCAAAATGTAGAACTATTTTCTGCCATGTCATGATGTACCCATGAATTCATATATCTTCTATATTTAGGCATAGTTAAAATATATTAGGAATTGAACGAATCTCTAGAGATATTAATAGATGGCATATGACAAAACTAATATTTACTTTTGTTTAGCAATTGAATGACCATAAAATCTGAAAAATCTACTACCGGACATTAGTTGCGCATAGTTGCAATTTTTTATATTTTCTTTTCAATGGTATTAGCTAATAGGAATGTTAAAAATAGTATTTGTATGAGTGAAAGGATTCTTTATTAGGATTAGTAAACCTGAAGGCTTCGATGGAATTGCTTGGCTGAAGGTCTATGGAAAATCAAGATCTCCAAAATAGATCTTTGGTTTCCGTCCGAAGCTATTGAAAGGACTTTATTTAAACGAGAAAATAGATTTGCATAAAAAATAAGACATTTCTGATCTCTTCATAACCTTCTTTCATCAAGTTGCATTCGATTCACATAAAACTCAAGGAGCAATTTTCACTCGTTTTTATTGAACATTTCAACGTTTTTTCGATGTTTTACGGTTTGGAGCATTCTATAAACTAAAAACCTATTCTCAAAAGTTTCGAAGGGAAGCTAGAAACCTAATTTTGAAGATCTTAATTTACTGCAAACCTTAATCCAAGTAGTTTTATTGAAGTCTTCGATTCTACCAATAATAGTAGAGAATCATTTCAGCTACATAAATGTTTTTTTTAGATTCTTACCAGCTATTACCATAGAGAAGAAACCTTAAAAATACGCCTGCTCTGAACTTTAGTTCGTCAACATATTAGTTTTTTATGAGTTAATTTTATTCAATTTTATTTAATAAGATTGAAATTGATCTAGAATAAAGATGTACTGGACTAACGCTTAGTTTCGGTAAACAAGACTACGAGAAAAAAGTTGTTTCAATTGGAACTAAAGATTCTAGTTAAATATTCTATAGTTTTAAACGAAGTATTTTATAAATTACATCAATCAGAACATAATTTAAGAGAAATTTTCATTGATTACATTTCCATGACAAAAGAAATTAATAAGAAAAAGGAACATGAATCGTTCCATAATAAGTTAATACTGTTATTTCAAATTGTCTACGTTAATTTTTCTTTTAAAACATTCGTTCTGTTTTTCTTATCGTATCGTTACTCTCCCAAGGATACATATGACATTTGATCTATAAACAAAAAATTTCCTCCTATACCCTGAAGTCACTTATAATTGTTCACAGCTATGAAAGTCGAGCTGATGAGTGTTGTCTATGTTTTTAGATAACTGAAAAATTCTTGTGAGAACCTATTTTTAGAAATTTAAACTGATCACACTAACAAAAACAATTGACTAATGCTAATACATTTTTACTCTGAAGAAAAAATTACATAATAAACCCATATGAAAATATCATTCAATGAGTAACGACTTTAAAATAACAGAGAAATGACATTTTTAAAGATTATCCATGAAATATGAAATTCAAACTTTAGAAAAAAAAGCATCCGGTGGTTTCTCATTCAATTAAATTATTTCAAATAAAATCCTTTCAGATTATTGAATATAATAATGAACGCTTCACTGTGATATAACTATTATATGGTAAACTATGCATGGTAAAGTCTATATGGTACTCTGTATCTTGCTCGATCCTTATTGTATTACATTAAATGAAGCAAGACAGATAATATACCGTAATATAGGAATGTTCAAACTGAATCAATACCATTTGTATCTTAAGTGTAATGATAAACAGATTTTAGATGAGAAGATCAGTATTGGTTCAAAATTGTATTGAACGTACAATTGAAGTATCTGTAATTCAAAAATTAAATAAATTAGTAGAAACATTTGTTTGTATCAGCTATGCTCTAACCTATATTAGTAAAATTTAAACAAGTAGAACAAGAAGAAATAATAATACAGACAGTAATTTAATCTTGAGTCATCATCAATGACATTTTGTATAACCTTTGCTATATCATTAGAGCATGTAATCATTTGATTGTTTGGAGTATAGGCAACCATTTTTTTATATAATCATGTATATACTTCTAGCGAAAGTGCACTCGTAGCTTGTCGTGTCGAAAACTAATTATTATGAATTATTTACTTTTTTGATTGCAATCTATAAAATATTATATCGTTGTTATGGCTATTAGTGTATCTCGAAATAATTATCTATTATTAATTTTTTTATCAATCTTTTATTATTTTATACCAACTTGTCATTGACGTTGTTATTCTATATAAAGTAAAAATGAAATTGTTATTTTTTATAACGTTCAATAAAAATTTTCATTTTTTGTTTTATTTTACAGTTAATTCTAATCTATTGTCATTTAGAAACATGCAAAGACTAGATTAATATAAAGTGATGGATGAATATTATTTACTTTCATGATATAGAGTATAGAACAATTCATAAAATGAAATACAGTTTTCTTTTCTTAGACATTTAATAAATAAATTTCATCTTCTATGATCGAATTGAATTAATGAAATTCTAACGAATTAGAATGTTGAAAAAATGTATAAAGTGACTAAGAGCATCTATTGAGTTATTCAAATTCAGATCGATATTATTCAGAACAGAGATCATATATTTTATTAAAATTATAACCTGATGTAGGCAATGGCAGTAAAATGAAGGAAATGATAGTTAACGAAATAATTTGTATCCAGAGCTGACAAAGACAAGGTTGTCAACTTATGTCGTCGTCGTAATCGAAGTGGATGTACTTTTGCTTACAATATACAGGAGATGTCAAATTTCATTGAATAAGTATATTACTTGCTGTTACCTATATTGCAAAAATCCAATAATAATGTCATTTAATAAAAATTTGTATATGCAGTAAAAATACAAAATAATTGTATTAAAGATTTACGTCTACTCAATACAAATCATAAAAACTATTTTGTTCTTTTTCTGTGCATTCAATGTTCAAAATCAAATTCAAATATTTGCTGCAATCAGAATATTTCCAATGACGGTATCTCTTGTTATGCTTGTGCTACTATCTGTAGTTGTTATAAAAATAATCACGAAAAGTATTTCCATGATAGAAGTACAACTGATTACATAGTAACTTGAAATATTTCACATGGTGTCAATTTAAGATATATATGCTTTGACGACATATAGAAATAAATAAGTAATTCATAAAAGTATGTGAATAATTTTCGAATGGTTATTGATGCGATAATATCATACTTGAAAATATATCTTGGAGCTAATATACAGATATGCATATTGAAATGACGAGGACAATAAAATAAATGTCCTTGTACAAATTGTTGATTATATTTTCATACTTTTAAAGTGCTCTTAGATCAACAATCATGCAAAACTTGTAATTCTTACAAAATAAACAAACTATTAAAAGCATAAAACAACATGAATGAAAGTGTTTAACGCTTTCATTTACAGAGAATATTGATGCTCTGAAAAAGAAAAACTCAATTACACACACATAAGTTACTATTGTCCGTTGCTGGGATCATTTTTGAAAACGTCAAAGTGATGAAAATGTAACACTTCGATTTGTTCTTTGATATTCGTTGCATGTATAACAACTCAATTTTATCAAATAAGATTAAAATCATGTGAAACTTGATTCCATCATATGAAACACAAATGCAATATTGAGAACAATTGAAACTGTATCACAACAATGTGAATATGTTAATATAATATAATAATAGTTCTAATCGTATATATACTGGCTGAATTTAGAACTCGACTAAAAATTATTCTTTATTTTATTTCTAGGTAAGATCATGCTTACTTCTATTAACGAGAGAATATTCTCCAGTGATTCGTTCCGTTTGCTCTCATATTTTACCAATATGTAGGAGATCACTAGAGTAGCATAATCTCCAAAGGCTTTCTGCTCATGCTTAGACTTGATGGAGATAGCGACTTTGTAGTAGATTCTTCCTATAGGAGTCCAGTTTTTGAGGAAAATTATACTCGGAAATCTTGTCCTGAAACTTTTTACATCTGGAGGTGTCGTTTAGATTATTTCATGTACAAAACCTTATCAATTTTGAATATTGCATTGTCAAGATATAAATTTCTCAATATATCCATATCTTATACAGCACATAAGGGCACCTCAAATTTGTTTTGTAGGCATTCTATAATCTGAAGTTGTGTGTATCCATTAAATACATTTTGGGATCCAAAAATTTTCTTTAAATGGTAAAAAATGAAATTCACGACATGGAAATAGCAAATTACGTTTTTCTCCAACCAATTTTTTCATGAAAAAAATGTCAAACCGTCCGTTTATTCTGTTCGGTGCGTCCGATCAAACTGGAACTTTTTTCACGCACACCATACCTGAAGGCTTCGCGTAGAATAGGATGGGACGATTTTTTTCGTCCCATTTCATCCACAATACGGGTATACATGATCGAAAAATATAAAAAAATTTCTGACCACATCCACTATTTCCATTAATGCTACCAAAATTTTTTATCTTTTCATTTTGTATTTTGATAATTTTATCATAACCAAGTTCACAATCGGGCAACAGAAACATCTATTTTGAAACTGTTTAGCTATCCTGGATAAAAAAAAAAGATTGCTGTAAAAGACGTTTGTTTCATGGGATATTTCTCAAATATTTTTTGTCTCACGGGCCGGAATGGAATGGCTAAATTTGTTCTGTTTCATGAGATACTTTTGTGTCAATTTTTTGTAGTTCTCACAAAAAAAACTCTATTGAAAAAACATAAATTTTTAAGAATACTTTCGATCTTTTAGCTTTTGTATCCGAAGAACAAAGAAAATAAAAAGGTATTAAGCCCAAATAGTGTCTAGTATCTGTCAAACATTTTCATGTCGATGAAAATTAGCATCTCGAAGAACTAGGAGTAAGAACTCGGACCATTGTGATCCTAATCAGAGACCGAAAACAAGTCAAGTCAGACGTTCTTAAGATATGTGTCGAGTCGAGTCAGACCGGATCCCTACTCGAGCCGAATTTGACTTGAGGAACTCGACTTTTTCGAAAATTTGCAGTAACTCTTTCACTTGTTTCTTGGCATTAGATGTCATTATTGTTTCGTGAATTCTTATAATTCAATATTAACTCATTGAAATGTATCAGTCGAACAAAACAATAGAATAAACAGATTTTCATGTACTGAGACATTAAATAGACTAAAATGAATGACATATATTGACGTTCATTGTATTCAATGTATCATTGTCTATTGAGAGATTACTTAGACCGTGATGAATCGATCACGAGCCTATATATATAACCAATACACGCAACCTACGACAAAATTGTTCTCATTCTTTTCAACTCTATATTTGTTCGATTACCAAATATCTTCTGTTATAAATTTCAATCATTATATTTTCAAGTATGTCGATCAATTGAACGCCAATTAAGTGTAGCTAGCTAGATTGTGACCCAGAGGCGCTCAAATTTTGATCCTTCAACAGTCAATGATTTGATTTACTCAACTCAAGTCGAGTCGAGGGGGACCGTCTGATAATATATGTCGAGTCGGATGTTTTTTTGACTTGTTTCGGTCTCTGATTCTAATATCTCAAAGAAGACAGCATTTCGGAATTTTAAGTCTACGACAACACTTGATTTACTAATCAAAATCTCCCTGTTTTGAAAATTACAAATTTTTTCAACGAGTCACTTTTCAGAAACTCTGAAAAGAAGTAGATACTCTTAAAGAAAAACGTAGATTTATTGAGAAATTCATATTTTAGAAATGTTATATTCAAAGCTGATGAAACTCTATTCAGAAAACAGTCTAATCGAGACCTTTATATGCAAAAAAATTTGAGATTGAAAAAATTTTTTTCGAAAACTTAACTCCTACAAAAGGAATCTACTAACAAGTCGCCATCACGATTCAATCTGCATCTAAACGGAAAGCTCTCGGAGATTACATCACTCTTGCAGTCCTCTGTATGTTGATAAAATATGGCGACAAACAGAGTGAATCATTTGAAAATCTCTTCTCATCACTGTAAGCATATATTCTGTTCTAGTCGATAGATTGTACTCAGTCGTCATATGCCACGTTTATCTTACTGTCATAGACTCACTGTCAAAGAAAGCAACATGACATGTCACATGTGAATAACTATGATAATTTGATTTTTATAGTATTGACTGAAATTATTTACTGTCTCTTATCTTCTCATTTTGCTCAGTAAATAAGTATTTAGCAAATATTTTCTTTTTGAAATTTCATTTCATCATACATGCACTAAAAACTATTTTGAACGACATCTATCACATCTACCACAGTGTGTTCCTCCTTTGCTATTTATATACCGATTGATAGTAGCGTCAAAACTATATTCTCTTGTTTTGTACGAATCAAATTTCACAATCTATATTTGTTTTGTTTTTATTTTTTTTTAGAAGTCTTCACATTTGTGTGATTAACTTACCTGTTAAGTGGAATAAAAAGAAAAATATATCTTGATCGCCTTGTTTGTTTAGTGCAAGAGCTTCACACAATTACTTTACAATGTTAAAGCCATCATCAAATCGTGCAGCTAACAGGTGTGTAAATCATTAACGTATACTTAAAAAAACAGAAAACCTAGAAAATTACTCCATCTGTAGAACTGACAGTGGACTAAAAAATTCTTTGGCTACTTCTCATCATTGTAGATCGATGCCGACTATATTTAAAAGAAATAGTCAATCAGCAAAAAAGAAACTTTCATTACTTTTAAATAATGCGGATTTTGAACTTTGGTAGGTTTAAATGTTAATTCAATGATTTGCTCATTCGCTGTCGTCATTTTTCGTGTGTTTCTGTTCCTTGTTTGCTTTGTATATTATGTATGTCAATTTAAGTACTTTTCCTTTTTGTTTTATATAGTCAAGCACCAAATGAAAATGAAATGTCTGAAGTTACACAAAATTCAAACACTGAAGGCGATAGCAATACAAATCAATCAGAAATAGTAACATCCGATAATACTCTTATTGATCGACAAGAATCAGTAAAATTAAAAAAGATGAACAAATCTTATCATCCATTTCTTGTTGTTTTTAGTCTTGTTCAACAACACCTCAGAGAAAACATATAATTGATCAATTGAAAAATCGATTTACAACATGTAGATATGACAATCCAAAGAAAGATGAAAATGAGAGTGATAAAAATCGAGGTTTTCTATTAATTAATCAAGCTGATGATGATATCGTTTATATACAAAATGATAATGCTGATCAACAACATACACGTCATTCTGAACCATGTGAACATGGACGAATAGATGAAGATAATGCTCATGTTAACCAAGCTCAATTAGTACCAACTACACCAATAACACCTAGTTTATCACCACCACAACCATCACCATTAGCTTTTGCTATATCACCCGTGGTTAATCGTAAGTAAAATGAATCTTAACTGTAATCGTGTGATTTGAAATTTAGCTTAAAGAATGGAATGTTCAATCATTTCTTGTGAAAAGAATTTTTATTATTAGACGTCCAATACGGGAATGTTTGCTAGAAGACATTATAGATTACATTATAGTCTAACAGTACTAACAGATTACGGAACTGAATGTATAAAAAAAAGGTTGAAAGATGCAGAAGAGTGTGAGATATAAGCTTTTATAATTTATAGAATGCCGGACATAAGTTTCGAACAATTGTATTTTAAAGTTTTCTTCTCGATGGTAAAACTCACAAGAATTTGACAAAACATATGAACCAGAAGATGTCAATAAAATTGTTTGGATGAAGATTTCAGAAAAATCAATACTTCCAAAATCAGATTTCTGGCTTCCATTCAAGGCTTTCGAAAAACGATTTTATTTAATAGAGGAAATAATTTTGAATAAAATGAGATATTCTCGATCTTTCCATGACCTTCCGTCATCGACTTGAATTTCATTTACAGAGAGTTCAAGAAGTGTGTTTCTCTTCTATTCATTAGACATTTCAATGTTTGAGACTTTAGAGCCGTCTGTAAATTGAATGCAATTCAATAAATCAAGATTATAGATCTTTGTCAATTTGTCTATGAAGTAAAATCTTTACTCAAAAGCTTCGAATGGAAGTTAGAATGTTTGTTTTTCTCACGTTCTCATCCAAGTAATTTTGATGAAGCCTTTGAATTTAACAATCCTAATAGAGAATCCTTTTAGCTACCCAAATATTTTTCAGATTCATGTAATCCATTACCATCGACAAAAAGATTTAAAAATACAGCTGCTCTAAACTTTCGTTCACCGATAAAAATTTGACATAGATGATATTGGATTTAAACTGAAAAATAATATGTTTAATGTTCATCAAGTATTTTAATCATCGAATCCCACATTGTTTTATCCATTGTGGAGAAACAGGAAGCTAGTCCTTTCCGAGCATCAGGCTCGCTCGCTTCAACTTTTAAATCGCTCTCCAAAAAAGACAAATCATAAAAAGAAATATTGAAGCTTAGAAGTGTTGTTCCAAATATTTGTGTTAAGTGAAAGACATTTGGTGTTATAGTTTTTATCTTTATTAATATCAAAATCTTGTTTTTTTGTCAATTTGTCAGTAGTTCTTTGCATTCTTTATATGATGGATAGATTCCTTTGAAAAAAGACTATCATTGATAAACTAATTTAGAATCTCTGAGAAATTATACTTCTTTTTCTGACTATCTCATCTGATAGTCATCATATTAAACATTTACGTTGGTGAGCGTTCAGTTTTTAAATCAATATCCTTCTTATGTTGACGTGAATAAAAACAATTTTTTACAACACTCTTAGCAAACGATCAATAAATATTCAAACAATTAACGTAAGATATGCGTGACAGTGGTATTAAAAAAATCAAGATAAGACCAATGTCACGAATGCATGAAGTGATTCATCATTTGTATTTATTAATAGTTGTCGGTCGCCTTATAAAACAGAGTTAATTCTAGTGAGTCATGACCTCTATATGATCATAGTCTGAATACATGACAAATATCTCTTATTGCATACAGAAAAGAAAAATAAAATCTTAAACATCAAAGAACTATAGTTGTTTCTCGGTTAAGTATCTAACACTAGTTTTTCGGTTCACATAATTTTACTTTTGTTTTGAGAAATCTCTTACAAGTAGGTATGGCAGTTAAATTGTAACTATTATCTCATGCAAAAGTTGAATAATGCGATCTGATTAAAAGATTACTTTGAGAACATACATGTGCAACTATTGTTGATGTAGAGGAAACATATTCATAATGTTTCTTACAAGTTTATTAAGAGATTGATATGAATTTCTTATTGATTGAATTTGTTTTTCACAGAAAACGATCAGTTTCTATTGAAAGTAGTTTTGGTGTTAAATTAATTAACTTCTGTTTTTTCGAGATGAATGACTCGAACTATTCTAGGTCTCTTCGTTGGTTTTTCTATGTCATCAAAAACTTCTTTACAAAGTAATATGAATAATGTTCCTCTAGAAACTAATTGTGTAAAAGACAATGAGTTGCACGACAGCGAATCAGCATTTTTTTGATCTGTTTTTCTTGTTTTAGCTTTGAAGTGTTTGACATAAAAGATAGTTTAATGACCGATTTTCAGGTCTTAAGCAATATCTTTTCCAATTAGTGACTAAGAAGGTATTCGATGTTTTTGCTTTCTGACAGGCAAACCTTTCCATTTATGCAGATATTTCAGATTTTTCAGTACGACTTCATTCGAATAAATTTTTTAATGATCAAATATTGAAAGAAAATGTTATGCTGCCTATCAGACATATTGAATAATATCGTCCACATTTTATACTTACTTTTAGATACGTGAGTCAGTTACATAAGTTTCAGTGATTGGGCGTCATCAGTGATTTGTGTACCACTTCTGGTCAAATTGTTTCTTATATATGTAACCAGAAGTAGAATACTTGAAGGCATTGAAAAAAAAACTAATATGAACTCGACGTCTGTTAAATTAGAAGAAAAAGGTACGCAGTTCTTTGAACACAATTCTATTAAAGAATAATTTATTTCAATATCTTTAATTCATAAAATTTGACGAGTAATTTATAGACTAAGATGTTCTATAAAGTTTGTAAATTATTGATGAACAGCAATTCTCATAATAATTTAGACACGTATAATGAACCGGATGTTCAAGCAACACAAGCTGGTGTTGAATGTGCCACACCTCTTTATGATGAATCTAATGTAGAAGATACACAATTATCAGCAACGAACTCGTATTCATCAACAAATTCATCAAATAATGATTCACAATGGACTGAAATTGATCGAGCGACACTTAGTGATAATGAATACAGTAATTAAACCTAGATAGAATTTATAAATTTGATTAATTAAAGAAAAATAATTATTTTGTTATATGTAGTTCTAGCACAAAAAAGTGATCTTGAACGAATAGCAGTTTATGAAATAGATGGAATCAATGAACGTCATGAATATCAAATGTGTTTAGCTCAAATTGAAAGCGTAAGCTAACAAATAAATATATAAAGACTTCTATAATAACCCAGGATAAATTTTTGATATATATTTTTTTGATGTACAAGACTAAAATTTTTTATTACATTTGGATATCTAATCAAAGCCCTTAATTTTCCAAAGTTTCAGCTTTGTAGCTAAAACTACTGTTGAAATATGCGAACAAGAATAAAATACATGAGCATCTGCTGGAACGAATTTTTTCAAAAACATCAATTAGAGATGGAACCAGTACCAATAGATCAGTCGGTCTGATCTGATCTGTATAGAACGGTTTCATTTCTGTGTAAACGTTACTGAATTATTGTTGAATATTTTATTGAAACTGCACATCGTTAAGTCGCTTTGTCTCGGTTAACGACGTAACAAAAACTTAGTACGGCATTTCATGTGTTTTCAGGCCTACATATTTCAACACTAGTTTTAGCTAGAAAGCTGAAACTAAAGTCAAATAAAGATTTTGATTAGATACATATGTGATTAAAATTTCAGCCTTCTACATCAAGAAAAAGTAAGTTGAAACTTTATTCGCAATTGTTATAGAGCACCTTTTATTATATATGCATATAAGTGTGTTATATTTTTTTAATTTAGGAAGAATTCGATATCAATGTTCGTTATAAGGAGGAACAGCAAAAAAATGCCAAACTTCTAGAAGAAAGACGTAGATTAAAAGGTAAATCATGTTTTTCTCTTACATTATTCGTCTTATCATAAATGAATTTGTTTTTACAACTTACAGAAGAAAAAGATCGTATTTATTTACCATGGTCATGTGAAATCTGTACATATTACAATGAATCGTTCAGTAAAACACATAAAGATGTATGTGAAATGTGTGAAGGACCAAGCCCATTAAAACGACGTAAGAGAATTTAAATATATAATATATTTTGTCTTACTCAATTTATATTTTATTTTAGATGCATTAACGAATTGATTAAAATGAACAGTTCTTGTGTAAAATATTGTTTCCATATTAATCTGTTTTGTGATTTATTTTATTTAAACAAGTTGATAAACACTTCTCTTATTTTCTTTTTTTTTTTTTTGTTTTTCTCTTTCTATTTGCCTGAAATATATTTATTTGAAGAGTTTTTGTGATAACCGTACAGATTGCGTTTGTTTCTATAGCGCTTTCGATCTTATTTCTTTGCTTTAACAATAATTCTCTTCTTCTCTTTTTTAAACGAGAAATTAAATATGTGAGGTTTTTGTTTTCCTCGAACTTTTAGATTATAATTAGTTTTTAATTTAAATTATGTCATCAGCATCAACAGATAATACAACTAATTTAACTAGTAATGATGTGCTAATACAGAATTCATCAGATATGGCTCAAAAAGATGCTTATAAAGCTTCAAACACTTCACATAGTAATATAGATGATATTTATTCAAATAATGAAATTCCAATGAACTTATTACCAGCTGGTAATTCATAGAATTTTTATTTTTATTTCTTTTTATAATATAGAATTTTATTCGAGTCTTGAAATTTTAACAAATAATGATTAAAAAACAAGGTATTCCTGTATACATGATTTACTTCTTTTGTTGACGATTAGTTTCTGAAAAAATGCATTAACTAACTGGTTTTTTTTCTATTCCATTATAAAAAACTTCTCTTAAGGCATACAAGCTTATTCATAAAAAGGCTTACAAGAAAAAAATCTTGCGGCTAATGCATCGTATAGTATGAAATGAGTCTTTTTTTTCTTGTTCTGACGATTTATTTACTCACGCTACAAAACTTTTTAAAAGAACAGTTGGTTTTATGCCAATTAAGAATGCATGATTGAGCATACGAGGAATAAATTAAGAATTTAAAGATTAAATATACTTATTCATACATTATTAAGACACTTCTAGATTAACATACATGCACATGCTGTTTCTTCCTTTATATTCTGGTTTCTTTCGCTAGCGACCATAAGTCATTTACTGTAAGTTAAAGATATCTATCTTATTCGAATCAAATAAATACTCACACTTTCAAACTGACTAATGTCATACATTAGTTGCGCATAGCATACACAGATCGAGATATTCTAATGTCAAGGTATCATGAATTCAGACTTCAAAATTGCAGCAGCATTTATTTTTCTATTTTTGCCATGATTAAATAGCGTTCGGTAAGTTACATAAAGAAAAAAAAAAAAAACAAAATCATACATATGTCAAAGCAACTTTATGAAAAGGTCCACGATGCAATTATTCAATAGCAAAGTAATCAATACAAAGTTCTGAGTTTGGTAAAATTATTTTTAATTATGCGATAAATTGTTTTTTTTTCCTATATTTTGCCGGTAGCAATCCAACCATGACGAGAAAACGAAAGAAAGCAATGCTGCTGTAATTGCGAAGGTGCGGGCACATGATATAGACTGTAAATAAAATGGTAGACAAAATTTTTCGTATGATTTTGCTATAAGCGTAACTTCATTAAAAAGATATTTTTTGACCAGCGTTTTTTTTTTCTAAAAGTACAGTCACTGTTGGTAGTATATCCGCAAATTATTTTTCATTGAAAATGTTTACAAACAAAATAGAATTCATATGGATGAACAGAAGAAAACATGGACTACTTTTAGAAATTGAAATTTTTTAGAAGGTAAACTCATTATGAAGTAACTTTTCTATTTTACGATAGATAGGACTTGATATATATGTCAACTTTCTATCTTCGTATTTAATTGAAAAGCTTTTTGTAAACTATAACATTAGATCATTGAGACATTTGTTTCCCAAGATAATTTTCAAAAATTATCGCTGGCTTGAGAGCGTTGTCCTAATGATCTAATGTCGTAGTTCAAAAAAAGATTTCTTCAAGTAAATATGGAGATCAAGAGTTAACATATGCATTATATCATATCTAATGTAAGATAGGCAAGTTACTGTATAGAAAATTTACCTTCGAAAAACTTCATTTCCTACAAAGGTAGCTCGAATTTTCTCTTATTCGTCCACATGAACTTCATTTTGAGTTTGTAAACATTTTCAGAGAAAATTAATTTGATTTCGAAATCATACGTTGAAATTTGAATATCTCGATCTGTGTATACACTACGGACAGGTCTTATTTTAAATTCTAGATCATTTCAGATTCAAATGACTGTAGACTTTTCTTTTGCATAGTTGAAAAACAAAAATCAAGAAAAAACCCTAGTTTTAGTACTATCTAAAGTCGACATTGCTGTATTTTCTTTTTTATAAAGTCAATTAAAACTTTCAAGCATTTTTCGTCTTGGATACATAACGATTTTTGAAGATGAAACTAATCTTCTTTAAAAATAATGTTCTTTCTCATTCATAGTATGATGGACACATGACCTGTGTTTTCCTCTCTCGATCCACACAAGATCGAGCTCGATAATTGTTTGCATTATAAAAATAGAAAGATTTTACTAATGCTTACTCACCCATATTTTTTCAAACTTTGAGTAGCTAAGAAATTAATTCTTCTGTAAGGTTAATTAATTTTCGGAAATTTTTTTCCTGCTCATAATATCATCGTGAACCATACATTGCATTTATTTTGATCATAATGTGTCATTATTTTTAGTTAATCATATTCAAACTTTATTTTATTTGTTTTTCTGTCGAAATAATTTTTTGAATTCAAATTAGTCAAGCAAAAAGAATTTTAAGATGTTTAAGTAAATTCACTTTGAAAGTCATCAATTATCAGCATGATCTGTACTCTGAGAGACATAATCATCGTCATTATGATCTTTCAGTTGCTCTTCAATCATTGCCACATGAATATCGACCTTTGTCAACTTTATTTCATTTTGTTTGATATGATTTTTGTCCCTGCCTGCTTCCGTTGTGTCTAATTCGAAAATCCTTTTTGGACGCAAACAGTTATCAATATCTGTCTTGCGTAGCTTGATAGAGGAAAAGATAGGCTATCTGCTCATCATATTATAGATGAGAAATCGCATTGGTTTTGAAGAAGATTCGATTTACCTTTAAAACTCATTATGTGTCCAAGACGAAAAAATGGTTAAAAGTTTCATTGACTTTATTTAAAAAAATAGAGCAATATCGACTCTAGATAATACTGTAAGGAGAACTTTTTCTTGGGTTTTGTTTTTTAATAATTCACATAATACCTACGATCACTAAATTCTGAAGTGAATTATAGTTAATTTAGCAGTAAGAGCGTTCATTTGACTCGAATATGATCCATCTCCTTTAGTTACAGTACACGGTCTTCGTATCTATGTTCATGTATGCGTTTTGGCGGTTTTCCTCAGAGTAAAGAGTTCGAGATTTGCTGCTTAAATACATATAAAAACTTACTTGAAAGATTAGTATAATTTTTGCAATATTGTACATTTATGAAAATATTCACGCACTAAACATTGCAATATGAGTAATCATGCATGGATTATGATATGTAATGATTAATTGAATTTTGCTGATTACTACTTTCACTTCATTCAATTTGTTACTATGGGTAGTGAAAAAAAAATTTGATTTTGAAAAATAAATTTATTATGACAAAATATTGGTCGAATAAATAAGATTTTGAAAGTTCTTTGACTTTGTTTTTGCTTAATTCCACATAAATAAACAGTTCGATGTTGATTACTTATTGCTATGAATGCTTTTCATTGAAAACGAAAATCTTTTTATTTGAATTCTTTTTAAATTTAGACAAACATCCTTATTGGAATAATGTTCCAACAGGACGTACAAGTATTGAAGATCCTCCACAACTTGAATATGATGAACATCATATTGATTTAATTGCTGATCAAGGTAATCATTTATTTTCTGCTTTCAAATCTATTTAAATAAATAAATATATCTCTGAAATAAATCTTATCTCTCATATTTTTGTAAAGAACTCGATGATTATGAAATAGATTACGGTAAGAATAAAAAATGGTTTAGTTTAAATTAGATTTACTAATAGCTAATGCTTTTACATCGAACATACATATATATTAAATTCATTTTTTTGTTTTTGTTTTAATTCTAATGCTTTTACTAATATTGTTTTATGGACGCTTCTTCTCTTAGAAGGTGCCGATATACGGCAACAACTTGGTTTTGACGATGAACAACAAGATTTGAATTTCATTGGTGATGAAAATATTAGCGGCGGTAAATAACGCTTTTGAATTTACTGACCTTGTTCTATTTCTATTTTCTTTCTTTGATAATATAATTTATTGCTTTAACATTTAGATTCATATGATAATGGCATAGCATTGAATTCAAATAAAAATCGAGGATTAATCAAAGGAAATATAACATCAGATGGAATTATCGATGATGACTTTGAATCAGAATTAGGTGGAAATGAACAAACAGTTAGTAAAAGTTTTTCTTTTTCTTGTCTTAAAATAAAAGAGATGCATAAGATGTTGACTTGAGCCATAAAATATTTTCGATCACTTTATTGATGAAATATAGCAGTTGTTTAAATAATAAATTGACATAAAATGGTAAGGATTGCACTTTCATTGGACCTTCACTGGCTTCGTATTAACCCAAAACGAACATACTTTTTTGCTGCGTCATATCATATAATAACCACTATTATTTTATTCACAAAATCCTAAAGTGCACATATTATTTTCAGGGCACCTTTTGAATTAGTGTTGAACATCTTGGATGAGATTAATCTGACTTTTTATCAAAATCATTAATACATTTGAAATCAGCACGAAAGTCTAAGTCAATTCACATACTCTTCAAAATCTGGCAAGTAATTTCATTTTCGTCGAAAAATCCACTTGAGGTATCGCATAAGAAGCGTGTCCCGATTCCATGTGTTCTGAACTCATGGAACTCGCTAATATCAAGAAAGCCTCAAAACTCAAGAATTTGTTGAAATTTAGATAACAGATCAACTCCAGCTTTGAAAATGCTTTGGTTATCCACAAATGTTAAACGACTGCAGCGGTGTTGGAAATCTAGAAATTTAGGATACCAAATCTGTCGCGAGATATGATAAATATATGATACAATCTTTGTTGTAGATATTCAAATATTAGTGTGGCTATAAATGCTAAGAAAACCGAAGCCTACATCCTTTTGTTTCTTGGAGTGAGGTTAAAATAATGAAGTTAATTACAAGGCCGTTCGTATTAATTAACCTATTATTCTGTTAAATCTATTTAATTCGTAAGAAGTATAGAATTTGTTTTTACAGTCAGAATGGGGTTTTTTATTAGGGTCGTTTTTTTGACTCGAGTCTGATGGAAACCTTGGCTGAAATTTTCCATGAAAATAAAATTACTCTTAAGATTTTGAAAAATATATCGATTGACTTATATTTTCGTGCCAATAGTATATAAGAGACAATGGCTTACACAAAAATAAAATAAGCCAAACGATTCTAATTAGTATCCGCTTGTGAGCCTATTGAACCATACCTTGCTCAAAGAATGATATCTCTTATAGCCAACTTTTTAATTAAAGTAATAATAGTTTTTCAATAAAACGAGGCACAAAGTAAAATGTTCGTTTTAGACTAATTCTAAACAAGTGAGAGTTCAATGAAAGTTTAATTTTAACAGTTTTTTCGTAACTTTCTTATTAAAAAAATCGCTTTATTTCATCAATAAAGTGATCGAAAATATTCAGTGGACTAAATTGACATCTTATGGGTACCTATCCTTTAATTAATATTTGTTTATATTTAAAGGAATTACATGATACAGAAGATGTTGATTATCAATTAATGACAAAAATAGCTGAATATGGAATTATTGAATGTTGTGGTGATGATAAATTTGGTCGAAAAACAATTGTTTTTTCAGCATGTCGTTTGCCGAATGAAGAGCTTATTAGAAACAGTGAATTTAAAACAGTTATTAAATTCCGTGAATGTTTATTTAAGTAAAAAGAATTTCTATTTTTAAAAAACAAGAAAAAAAGAACATTTATTTTATTTTTTCTTAAATAAGATATTTTTTACAAGCATTTGATCAATATGTTGATATGGATTATGTTCTGATTTATTTTCATTATGGATTACGTTCATATAATCGACCATCATATGGATGGTTAATGAAATCCTATCTTAAAATTGATCGAAAGTAAGATTTTTTTTTTTTTTTAATATAAAATAAGAGTTCTTTAAACAATTGATTTTTTTTTTCTTTTAGATACAAGAAAAATTTAAAAGCACTTTATGTAGTACATCCAACAAAATGGGTTAAATTTCTTTGGCCAGTTCTTCGTTCATTAATAAGGTAGAATATTTTTATTCTATCATTTGTTATAAAATTCTAGCAATCGAAAATTTGAAAAAAAAATTGTCATTTTTGTCATGGTTGGGTAGAGATCGTTGAATTATCTCTAAAAATTTTATTTTAGGCATATAGGGTGTGGGTGGAAATTGAAATATACCAAAAGCATCAAGTTTCGATAGTCTCAATATTTATTCGAATTTTTTTGTTATTTTACTCATCATAGAATTAGGAAAAAAAAATTATTTATGATTTTTTAAAATATTGTTTGATTTTTAAGAAAATCGTTTTTTTTTTGTATGAGAGCACAATGACATCAATACAAATTTTTACTCAGAGTTTTTAATAATTGAAACTTGAATTCCAAATGAAATGAGTGTTATATTCAGATTTTGCATAAAAATCTGTATCGAATAGTATAATCATTAATTAAAACTAGTTTTTGTCAAATTTCGAGTTAAGCAAAGATCAGGTCAGAGTATTCGATAATATGTGAAGTTATTTCAGTCGAGAAATAGTTGCTTCCACTGATAATAGTCAAAGATAACTGTATTCAACGCACATATATATTCTTCATCTCATTTTTTAAAATAAATCCGTCACTATTTAAAGATTGATGATTAATAGCTTGGATATGATAATATCCGAACGCATTAAGAAAAAGCCTAATAGAATATAGAGAGAGAAAGCATCGATCATGAGACAGAAAAGGAAAGTGCACATGATAGAATGGGTAACATAGAAATGATGTACAGGAAAGAGCAAAGCAACAAAGTAGAAAAGAATACGCAAAACAATGACAATATATAGATTTATTACTTAGAAAATGGCAGTGGCGGGGCGTAAGAAGCGAAATTTGACGAAAACTAGCTTTACGTAGTGAGTATGCTATTTGATGGAGGTTTTTCAACTAATTCCGAATATGAAATTTTTTTGTGTATTTGGTATTCAAGTTTGGATGGTTACAACCTGCGAATAGAAGTCGGTATTTATGCCGTTTTGGTATCATATGAAAAAAGTTGATTTTCTTAAAACTCTAACAATATTTTTTTTTTACAAAGTATGTATAATTTTTTTCTTAACTATATATGATGAATGAAATCAAAAAATAACTCGGATAAATATCGAGACTACCGAGATTTATTACTATATAAGAGTAAAAATAATTGATTGTTTTACTCATATAACTCCGATATTGACTTCGAAAAAACTTTTACTCGATCACTCCGAGTCAGAGTCCGACCCAGGTTTCTAATTTTAGTGGATTTCAATTTGCATATGCCTTTCTAACTTTTCTGAACGTGATTTGCCAGACATGGAATTGATTTGGATTTCGCACAACTGATATTGGTATCGCTCTGAAATCTTTACCGATTAAAAGAACTTTCAGCAACGTTTCATTATACATTTTCCATGGCATAGTAAGAGCAAAAGAATCAGTAAGACACATCGATCCTGAGCAGTCTGAGCGCTGTGTGTAGGTATCGGCTTCATCTCTGATGAAATTCACTACAAAACATTTTTCGAATATATCAAAGATAACATGTTTAGATTGAAATTGACGAACTCGATATAATCATGATAAAAAAAAACTTCTGCTTGAATGTCGCATTGTTAACATCTTTTATAATTATTTTGTTTTTATTTCAATTTTAAGTGCAAAATTCTCGCGTAAAGTAACTTACATTAATCATCTTGGTCAACTTGAAGAGTATGTTCATCTTGAAAATATTCGAATACCTGTTGAAGTTAAAAAGTAAGCAAAACAAAATAGCAATTGTATTATATAGAAAATTTTAAATCTTTCATGAATATAGTTTTGATCCTGTTATTCGTTTGGCATCACCAACGAATAAAATACGACCGACAACAAAATTTCATGTTTCACTTCAATTGTAATTTGATTAAATCGATATATTTTTGATAATTAAAATGAAATTCAATTTAGTGTTCTAGAGAATGAACCAGGTGAAACTGTACCAATTGTTGTTCGACAAACAATTGAGTATATTAAAAATTGTGGTCAATAAATTTCATTTTTCTTTTTGTTTAATAAAACTTTTTATTGTTTTTTTTTTTATTCTGTAGGACTTAATGAACCAGGAATTTTTCGACGAGCTGCAGCTGTTTCATTGATTAAACAAATACAACAGAAATATAATGAAGGTTTGATAGAAATATTTTTTAACTGAACATTATTTTCAATGATATACTATAATAAATAGGTCAACCAGTTATATTCGAACAGTATGGTGATGTTCATTTAGCAGCATGTGTTTTAAAAACATTTTTACGAGATTTATCTGAACCATTAATGACATATCGTTTATATCCTGAACTTCTTGGTCTCTCAGGTAGTGAGTATGTTATAGTTTTATATTTATCCATTATTGTTGTGGTGTGCAAAGTTCTTAGTTGGCTACATCTTCTCGGTTTCTTTCTTTGCTTCAATGCGGTACACATTGTATTATTTTATTAATATTGCACTTTTCTTAATTTAGCTTTAGTTAAACATTAAAACAAAAAAAAATCGACTAAAATGATTTTTGTTGAACTAAATAACTAATTTACAGATACTTTTTTGTTTATGAAATAATTTTATAATGAAGATTTTTTTTTTTGTTTAGCACTTAAACGATTTGATCAAGTTGATGTTATTCGAGATCTTATTATTGAAAAATTACCAACACAGAATTATAATGTTTTAAAATATTTGATTGAATTTTTAAATTTGGTAAGATGGAAAAAGATGAGTTTTTGTATAAATTTAAAGCAAATCTTTCATTGATATTCTAATGATTAAGAAGTATTGTTATAATAGAAGGCAAAAAAACTGCTGTTGAACACACGAATTTCGTCGAGCTCGATTTTTCAAGTTTTTTTAAGCAATATTCTTAAGAGGACTACTTACGAACATCAGGAAGTAGTTTTGTATCTTCAGCAAGACTGACACTTTTCCAACACTACTAGATTAATGATTATCGTAATGCGATGTAAAACTATCTATTTAAAGAAGACCTTTGCTTGAATTATCTGACATAAAATTTCCAAGATTTAAGAATGAAGCATTGTGACGCATCAAGGTTAGCAAAGCAATTTTAGCATTATATCTATAAGAAACTATTACCTAGCTATTGAATGGTACTGATTTCAGTTTAGTTTAAAAGTTATGATCGGCTATCGAGCAACATGTCTATAAGAGATGAGATGAATAAAAAAAGATTTTTGAACAAACAACTGGATAGAGTTGGCATCTGAACTCTAAAATATTTGATGACTTGGAAAAGAAAGTCATGTGCTTTGCTCTTGTTGAATCGAAGAGATAGCAAATCGTTTATTAATTGCTATCTTTGTACACTATACTGTATGTTTAATCGATGAATAAAAAAAAGTTTCAATATGCGTTGTATTCAGTAAGAGAAATGTTGAAAAGTCTAACAGCATCTTTCTTTTGCATGCTGCTGTATATTGATATATCAAAGCAAAGAAAAATTAGGTAAACGGTAATCACTATGTCTTATGAGTCAGCTAATAATGATTACTTTTCCAGAATAAGTTCTTCATAAATTCAGAAAGAGATGATCTCTAGATCAAATACAAGGCTAATTGAAAATCAAAAAGATTTCGATTTCATATACATAATGTTGCTATTAAAACAGTAAAAGTTCCTATTGAGATGCTTATCATTGAAAAGAATAAATATCTTTTTTTTTTCTATGCTACTTAATTCTATATAGAATTGATGTTTGATGAATTGTGGTTAAACTTTTTTTTTAAATTCAGGTGGCTAATTATTCAAATACAAATCTGATGACGACGACGAATTTATCGATTGTTTTTGGACCTAATTTATCATGGTCCGAAGATGTTCAAATGAATACGTTGGCTAACTATGCACTTATTAATACGTTTACAGAAATTTTAATTGCACGTTATACAGAACTTTTTCTCAAATAATCAATATATTTTATTCGTTTTGAAAATCTGTCTTCATTTATTTATTGTTTTGTCTTTCACCTATCATACATTCCAATAACAACAACAAAAAAAAAAGAAAAACAAAACAAAATTTATCTGATCTTGATTGATTTGATAAATTCTATTGGAAAAATGAAATCAAATATTCATTCCACTGTTTTTTTTTTTGATTTTCAAAATTGATTATTTTTTATGTGTGATATTCTTTTGTGTTATACATATAATTTTAAGCTTGTTGTTCATTTATTCGTTGCATAATAATTATAAAATGCATCTAGCTATGAGTATGTGTATTCATATAACTAAACAAACAACAATATCAAATCATTTTTGTTTTGTAGATTATATTGTATATAATTCAAATTTTATTAGAATAAACTGTGAGACGTAAAGTCTCGAATAATATAAGTCATGGCATCTGGACCAAAGCAAGATTTTGGGTAGGTTTAGTTTTTCATTTAATAACATGTGATCGGTAAGTTTATAGATAAGATATTTGTTCGCTTTTGATCAATGAGAAAGTATTTCCGACCAGTCAAAAGTTATGAATTAGTATGCTCTTTTCAAATATGGGCTCAGATATTTTGCTCAACAAAAATGACATAGTTCTTGAGAAGCCTTAAAAATTAATTTGGATGAAAATTTTTTATATTTTTACCATTGCGGTTGGAAACTAAAATCTGTTATCTTTACTGATATATTAGCTTGTAAATCAGAAGTTACCCTACAAAATGCATTTTGTCTTTCGATAAGGCACTCTAAATTTTCTTTTTCCTAATTAATCATTTTCGAAATATCGACAATCATTTTAGGTTAGAAGAAGCTCTTAAAAAAATGCGTGAGTAAAAGCTACAGCTGATGAGGAAATCTGCTCAGATGCTCTCTTCCGGCTTCAATGATTTTTTTGCCTTATACCCAGGTGATTCTCACTCGGTCGGATCCCGTCGGATTCAAATAATTGCGTCTGTATCCTGTCGGATTTTTGTCGGAATCCCATGGGCAGGATTCCGTCTGTCGGATCTGATCGGGCACATGCAAAATCCGATAGGATTCTGTCGGATTTCGTCAGTTTTTATCCGATTCCGACGAAATCCTGACCGGAATCCTGTGCAAGGATTGCTTTTCTTGGGTACATCCTAAATCATGTTCGAGTATGAGCTTTGAGAGAATTTTGGTTCTTGTGGAAATTCGACTAAACTATCGAATTTACATTTCTAAGTCTATATCTCTCTAAAAAAAAAGGAGTTTTGCAGAACCCCCGAAAAGGTTCTGTAGATTTCTAAAAGCATCCAAATGTGTTCAAAGTCTCAAAAAAAGGGTGAAAAAGTTCGACAGAAACTTTTGGAAGTTCTGTGGAGTACCCACTAGCAGAACCATCTCTTATGAAACCTTTCTTTAGGTTCTGTTCAGCAAAAAAAGGTTTCGTGAGCAAATACGAAACCTTGAGGGTTCAGTACAAAACCATTAACCTTTGGTACGAAACCCTAATGGTTTTGTACTGAACCCTCAAGGTTTTGTATTTGCTCACGAAATCTTTTTTTGCTGTACAGAACCTAAAAAAAGGTTTCGTAAGAGATGGTTCTGCTAGTGGGTACTCCACAGAACCTACAAAAGGTTCGGTCGAATTTTTTACCCTTTTTTTGAGACTTTGAACACATTTGGATGCTTTTAGAAATCTACAGAACCTTTTCGGGGAGTTCTGCAAAGTTCCTTTTTTTTTTAGAGAGATATTAAACTCTGGTCGTAATATATAGTTTTTTGGGGTCGTCTGAAATGCTTTGAAGCAAATAAAGCTAAAAAAACATGTTCACTAGAAGCATCGTTCCACACGTTCTGGCCAAAATAATTTTTCGGTTTGTTCAAAGACTATTTCGCTATTTTTGCACAGAATTTCAAAGCTCATATTCGAAAAGAGGTTTCAAACTCATACCTTTTAATTTATTGGAAACGTTTGCTACCAGACCCACAGTGAATAAGCATCTTGTCTAAAAACTTTCTGATCATTCGTTATTAATACAATTATCTATTTCTAATAGACTATTACCACGCATAATCAATGGTGGTATAGCCGGTATTGTTGGTGTTATATGTGTATTTCCATTAGATTTAGTTAAAACTCGAATGCAAAATCAATCAAAAATGGTTGGTCAACCACCACTTTATAAAAATATGTATATGAATTAACATAATTTATCAATATAAGAAATTTGATTGTATTATGTCGATTTAGTTTTGATTGTGCTGTAAAAACATTTCGAAGTGGTGGTTTTCGTGGAATGTATAGTGGTTAGTATTATTTGTTAGTTTTTGATTTATAAATATTCAATAAAGGAATATTTGTTTAGGTTCTGCAGTCAACATTTTATTAATAACACCAGAAAAAGCAATTAAACTTGTTGCGAATGATGGCTTTCGCTATGCATTAAAAACCAAGTAAATAAAATTAAATAAGATAGATTATATAAAAAAATTAAATAAATAATATATATTTTTTTTTGAAGGGATGGATCACTTCCTATGCATCGACAAATTCTAGCTGGTGCTGGTGCTGGTACATGTCAAATTGTTGTAACAACACCAATGGAGTTACTTAAAATTCAACGACAAATGGCAAAATCAAAAGGTAAGAATATTTAAATTTATTTAATTTAATCTGTTTTGTTTTATTTTGTTTTTAGATTCAACTCTTTCACCTAATGCTCGACAATTAGCAATACAATTATATCGTGAAAAAGGTATACTTGGTTTATATAAAGGTGTTGGTGCAACATTTACTCGTGATGTTATTTTTTCAATGATGTATTTTCCTTTATTTGCTTACTTTAATGACAAAGTTAGTTGAAATGAAAATTTCCTTTGTATAGTATTATGCTTTTTTGTTTTTTTCTATTTACAGGGAAAAACACCAGGTAATAATCAAGTACCATTTTATCATTCATTTGGATCAGGTATTGTTGCTGGTGCTATTAGCGCTTTTCTAGCAACACCATTCGATGGTAAGATATCTTTTTTTTTAAGTAAAATTTTTATTGATGAACATTTTATATACAAGTTGCAATGAGAATCAAGGCTAGAACGTGTGTAGAATTAATTTTTTGTTTTTTAGATTTTGATTTCACATGTCAATATGCTTTTCTATTCAATTTATTCACAGAATGAAGTCATACATAGTTCAGAGATTAAGTGAAAAGATTTTGAGAGTTTTGACAGACACACGAGAGATGATAGAAAAAAAATTAATATCAACGAATTTTTGGCTTTTTTTTCTATACTATTTATAGAATGTTGTACTATTTAAAATAGCATTGTTAAAAAATAGCTTTTGTGATCTGAAAACTATCATGTCCAGTTTTTCAGAACTTTTACCATCATAGTTTATCTATGCAACTTTGGTAAAAGAAAATTTCATTAGATGTTAAAATCGCTATCTTGATTTGAGCTGATTGTTTAATATTATTAAAAATATCAAGCATACGTTTTTAGTAAGCTTTTTCTCTATCATCATTAGTAAAACTCGTTATGGTCACGGTCTCGTCAAAAATCGTTCTCGAGTTAAGTACATCTCAATCATATGACATTTTCAGGGTATGTTGGGAAAGTAGTGGGGAGTCTATGATAACGTTTTTAAGAGTATGCAACAAACAAGCGTCAACATTAGTTCATTTGGCAACTTAAAATTCTTTATAGGTCTTCAATATATATACTTAATGTTTGTTGACAGAAGTATGTCAGGATGGAAGATATGACAGAGCATTTTTTAAAAACTATTATTTTTCAAGTGAAGAAAAGGGATGAAAAGCTCTATGTATCGAAAAACGTAACGCTCAAATTATAAAAGTATTCTTTTATGTAGTAATAACAAAGCTCAATTTAAAAAATGGAAGTCTGTCACGGCCAGCATCTTGACATGCTCTTTTAAACAATTGAAAAATTAATTGTCATAATAGTTAATTTAATTGCAAAGCGCTCATATCGCTACTAAAATAAAATTTGAACCACTCATCAAGCATACTTGAGAGATTTTTTTTTGCATTTAAATAAAAGAATTCTTCAATATGTTTTATTAAAAAATTTACTTGATCAAAATTTACTGCTAAATTATACACGATATCATAAGATACAGAAACATTATAGAGTAACATTGAGGTATGTCAAGTTTCGATGTTCGTTTCGAGTAAATAAATGACTTTTTTGTTTTCTTTTCGTTATAAAATTTAAAGCACTTTTTCTGCATGAAATATTGTCTTCTCTTCTATTCTTTAGGATTGATTAATTTCTATCATGCTTAGACCCTAAGAAGATTACCTAAATAATCAGAGTAAAAAAAAGACCTTGTTATTTTAATGCTTTTATAAAACACTATCTAATATCAAAATGAATGAATAAAAAATTTTATTTTGTTTAATAATTACCATTTGATATTAAAATGGTTTTGAATGATATAATGATTCCTACTCATCGTTTCATATTATTCTATTGCACTTTCTTCTTATTAACATATGAATATGGTTGGAACTTCTTAATTCAGCATCAGGCTTTTTTAAAAGTTCTAATAAATTAAGATAAATTATGCTTATTGTATCTATTATTGAATTTGATTTATTTAGTTGTCAAAACTCGTTTACAAACATTAGAATATAAACATCGTTATTCAGGTATCATCGATTGTGCTACGTAAGTAAAACAATCTGTTACTGTTCTAATATTTATCTTATATTTTTTATTTGTAGAAAAATCATGAAGGAAGAAGGTTCAAGTGCCTTTTTTAAAGGTTCACTTCTACGTGTCATGGTTATTGCACCTTTATTTGGTATTGCACAAATGGTTTACTATTTAGGCATTGCTGAAGCTATGATGGGTCTTAAACCATTGGGTAGTGTGAGCTAATGCAATAAAAAAAATGAATAATCATCTCTAAACAAACAAGAAAACTCACAACCTTGATGAGACATATGTGTATTTTGTGTTCCTCATCGAATTAATTTTTCTTCGTTATATCCGTCACGTATATCAAAAAACAGTACTTTTTTTTTGTCTACTTTTGTGATTATTTTTCGTAACCTAATCTGACCTTTATATGTGTAATATTTTATAGAGAAAAAACCTTTTTTTTGGGTGTACTATTTTGAGAATGGGTGTAGTTGTCTTCCTTTTACTCTCCTTTTACATTCTATAAATGTATTGTATCGTGTTTCATATCAGCTTTAATGATGATTCCGGATTGTGCGTTCGTTTCTTCCTAGTATGAGAAACAGTTCGATGACTATTAACGAATATATTTTAGATGTTAAGATTAGTTTTGTTCAGATTAATGAAACAAAGAAAAATGAACTTAATAATGATCTTAACAATTAAATATGAGATTTTTTATTTTATTGAATCCAGAGAGGTTTTTAAATAATTCAATTTTATGTTTCATTAGCTTCGAAAAATTAAACTATTATTTCAATACATGTATGGAGAATATTATTGGTAATCTCAATAGCTCAGATACTTTCAACTGAGACAAACTTCAATAAATAATCTATATTTTGTTTTTTTTGCTCGTTCTGCTCTACATTGGAATAATGCAAGGAAACCTGCTCTATGATATCATCTCTGAATTGAATACTTCAATATATGATTGATAGAGTAAATCATTAAATATGATTAATCAATACTCGTCTAATTACTTAGTTATATATTTTTAATTTAAATAAACATAAAAAAACAATAATCATCGTTTGTTTTCAATATATATTAATAGAGAAATCTACAAGTAAGTTTATTTTGAAAATAGATTGTGAAGCTATACACAGATTTGAAAGAAAAATTTTGAAAATTCTTGTCTATTGTACATTCTCTATAAAAGTACTATGAGACAACAATTAGTACGACATGAAAACTTAGGCATGTTCCTGATCGCCTCTTCAAATTTGAAATAATTATCATACGATTCCATGAATTAAAATATCGGTCAATTTGATATTCTCTTTCGATAAAGAACTAGAGGCACAAAGTGATGTCTCGTATAACAATACACATGCAAGAAATGATACCTGCAAGAAAGATCTTGACAGAATGATCGCATTTCATAAATATTATTGAATGTTTGCTTTGATATAGAAGGTTATCGGGGTCATAAGTCGATCATCCCCAACTCATACATATAAATCGTCTATTGAAATGCAATCAAGTCTCAGAAGTTGTAGAATTCGCCATTGTTTTTCTATTGAAATTTAGTTTGCCTCAGCAAATGTCAACAAATCTAGTAAAAAGAAGGTAGGTATGTGTTAGGTATTCTTAACACAAGCAACACTTGGAACTTATTTTCAAATAAAAGAAATTTATCACGTAATTTTGAATCTAATTAGACACGAATTTAACCTATGACATGTATATGAGTCAATGACAACTTTTCGATATGAGGGAGACTTTAACTATATTTGGCTAATAACTTTTGTTCTGATTAATCGGTTGAAATAATTTTTTTATATGTTACTCCATTCTGTATTTTCTATACGCACACCAAATTTCAACTTTTTAGTTCATACAATCGATGACTTATAAGAAACATATTACAAAAAAAATGTCATTTTGTAGTGACATGTATAAAGAAAAGGAAATTTTTTTGACTACAATGAAACAAAAGCAAGAGGATGTAAATAGCTGAGTTTGTACAACGTTCGATGCTTTATCAGAATATGTAGTTGATTTAAATTTTATTCATTCTTTATTCCTTTGTCTAACACCCACATTGTTTAATAGACACTTGTATGTATTGGCGTGAAGTGACATAAACTCAATTCTAACTCGCTTTACAATAAAGTTGGCGACACACAACCCATATAAGAAGAGAGAGCTCTTACAATAACAAACTAGTGAAAAAAGTTTTCTTTTATTAGCTTTGTTTCAGAGAAAAACCAATAGTACCTGTGAAAAAAGATCAATATACTCATTTTGTCGAAAAGCACTTTGAAAATTGTCTGCTGTATAATATGTCCATGAGCTATTCGATTTGGCTCAATATTTTACAATAGATGTAAAACAAAAAGTTATATAAGTGGTAAGAATTTTAGCTCTTGATCTTTCACTATTCAGGAGAAACTTACATTAAACTGAAAAATGTTGAGTGATGCTATTGGTACATATATTCTCAGTTGAACTCATTCGAAAATATCGCTTGCAAATATAATTTAAATAAATACGATATAGTAAGTTAATTAGAGTATATTGTGATCTTTTTCTGAATTCCTATCTTTCATACAGAACTGAAAGTAGACTTGAACTTTTTCAATGAGTCAAGCCAATTTTATTATTCATTAAACTATAGAATATGTATTTCTTTTTGTAGTCAGAGAAATGTTACGAAACTTGTGTTGCTAAACACAAGTGTCTAGTATAGTAAAATATCTACTCAGAAATTGTTTAGGTCTACTTTCAATTTATCATGCCAATACAATTTACTAATAGAAAGCTGTTTTATGCATTTTGTTCAAAACAACAACATAGTTTATTTCGAACTATTTTGTATTTCTTTTACATCCTTTATTCACGAAATATGACTGCATTTAATTAAAGATCTAATAAAAACAAAATCGCCAAACACATAATAAATATACAAACTAGCAGTAAGTTTGAAGACGATCCATATGAAATTTTCATTTTTCAACAATAAATTCATACTCAAATGATTAAATGATGAACATAGGAAAAAAATTTGGTTTCAATTGTCAAACATTGTTAAAGGAATTCATACTAAGTAAATACAAAAGTTCAAATATTAATAAAGTTTTATTCTTGATTAAATAAAAAAAAACCATGCAGTTAAACAAGAATTTGAGAATATGTCACAATACCACATCAAATATCACTATTCAAAGCTACAACAATTCAGTAGAATTTCTTTTCATAATTCATAACTAAATTTTAGTGAACATGTTAAAAGAAAAAAACGAAATAAAGATTATATTGAAAATTTATTCAATGAAACATATGCTATTAGAAATAAATACAACCTTTATATGTATATATGTTTGAAAAAAATTGAAAAATATTCCTCATCAACATGATGTTTCTATTCAAAACATCAGGCAACAATGTGTTACCATGCTTTACGTAATTCCATATTGTACAAGGTAAGTATACGTCGATCACACTTACATAAAAGTAGTAGTAAAAAGAAATACAAAAGAAACAAAAAAAAAGTAAAGTAGTTATGAGACAGCGTGGCAAATAAACGTTAAACATAAGTGAATATTTGTTTATTCAATGAAATTTTCATATGAGAAAAAAAAGAAAGAAAAGACATACAAAATTATGTTTCGTTAAAAAACAAAACTAACATTAATTTTTTTTACATGTTTATTACTAAAATAAAAACCAATGATTTATTTTACAGAAAAATTTAAATAATAATTATACAATATTAAACATGCGTCGTCAAAGTGAAAATAATGATAATAGATATTATGCTTATTTACCTCCAACAAGTTCACCATCATCTCGAAATACTTCCTCAAATAGTATAAACCGAAATGCACATTATCAATATTATGATCCTCGTTTACGTACTCGACAACAAGCACAACAAAGTCTTTATGAAATTCAATATTCAAGTACAAGTCCTAATCGAAGTCCAGCTTCTTTATATGGCTCACCCCGTCATCAACATTCTTATCAACCACCATCATTTCTTCAAGATTTACCATCATCATCAGCAAATACGATTTCTGATTTAGGCGAACCAATATCTATATTTGATAATATTAAACCATTAGAACAACGACGAGCTATTGTTGCACCGCCTTTACCATCAACATATGTACCACCTAATATAAATCAACGTCCATCTGTAAGTGATGTTCGTCTTGCAACGGCACACGTATTGAGAGATCAATTATTAACTGATATTCAACGTACAATAAATGATATCGATCGAGACTTAACTTCACTTGAACGACGACCTTCATTACAACGTTATATACCACCACGTTTTTCACCTATTATAGAATTAGATGTAAGAAATTTTCGCTTTATTTTTTTATGACAAATAAATATAAGATTATTTCTTCTAGAATCAAGATGAAAATCTCTTTCGACAAACAACAAAGGCTACTAAAGCAGTTAGTGTTCCAGTAAAAAAACCTGTTCCAATAATAACGTCACCTATGAATAAAAAAGTTCAACAAACATCAGCACATTCAACAGCAACAACAAAAGAAGGAAATAGTAGTACTAGCAGTCAAATATGGCCAAATAAACCAAAACGAATTTATGAAGTTATACCTAGTTTAACAAGTGATTCAAGAAAAACATCAAGACAATCATCTGTTGGTGCACAACATGAACGAATTAAAATAACTGAAATACAATCACGACAATCAACACCAAAACTCATTGAAAAAAGTAAAGTTCATATTTTTATGTCAATTATTTTTGTTTCGCTCTTTGATGCTAAGAATAATTTTATTTACTTATTTATTTCTCTAGGTATTTCATCATCACAGCTTCAATTACGTGGTCAATATCATTATGCACCAGAAGTTGAAGAAGTTGAAATACTTCCGAATGATCCAGAAAATATTGATCATAAATTGACATTAGATGAAATTCAAGAAACAAGTCCTTATGAAACATTAAATACTGATCAATTTCTTCATGATTCATCCAATCCACTTGAAAGTCGTGTGATAATTTTTGTTCCAGAAGTTAGTGGTAATAGTCGAATAGGACATAATGAATCTATTGAAGACTTAATTCAACATGATCAAATTGATAATGCACATATTGCTCAACCATTAACAGTTGACTCTTTTCATGATGTAAGACCAACTAAAGAATTAACTAGTCAAGATGCTCAATCACTTATTCAAACAGCACCAGAAGTTCAAAATGAACCTGAACTTGAATCTCGAAATATAATTATTCCTCATGAAATACATCATGAAACTGGAATTGATTTAGAAAATCAAACTAATCCAATTATTTCAAAACCTATTCAACATCGACGACCATCAACAAAAGATTCAAGAGCAACTTCAATTACTACGAATGATCTTCATGAAAAATCATCTTCATTACAAATACCAACGATTGATTCTACTGTTGTTGCTGCTTCATTTTCTCCTCCTCCTCAACCTTCTTCTCCTCCACCATCTCCTCCTTCTCATCCTGCAGATAGCAATGCTAATAGTCTTGCTCCTTATTTCTTCAGTGATTTTGGAAATGAAGGCGAAGGCGAAGAAGATACAATAACAATTGATCCAAGCAACTTTGATATACCAACTGGTGCAGATGTCATTGCTGATGATAGAAATAGTTTAATGGAACAATCTCAAACATCATTATTACATTTACACTCAGCACACGTGCCACAACAGCAACAACAACAACGCCAACAGCTTACCTCGGCAATGTCGTCGAATATAAAAAATAACAATGAGCATAGGCAAGTAGAAGAAAATGAAGAAATAGAAAGCAAAGAAACGGATACAACGAACAAGCGTATAACAACTACTACTTCAGTTTTACCGTCGTCGCCTCCGTCACCAAAAAAAATCTTACCTTCTTCCATTATTGACGACATGCAAACGCAATTTAGTGGAGAAAACAGTACAAATAACGACGATCATCATCGACAACCATCAACTAAAATGGCAAATACAGATGCAGCCGATTCAAATATCGAAGAACAAGAAAAAAGTTTAAATAATTCACAAATTCGTCTTCGTTCACCATCATCATCAAAATCTTATCAAATGCATTCTCGTATTCAATCAACAACATCAGAAAAACATGATGATGAACAAATTAAAAATAATAATGATGAAAAACATAGTTTATCATCATCACGTCATACTACTCCATTAAAAAGTATCGATAATGAACACATTCAAACACCTGAAAGAATTAATTCTGCTAATCAACGAATAAAATCATCATCAAGAACTTTATCACGTAGTCAATCTAGAACTTCGAATCATATAAAAAATGATGAAGAAACAACACGTATTGATTCTGCAAGGAAAATTTCATCAAATAATCTCAATAGAGAAAATTCAACTACTAGTTCAAGAACAATATCTCGTCCAGCATCGATGGCTCCTAGTGAACAATCTCATACAAGTCAACGAAGACCTGCTTCATTACGTCCTTCTTCTAATAATGATGAACTAGGTCAATTAAATAATTCACATGATTATATGAATAAAACACTAACAAATGAAAATGAACCAAATGCATTTTCAGCTGAAAGTGAACATTTTCTTCATCATGAACAACAAACACCATATGATCTTAATCAACGATTACCAAGTAATTATTCAATATCTAATCCTAGTGAGTCTCGCCGAAGTTCAACAGCAAGTTCAACACTTCCTGTTACACTTAATTCACCTGATAATGCAGATAATCAACCAAAAACATCAAGAACAACGACACCCAAGAAAAAAAATTCTGTTTCTTCAATTGATATACCATCTGATCCAAATGTACTTCTTACAACAACTGATGAACCAGATCCCAATGATCCATCAATAATAAATAGTACAATACATTTACAAATATTATCATCTCAACAACCAAATACTGATATATCTATTATAGAACGTAATGAACCTAGTCCATTAGAAAATATTGTACCATTACAAGAACTTCCTACTCGTGTTCAATCTGTTGAATTACCAACCGAAGAAAATTTACATAAATCTCCCTCGAGTTTACATCGTAGTCCGTCAGTTGAAATTGAACTTGTACCTAATAATGAATTACCGCCAGTATCACCAGAAAATAGTATGCGTCTTCAATCTGTTTCACCATCCAATCATGAACAAGAAGAATTATTACATCAAACACCCTCACCATCTAACATTGAACATCAACAAGAATTATTAATTCAAAGTCCTTTACTTTCTTATCCAAAAACTCTTGAAGATTTAAAGCGTTCAACTTCTCCACCATTTCTGTCGCCAAATGAATATAAACAACAAGAACAAGATGAAAATAATCGATTACCCACAGTATCAACACCAATTAATGATGCAAAAACAACAACAAATGATTATCATCATACAGAACAAATTTTATCGGATAAATTAGAACATTATGATATACATTCACCCTTAAGTTCTCCACGTCGTAGCGTATTATCCAATACTAATCATACATCTGTTGAAAGTGATAGTTCATATAGACAAAAATTAGATACACCATCAATATCTTCTCAAAACGAACGAATTATATCTCCTGTTCGTGATGATAATATTAATAATAATCAATATGAAATTCCAAAACAAAATTTAATATCAATACCCATCAAACAAATACTTCCTAATGAAAATCAACAATATCCATCATCAGAAAAATCAAATTCACCAATACATGTTGAGTATCAACAACGTAATGATGAACATTTATATCGAAATGATATTCAACTTAGTTCCGCATCAATTAAATTTCCTAAAAATCATTCTGCACATTCATCATCATCATCACAAATTCGACCCATATCTAATGAAGAAGATTTTCCATCGATGACACCAAGTCAACTACATTCAAAATTATCACTTCGAGTACGACGAAAAAAATCAAAACGAAAAAAATCAATTGATGATCAACAACCATCATCACCACAAATTGATGTAGGTATGCCTCGTGAGAGGCAAATAATAACACACAGTATTAATAATTAATATTGATTTAGACAGCTGATATGAATACAATGAGTAATGATGATGAGATTTTGGAAAAAGAACCAAAACAACGACAACGTCGACGAGTATCATTTTCAAGTAGTATTGCACATTATCACATGGAAGAACGACAACTTTTAACTAATTGGCGTGAACGTGTTGCTGCTATTTTAGCAAGCAAAGTTCGTAGATTTCTACAGTGCTAGTCAAAATTATAAGACCAACGTATTTTTCTTTCTAATCTAAAATACCAAGCATTGCATTCAAATAGAAATAGTAGTTTCAATAGTGAATAAAGTTTTTTAACAAATGCATGCCTTGACCGAAATTTCATGGATCGATTATAAGAGTAAAGTTTCTGAAAAACTAAGCATGGTAGTTTTAAAGTTCTAGAAGACTGTGTAGAAATTCTTTTTAAAGAGTATAATTTTTATAGAGCACAAAATCTTGTATAAAATAAGAAGTTATCGCATTGCCTATGAATTTTTCTTAAAGATATCTCTTGTCCATTTTGACCATTTCTGATTCTTGAAAAGGATAAAACCGATCTATATGAAATTTTTACTACAAGGAAACCATTTAAAATAAGAAGATACTCGCTTGAGGAAAACAATTTCAAACAAGATTTTCATAGAACTATATCTGGCCTGCTGACGATCTCTGTGTAATGTTGACCAATCAAGTTGAAAATCTATTTGAAGATACCTTAGACTATACCTCAGATGTAATAATTCTAAGTTTTTTCAAAAATGTCGTTTTCTTTGTTTATGAGAGAAATACGTAGAGGCTCGGACCCAAAATCGAGGTGCTGGCATTCAGAGTTCTATAAATCCGAATAGGAAGGTCAAAACGAAAATGATCGATTTCACTTTTGGAGAATGCTTCCAAGTATTTGTGGTCAAAACTTCAGCTCGTTTGAAGAAAATTACAGGGAATCGTAAGCAGATCCAATGTCGTCCTAGGAAAAACCTTGTTTAGACTTTTTTTTCTCGAACATATGTCTCCTTATTTTAGTTGCTCTATCTAGAGATAATACTTTCATGCAGATCAGTTTTGCCCTCTTCGAAAACCAGAGATAGTTAAAAAAAAACAGGAGATAGCCATAAGGAAATATCATAGAAAATGCAGCAACGCTCTATTTTATTTAGAAATTAGCACTCTTTAATATATTACTCTTCAAAAACAATTTTCCTACAGTTTTCTAGGATCTAAAAACTACCATATTTGGTTTTTCTATTTGATAGTGAACTTCACTTCGTATTCAAACGATTATTTGAATTGAAGCTAAATGCTTCGTACTCAAGATGAAAATACTTAAAAATACGCTGTTCTTATATTTTTTGACTAATAATGTAATTTATGTATTTGAATTTAGCATCGTCAAAATGAAAAATATGCTCATATACAATCACGCGTTAATTCATTTGGTAATTTTGAATATCAACCAAAAAAGATAAAGATTGTACCTGTTAAAAAGCTACCACCAAAAGTATGTTTAAATTAACTAAATTTTCTTGTAATAAAACCAATTTATTTTCATCTAGGTTATTGAAGTAAATGATTTGTCTTGTTTTTTTTTTTCTTTGAAAATATCATTTCTTTATCTTTCTATTAGCAAACAAATGTTGAAGAAAATAAATTTGTAAAACGAAAAAAATTCAAAGTAACACAAAAAAATGTTTTTTAATTAAATTATTTAATTTCATGTAATAAGATAAAAAAACCAAAACCTCGACCAGTGATATCCATTGAAGATCAAACTGATGATGAACAACAACAACAACCAATTCAGTCAGCAAAAGTATGTTGAATAGAAAAAACTTCATTCTCGTTTTAATCGAAATGTTTTTTCATTTTCAGGAGCCGGCACCTCAGTTATTCGGACGACTTTGGTGCCTACCCGACGGAAGTCCGACAGTTTTTCATGAATCTCTCGCATGGAATGTTGCATCAAAATTGAGAAGTTATTCGTATGAAAATCTTAATTTTGAACCCCATCGAAGTGAATTTAAAGTATGAAAAGTTTTTATTTGAATTTCTGTTTTTTTTTCTAAATAAAATTCTCGAAAAAAATAAAGATTTTTAATAAAAAACCCAAATGGAATAGTGAATCGAAATTAGCCGAACTTCGAAAAGAACATCCTCATCGACAACATATTGCTTCAACTAATTTATTACCAATGATACCTGATAGAGGTGAACCATACTTTTATCAACAATCAAGTTTAGAACCTGGCATGGAAAGAAAAGTAAATATTCTGAATTGTAAAATTTATCTTTTATATCCAAATAGATTTTTGACATACAAACTAATATTCAACAATCCGATCTAAGATTACAACACAATTTTACAGATAATCTATCACATAGATCTTATGGTTCAAGACCTTCAGAAATACCTGTAAGATTACTAATTTATTTGAACTTTTTCAGTTCATTTATTATTGTTCTAGATTTTTAATGAAAGACCTGTATGGACAGGAAAATCAAAAATAAAAGATACAACATGGCAAAATATAAATTATCAACCAAAAAAATCCAAAGTTCAAGTAAAACAAAAAGAAACACGAAACTCGAAAATCAAACAATTAATTAAAAAAAATTATGTTTTTTTTTTGTTTTTATTTAAGATTTTTCATAAATCAGTTCATTGGAATAGTGAACCAAAAATTCGAACACGTTCACCATCTACAATTTATCCATCACGAACATCAATGAGTAATGTTCAAGTAAAAATATTCAACTAATTTTATTTTGATAAACATATTATTTTTCATTCTTGTTATTTAGATATTTGATCAAAAATTAAATTGGGATTCTCAAGCAAAAGTACATTGTTGGTCAGAAATTGATCTTCGTCAATTAACAAAAAAGAAAGCAATTTTTGCTGTATGTAGATATGTTTTGTTTTCAATTAGAAAATATTTTTTATTTTTAATTTAGCAATATCATGATCCAAAATGGAATGATATCGTAACACCTCGTGTTGATACAACTAATTATAATTATTCAAAACTTTCAAATCATGTTGAAGTATATGTTTTAAAAAAATGAATTATTTTTTTATTGGATTATTTATTTTTACATTTTAATAGATTTTCTCTGATCGACTTGCCTGGACAAAAGATTCAGAATTAAAAGATTATGTTTGGGAAAATTTTGATTATAAATCACATCCACGAACTCGACAGGTAATCATTAACAAACATAATAAAAAAAGAAATAACATGGTTGCTATGTAACATAAATTATTGTTCACTATGCACTTTTATTTGCTTCACTTTACACATTTTACTTGTCAATGATTCAAAAGCTTTCATATTTACCAAAGAAAATATATACACTTGTATAGAAGAAAAAAAATTACCTATTATTGTAACAAGAGAAAAAAGACGACTGTTAACTAATTTCGTGTAGTGCTCGATTGCGTGTGAAAGTATCATGCAAATAAAGAATACCTTTTAGTTTTGCTCATGGATCATTTTTTTTATTTTAAATGTATTCAAACAAAGCGATTGCTCGTTTCTCGCTGGTTGTATGTTTTTCATAAAGCAAAGAGAAGAAGAAAAAGAGAGAGAAAAATAAACTTTCTTCGCGTCTTTTAATGCTATCGCATTCCTTGTTCCATTTAAGGTTTCTTTTTCTTGACAATTATTAGTTTAAAAAGTTAACGAAAAATATTGATCGACGTTACAAACATATTTTTGTTTTGCATCAAGTTAAATTTGATTTGTTAGATATATTTATATTTGTTCTAATATAAGTACAATAAATAAACATACATACATAATTATAGTAATCTATTTTGCTTTTATAAACAGTATCCATTCTATATTATTGGCTTTTTTTTTTGTTTATAGTCAAAAAATCGTCGACAATTACAAAATATTGATCAGGTGAGTAGTTTTTCTATTGTCATGTCTTCTCCTATGAAATAATCAAAGAAATTAGTTTTAACGATGAGTTAGTTTTTAATTATTTGTAAATATTACCAAATGAAATAACATAAAGATAACCTAATAAACTTAGGACAGTGAAAAATTGGCGTTTGATCTGCGTCTTTCGACTATGTTTATGTCTCAGTTTCGACGTGTGAACGTATGTCATTTTAATTGTGAATGTGATGTGTTTCATTTGTTCTTTTTTTTTTGTTCTAGAGTCCAGCAAATAAACCAAAATGGAATGCGGTAAGCAAACCGCGCAGTGTCAATACAGTTTACAATCCAAAAGTAACAAATTCAACTGTGGTAAATTTGTTTTCTTGTTTGTTTTATTTGCACTACACTTATTATTATCAATGTGTTATTTATTTAGATACGACGAGGATGGGATCAAGATCTTCGCCGAAGACGAGTTCACAAAGTAGAATATATTGATTTTTATGACTTCTAAAACATGTATTTTATAAAAATTTAGTTACCACCATTAAAACGAAAAAGAAAACGTGATGATATACCACAGTTATCTATTGATACTCTTCCACCGTCGTTACCATCGAATGCACAATTAGCTATTGATTATAATTATGATCATTCCTCAACAACAGTACGTTGTTGATAGATAAATTTTAATAATAAAGAAAACAAAACTCATCATCATGTTATCATTTTAGCAAGAACGTACGATTAGTTATGGTTACCCAACAACGTCGTCAAGACGATCAAGTAAAGCGCTTGTTCCAATAAACCATCATCGACATTTGGCGGAGCTTGAAGTAAAAAAAACGTTTTTTTTTTCTCATTTCATATTTATTTATTTTTTTCTTATTCATTTGAAGTTGCTTAATGAAACTCCGCGATCACAACGACCAGTACAACAAGAATGGTATGATGAAATGAATAAATCTCGTTTAACACATGTAAGACATTTTTATTTATTTTTAATTATAATCTTTGTATATTTGCATATACATATATATATATAGAGAACAGATATAGAGCGTATGACAAATCATTCATTTCGAAATTCCATTGATTCGCTTCATCAACCAAATACACCTCGAGAATTAGCAACATTTGTTCGTTATTCATATAAAATAAATTTTATTGAAAAATATTTATAATACTTTTTTTTTTGTAGCGTTCATCTACACGAAATAGTCAAAATAGTGTTATGAGTGGTACATTACTTGATTCAAGTGTTCGAACAAATCGAACAACGGAATTTCGTCTTTCAAAAGACATGGTATATAAATTTTATATTTTGAAGGACAGTCTCTCATGAGGACCAGTTTTGACCTACCGAATTCTTTCCTAGGAAGAAACATAAACATTACCAGGTTTTGTAACGCTTGAGATAGTGAATCTAATCATATATAAATACTGTGGCGAAATCTTAAATTAGAAATACTTACACCTCTTACAAAACTTGGCCATCATCATAAGATTTCTTCGTGTTGTAAGCTAATAATACAGATACTTTTTCTTAAATGTAGAGTTACAAGTCAATGATTTCGCTTATAGTGTGAATAAGAGAGCATAATAAGAACTGTATTTTGGTACTAAAACATTAAACAAATGATTTCTCCTCGAATGGACGGCAAAAACTTTTCATCAGTCCAAATCGATGGCTTCATAGACACTAGCCAATCTTGAGCGCGTTATATTTCAGAAAATAAAAATAAACATTTCACCAAAATTGCAAAGTTAGTAGTGTTCATGACGAGCGGCAAGAGCATGTATAATTTGTCCAGAAAAAGTATGGTCATATATTTGGATAGGTAAAAATGACCATTGTTTAATTGATATTTTTGGTTGTTTGTCATTTCTAGTCAAAGCACATAATATATATTTAGAATCACCATCAACAATTGAGTTGATCTAGATGAGTTTTGAATTGTTAGAACAACTTTTATTCTTATCGAAAAATCTACTCCTGGTTCAGTCAAAATGAGGTAAATCAAAATTTCATTTGCACAATTGAAGACAAGTTCTGATCTTGGAAAATGATAATACAGTACAAAAAAGGCAAACAACTAATAAAAACTAGCGTTATGATTGACTTAATTTTTTGATCAAATCTTGAAGGGGACGAAGAGTGAATTTTTCAACCAAATAAACTTCTCTATAAAATTTGAAACATATCTAAATCAACTCAGCTGTTGATATTGATTGTAAAAGGATTATTTGTTTTGACTAAAAATGTAACAAATCTGACGAGAAACGGCAAATATCATTCGACAACAGTCACTTTCACCTACACAAACAAGTGATCATACCTGCTTCTGAGTAAATTCTAGATGTTTTCGCAGCTTGCCATGTACTATATAGCACTGAAATTTTGACGATATTCTTATTTTATTCTCTGAGACATAAGGCATTCAAAATCGACTAGTGCTCGTAAATTTATCGATTTGGACTTCAAATATTTCTGCTTGTCCATTCTCGGTTCAACAAAAAAATTATTTGTTTAATGTTTTGGTACCAAAATGCAGTTTAAATCATGATCTATTGATTATACTATGAGTAAACTCATTGATTAGTGATTTCAACTTAGAAGAAGCATCTGTCTTTATAGCTGATGCCACAAAGAAACCTTATGATGATGATCAAGTTTGTAAGGAGCATATATATTTCTAATCTAAGATTTCGCGACAACATCTATAGATGGTTCAATTCAAGAACTCAAGTGCTACAAAACTTAGTAAGTTTTATGTTTTTTTCTGATAAAAATGAAGTAGGCTAAAACTGATTATTATACGCTCCTTCCCTCACTTGTTGCTTCACTCGGTCTCTAGCATATAATTTGATGATTTTTAGGATGAACATCATCAACATTCTCATACACCAAGTCAGTCAATGCCTATTGAAATACGTGGTTTTAAACTTGAAGGTACACAATTGAGTGTACCTGATCATGCAACAATTCGTCCATTATCAAATGTTAGTTATGGAGCAAGTGAACGAGTTAAAAGTCGTCGAATATATCCATGGAGTAGTTTACATCCACATAGAACATCAAGTCGAAATAGTTCATTGGTACCTATTGCAGAATTTCGACGTCCATCACTTGAAACAACAATAACTGAAGCTCAACAATTAATTCATGAAGAATAATAATTATTAATAAATATATTTTCAAGTTCTTTCTTTATTTTTTTTTCTATTTCTATTGGCTTTTATTTGTCTGCTTGTACAAATGAGATTTAATTTTATTTATTATTTTTCTTTTGAAATCATTTCAACGGAATTGCAAATAAGCAACACAAAGAAACAACTTTTTTTCATTTAACCAAATGTATTAATATGAAGATCTTGAATTAATTCATGTATATATTTGCTCAAAACAACTAATCGTTGATCTTTTAGTGGACAACTAAGATCTGGTGTTTGTTGTCCATTGTAAGCAACATGAAGTGTTGTACCAAATGAAACACTCTTAATACAAAAAATAGGTGGATATTGATTAAATGGTAGAGCTTGTTCAACAGCTTGAAAGATATTGTTTGTACGAGTTGCTGACAGTTGAATGCTATTTTGTGCCGTGCTTGTACTTGGTGTTGTTGTTAAAATTGGACGAAATCGAGGTGCAACAGTCCATTTGACTAGACCATCACGTTGTAATTCAATTACATAACCAGCAGTATTGGTAGAACCGGAATTAGTAATTCGAACAATATTATTTCCAGTGTTCGATGATACAAACGTGACGAATATGGCAAAAATGATACACGATATCGTAACCATATTGAAATCAAATGAAGTACTAGATTATTGAATTGCAAAGGTTTTCATATATGAGTGATACGACGGTGAGAAAATGAATCAGCTGATGGAATTAATATCATACTTCGAACTTTGTGCTCTTGTAAAATAACTTATCTTGTAAAAATACAAGTACTACGCATCATGTTTTTATGTAAATCTTATTGACATTGGAAATAAAAATACAAAGCCTAAAAAGCTTTTGAAAATTTTCTCAAGGCATTACTCTGTTATAAGTAGAAAAATAATCTAATTGATTATGAATTTATAAAGACTGAATTTACTCACATACAGAATATAAGGTTCGAAACATGTGCTTCATACTTATATAAAGACAGTAAATAATCCCATCAGTTAACACTCTTGCTTCTATTCTTTTCAGATTCTTTTTTTTCTAAAAAATTCATCAACAGTCTTTTTCTATATGTATAATGTAAGGGTCTTATCTGATCTACAAGATTTTGCGAATCAAACCATAATCCAATAGATATAATCTTGTTTGACGAAACAATAAATCACTAATCTGAAAAGAATCTTATATTTGTAGTCTAATTCTTGTGCAACACACAATAGGACTATTCCTTGAATAATTTAATAAGTTTTTGTGTACTTAATCCTCACGGTTAGTATGAATCTGCTAATGCCTTCGTTTTCACTACTATTATATTGTTGAAGTTTCACAGAAAAAGTAAGCGGGAGCCAAACAGTTGTTTGACAAGACATTTACTTTCGGGTGTTAGTGTAAGGGAAGTGACTGCTGAAGGTGTAAATTTCTGTAGAAATGAGGGAAGCAGCTGATGGAGATGTGGGTACTTGTGTCGGTTTTCTCTACATCCACACTCACACCCTTGTTCACCCAAGATTTTCATGCTCTTAAATTGTTGTCTGAATCTTTTTTGAATAACCATGGAGTATAGAATTGCCATAGATACATTTGAATTTTTATTGAAATTCCGAGGTTTTGTTTATTTTGAGTTTTCAGTAGGCACTCTCACATAATCAGAAAACAATAAACACAACAATAGACAAACAGAGCACTACTGCATATCTATAAATATAGATACAACTAATTTATTTTTAACAAAGTAAATATAATTGAATAAAGCAAAAGAATATATATTTGCCACAACCTGATTCACTACTTCCTCGACAATAAAACGTCATAGTTTTAATTTGTTCTTAGAGGAATTTCATATTTCCCTAGATTTCAATCTTCCTTGCAATTCATATAATAATAAAATTTCATCATTGTAATATAGCGACATCTAAATGAAGTAAATATATGATTAGTTATTTTAGAACTCCTTGTTGGTTGATTGTTTATTTGTTTTTTCCTCACATGTATTGTTTTTCCCTGCGAGTACGAATATACTAATAATACGGAAATTGCTTTTCTCAAAAACATCAAGTCTTAAAAATATTTTCGAAATAAATTTCTAAACATGGGTCGTGTTTTTCTTGAACATCTAGGTGGTCAACGTATATTTTCTTGTGCACATTGCGATACACCATTAACAAATCGTAATGAATTAGTTTCAACACGATTTACAGGTGCAACAGGTCGTGCATTTTTATTTAGTCGTGTTGTTAATACAAAGCAAAGTCCTGTTCAAGAACGAGTAAAATAATGTTTCATTATCTAGAAAAGAAAAATTAATAAAGATATTAATTTGAATTTTTCCTAGATGATGTTAACTGGTCGACATTTTGTTCGAGATATAAGTTGTAAAAAATGTGATGTTAAACTTGGTTGGATGTATGAATTTGCAACAGAAGAAACACAACGTTATAAAGAAGGACGAGTTATTCTTGAACGTGCTTTGATTAATGAAAGCGATGGATTTTAAATGAAAAAGAAAAAAAGAATTCTATGAACAGAACTGTTTTTTTTTCTTCTTTTTGTTAATTATTTGTATATACATGTATATGTCTACGAGCAGTTTGGTTTTTTACTCAAACTAATAAACGAAAAAAGTTTAAAACATATTTTTAGATGAGATTTTAAATAAGGACATGTAATGGTGATCGTAAAAGATAAATTAAAGATTAAAATTGTTGAAAATAATAATGAAGTGAGTTCTATTCTAATTGTTTTTTTGTTGAGAATATTGTTTTTTTCGATTTTTATTTGTAAGATTCTTCCAATAATAATACGTGATATTGGAGAAAATTTAAAAGTAGGAGAAGATGTTGCCTTAGTTCGTTTTGATGCATATGCTGATTTTCTTGTACCAAGAAATATTCAAGCAGATGAAATTCAAACCTTAACTCATCTTGTTGGGTATGTAAAAAACTTTGGTTTTCATTTTTATTTGAATGATTCATGTAAATATTTTGTTTTCAGGTCAATCGATAATCAATGTTGGATACTTCCAGCTGTTTATAGAGGATATATAACAAAAATTTTTTGGTTTAAACCACCTTGGGCTCATCAATTTGTTGATGGTGTCTATCAATTACAAGTAGGAAAATGTCAACAAACTGGTCTATTAAAGTAAGTATATGCAATAGAAATGAGTAATTGTTGAGAATTTTTGCAAAGCATTTCTCAATGAAAAAATAATTACTATTTATAGGTCTTATCTTTCTTTTTTCTCATAGAAATTATATAGTAGTTATTCAGAAAAGTGTAGAATATGAGTATTCAAATTAAATCAATTGTAAAATACTCTTATGCTAGTTGCAGATTTTGGTGAGATGAGTTTGAAATAAAGGTTGAAACTAAAAAATCTAATTCTTATTGTAATCATTCCCTAACTTGTACATTACATCAAGTTAATTGATAAAGTCTATGCTAAATATTTTATAAAACTTATGTTTATCTATCTGAATCAAAAGAATATCTTGATGTTTTTTACTTCAGAGTTGCTTCAACACTTCCATATTTCACTTCAAATTGTGTTTATTCATCGATTGATAAACTTTCCAATGTTCATACAGTTGATATTTATGTATCAACAAGTGGATTGGCAAAAAATTATTCAACAACATCAGAAAAAACTACTACACCAATATATGATAATGAAAATGAGAGTGAACTTTTAGATAGTGATAGTCGAAAAAAAGCTAAATTATCAATAAATGACACAAATCATAAAAATTCACCATCATCAACTAAACGCGTCTATGCACTTGATGCAGTATTAATAAATGAATTACTTGCAACGAAACAATTTATAATTGATATTGATCTATCATTTTTTTCAACAGATGATTCAATACGTAAACAATTTGATGAAAATGAATATGAAATTCTTCGTTATGTTTATACACGTATTGTACAAGAACATAGTGATGCAGAAATTTTACAATATATAACAGCACGTTTAACTACATTAGAACAAATACATACAATAATGAATGAATATTTAACGGATCCAAAACAAGATCAACCAATATCTATTGAGTAAATCAAAAATTCAATTAATGTTTTGTTTGATTTTTATTTTTTTCGTTTTTAGTAATGCATATTTAGCTGCATTAATCGCTGTTATTCGTTATAAAAAACTTGATTGGAAATCTATACATAATTATGGCATGCATCTATCAGATACAAGACCACCATTACATGTTTCATCAGAAGGAATGATACTTTATTTACTTGAGTCAATGGCTAAAGTTTTAGAATCAATTCAAAAACATCCTATTCTTATTACTATTTCAAGGTAAATTAACAATTATATTGTTCGAATATATTTTGTTTAATTAGATTTGTACTAAACCACTTGATAGAAACTTGAATTAACCGAATTTCTTTACTATTTGGATCGAAAATATTAAGAATTGTCTTCTGATAGAAGCATTAATATCGATGTTGTCAATGATAGAAACAAGAATGAAAATGATTCATGCTAAATGTTTGTTCACTCTAATGACAATCAATTGCTAGTCAGAAAACAACTATTGGTATACCACGGTAGAATAATCATCACCATACAATAGATGATCATTTAAGTATTAAATTACCGCTGCCATAGGGCATATTATACTAAACAGTCTAGCGAAGGTTTTTGTCCGGTTTCAGTCATACGGAGAGTACGGTGCTACGCTTTTTCAATGTAAGTAAAATTGAGATCATTTAATTGAATGTATTTTTATTTAGAATATTAACGAGGAAATCACTTTAAGCTATTTATCATTTGAAGATAAATTCATGGGAAGCTAGTCTTAGTTTTGTTCTTTGAGAAACATCATAATTTTTAAATTGGCATTCCACTATTTGCTAAAACTTTTGATGATTTCTATCACATTCAACTTGAAAAATATGCTTTTATGATCGTGCATTCTAGAATTCTTCAAGAAGCTTCATTAGAGCGAACAGCTTATTAAAATCTAAGGCATGTCAGAATGCCTTATTTTAAATGAGCTTTGTTTTTAATTATATATGTAAACAATTATATAAATAGACCTTTGTTTTTAGAAAATTTTTTGTGAAAACTCCAACTTGTCACTCTTTTCTTTTCACGTAACAATTAAAAATTTTAAAAAGAGGTTTCTGTCACGCCTTGTATTCTGACGTGTTCTTGCAAACAAAATCTAATTAAATATGTAGGATGAAGATCGATAGAGAATTTTTATATTGTCAAATGAACTATTTTGATCTATGTTTGGTGAATATCTCTTTCAAACGTTATAGTATGCAGCTGAAAATTTTAATATAGTCTGTGCACTTAAGTTCCTACGTATCGCGAAAATTTTGGATGATTTGAATGTTCTTCGTACGAAATCGGTTTTTGAGTCGGGTGAAGATGACCTAACTAGGATCCATTTCCAAATATAATTCACGGCATTGATTTTTGAATAAATTTCGACAGGAACATCATAGAGACTTGCAGTTTTCACCATTCAAGACGAAAGATCGGGGACTATCGAAATGTATGAAGATTTGTTTGGTCAGCAATTGACTAATCAAGTGAATTTTTTATAGGAATTTTCCAATATGATATTCTGCCGGTATTTATATTTCGGTGTAAGATTGGCTGACATGCTTAGCATGTTCTGCTTGAGATTTATAATTCTTTTCTTCAAACTACCCGATTTCAGCTAATTGATCTGTGATCACGCAGAAAAGCGATTAGGCAAGGATAATTCATTTTACTGAGTCGAACAATGATATTTGTTTATAACTTCGCATTGATCTGACTCTACTGTATCAATATTTCCTAGATATCGACTCCTTCGTTACATGAAGACTGATTGTGGAATTTCAGAGATATGGAGATAACAGAGTCAAATAATTTAAAACCTAAAAGCAAATGTTAACATTCGACTTAGCATGGTAAATTACTCCTGTCTAGCCGCTTTTCCTGATGATCACAGGTTAATTGACTCAAATCGAAGGTCACAGGAAAAGCCCTATAACTCTCGAACAGAACAAGCTAGACCTGTCGGTGCATAGCTCAAAAATGAAGAATTTTGTTTTTGATCGATTGATCGCATTAAAGCGTTAAATCCAAGCAAGAATAATTTTAGAATATCATTCTCGATATACTTTGATGATTTCAGATGTTCTCTCTTGAAATGTGAAAACTGCAGATTTCTAAGGTGTTTCTGTCAAAAATTCTTCAAAATAACAATGGAGTACATTGTATTTTGAAATGGATAGAAGTTTTCCATGATTAATATTCAGTCGAAATATTTAACGTGTAAACGCCTTCGATTTTTTGATCGTTTCTGAGCTTTGATCAATTTTTGAACACTGAATATCTCAAGAATAAAAACAATCGTGTTAAGTAAAATCTCAGATCTAATGATTTTTTTAGATGTGTTGATGATGGTTTTTGTTCATTGGAACAAGCTGATTTAATACAATTACATGTTGAAAAAAAACTTCGAAGACTTTATAAAATCGATGAAATCGTTGGAAAAAGTTTATTAAAATCATTAACCAATGATGATAATAATGACGATGAATATAATGATGAAGATAATCAAGAAAAAAAATCTCTCACAAAAACAAATGATGAACATACTCGTCGTTTAAATATAAATACAACAAATGATGATAAAACTATTCATTCGGAAGCAACAAATAAAAGTGTAACAACAAAAAATGACAATGATGTTACTAATTCATCATCAATAAATTTAACTAATCAAAAATTACTTTCACCATCAAAATCAAATTTATCACCAGGTGAAATAAAACATACATCACCATCATCACTATCCGAAACATCTCCTATATCAAACTGATTTTTTTTTCTTTCTTATTTGTTACGTGTAAAAGATTATGGGATTTCATTTATTTGTTTTTTTTTTTTTTTATATTCATTTATCATCATTAAAAATGAAAGAAGAAAAGTCCAGAGCTTAGCTCTCTGTATATGTGAGTTTGTGTGTTTGTTTATGGTTTGTATTTCGAAATGCAATCAATGTATTGTATTTTTCTTTTCTTTTCTTTTCTTTTTTTTTGCAATTTATTATTATTTCTCATCGAATGATATAATACATTCTTCATTTTCGTTTGTAAATATTTCAAAATGAGATACTTTATATATATTCTAGATTTGAAACAATAATGACAAATAATCATTCGAATATAGAAGTATGTAGTTAGTTGAAGGTATGAGTTGATGTGTAGAAAATAGATTTATTTATCGGTTTGTTTCTTTTTTTTCTTGGCTTTAACTAGTCATTACGTACAGTTAAATCTAATGAACAACGTTTAAAATCACTTGATGAATATGAACGTGAAAAACAAAATAAAAAACGTTTAATAAAAGAATCATTAAATAATCAAAGTAAGACAAAACATTTAAAATTTGATTCTGATAATGAAGATGATCAACCGAAAGAATTTGTTGAAAAAAAATTTCAATTATTTGATGATAATGAAATATTAAATGTTGATGAACATTTTAATCAAAAATCTCTTACAAAAAAAAAGAAAAAATTACAAGATCTTCAAGCACGTTTAACAACAACAAATGATCCACGATTTAAATTGTCAGAACAATTTCTTGATGATCATCATAAAACAGTTGTTGATGATGATGAGGATGATAATGATAATGATAATGATAATGAAAATAATAATGATATTTCAATTGAAGAAGAAAAAAAGAACTCTCTTGCAATACTTGATCAAATAACAAATGCTAAATCTTCTATATCAAATATTAAATCATCTATAGCAAAACCTAAAACAAAAATGATTCGTTTTGATCCCAGTAAAACTGAACATAGAATTTATGAACTTGATTCAGAAATTGGAACTTCTGGTGATAATTTTAATACTTCAGAAGATATTAAACCAAAATCAATATTAAAACAAACTAAGGAAGCAATACCGATTATGTAAGTTTAATAGTTGCATAGAAATAGAGCCGGTCGGTTTCAAAATTTTCGGATTCAAATCCGACTGGCTATCCATCACCGACTGTTAACTTTGAATTGATACGAAAACCTTAAATAATTAAATCGTTTTACTTTTCGTATTATAAATTTATTTGTTTTGTTTATTATATGAAGTGATTCAACACGAACCTATGAATTCGATGAAACCAAATTAAAATCAATGTTTAATAAAACATCAAATTTAACAAATACTTCGAGCGAGAATGGTGGATTTCAATTTCAGTTTTTTAATAATAATGAATCCGTTACTTTACCTACACCAAGTTCGTTTAATTCATCTTACTATTCTAATAGATGAATAAATGTGACTGATTTTCTATTTTTACAGAAATATCCTCATTACCAAAACCAATACCGAATGGAAAATCGAAAATATTTTTAAATAAAGCCGATGATACATCCAGTGATGAAGATGATAATGAAAAACCATCTCTATCAGAAGAGTAAATATTACATGCAAAATAAAAATATTGTTTTCTTTTTTCTTCAAATAGTAATGAAATAAAAGATCAAATAACTAATGAAACATTCTTTTTCTTTGATATTGATGATCGATTAAAAGGTAAAATGAATTAGTTTTTCGTATAAAATTAAATTTAAAGTTTATATTTTTATTTTTCTCAAAATTTAGATGGTTTAGAAAGTTTTGTGCGTACTGAAGATTTAAATGAACTTGAACGAACATGGCCAACAAAACGAAAAGAAATAGGCGAAGTAAAATATTCTACTTTATTTTTGTTTTCTTTTAAATGAACATTTTTATTTAGGCTCTTCGAACAAAACATCGTAAAGCTATACAATGGAAAGATAAGCATCGAGTATTTAATCATCGTCGTCGACAAAAACAATATTCTAAATCGAATATTGACTAAACCTTTAACTTTCATATTATCATTTCTTAAAAAAAAAGAGAAATTAACAGTAATTTGTTATTCACTGTTTTTTTTTGTTATGAGCAAGTGAAGAATTGTTAGAAAACTTTGTCTTGCTTTTCGTTTTAGATAGAATGTTTTTTCCATCTGAAGCAGGTTTACCTTCGGGTATGGGAGGTCGTCGACCAGGTGCAGCTCGTTCTACTGAACCACCAACAAAATGGGATTATATTAAAACATTTTACTATGATCCAGTTAAATGGTAAAATTTTATAAAATAGAAATAGTTTCAAAATTATTTTTTTTTGTTCTATGTTATAGGGATTTTGTCAAAAGTGTTGGATTTTTCGCTATTGCAGTTTATATGATTCGAGATTTTGCATCGAATGATCTTCTTCCAATGGATTAGAACAATACTTGTTTTTCTTTTGTTTGACATAAAGCAGTAACAAACAACAAAAATAAAATCATCTTTTTTTGTGGTTATTGAACGCATTTTAACCATCTTTATAGAATCTTATAATGAAATATGAGTCTTTCCAAGCAGAACGAGACTTGTCTACCTTGGATTCTTTATAAGGATTATTTTTCTGAAGAAATTCTTTTAACATAAATTAGTGATGAGCGGAATCGATTGTTTTTGGTTCTGGCGCGAAAAAAGTTTTAGTTCTAGTTTCGAGGTTAATAATACATAAACTAGTGAAAATATGATACCATTTTTTAGCATTTTCAATGAACTCGAGTCATCGTGCACGAGTTGCATGATCTCTAATACTTTCTTTGTTTGAGATTCATTATTAATTTTAATAGTAAATATTGAAGTGATCGTTACTCGGTAATTCACGCATAAATTTTTAGAACACACGAGTCATGAGAATATGACATTTCACGCAAGTCTTACATGACTATAAAAGATATTCCACCCAATGAAAAATTGTTAATTCTGGTTCTGAGACAAAACAGAAAACTTCAGGATACATTAAGGCATGAATTACCTGTATAGCGAAACTTTTACCAGGATTAGACTCTAAAAACCATTCTACGGAAAACTGGTATTCTTAAGATCCTGTTGGACTTCTTATTTGGTTAAAAGAGCATTTTTTCATAAGCCTTTGCGTCGCTGATGAAAAGTAAATCCGTGTTATTATGAAAAATCTAAACACGCTCAGAAAAAGCTTTCAATAGAGATTTTTTAGTCCTAAGAGTTGTCTACAGAGTGTACCATTTAGTTTTCAAAAATGCTACCTCTATTTTGAGTTTTTTAAACTAAAATAAATCTAATGAAAGTAGAAATCTTTTCTAACGTTAATTTTTTACTAATAATTCTTCTGAACAATTGTCTCCAGTGCTATTTTTTCCAGAGTACCTTGAGCATATTAATATACATTGAACAGAATTTCGTCCGAATGTTTGAAGTAATAGTCCAAATTTCAGCTATTGAAAGATTGTAGAATAATTTGTCAAAAGAAATCTGGCGTCGGAGTTAAGCATAATATTGATGTGGACGAAGAAATAGTTTTCAACAAAAAAACAACATTCACTTAAGTCAAATTCCTTTGGTTCTGTTTATACCATTAAATAACATAGATGCCTATTTTTATTTTTTCAACAACAACAAAAAATAAATAATATAATTTCACAGACGACATAACAATCTTCTCAACCAAACGATATTGGATGATCTGTAGGAATAATTCCCGAGTAATTAGCATGTGACAATGGACACCCATCTCCAGTATGTCCACCAGTTCCCCACCATGTTGGAAATTCTATTCCATTATTTTGCAATAGAAAAAAGATGATCAATACACCAAATGCTACACCACAATCCATGGCTGCCGAAAAAACATATGCATATCGTCTCCACCATGATCGTGCATATCGGATGAGTATAAAGTTGAAAATAAACCCAGCTAAAAGCCACGACGGATAATTGCCAGCTGGAGCTGGTGGTATCATTGATGTCGCTGATAACATTATCGGAAGGTGAATGTATTTCAACCATTTAACATGAGGAAATTTTTTCGTAAGAAGCCAAAATGGTATAGGAAGAAGAGCGCCAAGGAGAAAACCAAGGAGCAGTGGTGAATAGATAGATCCTTTGCCAAACATTCTAATTGGACCTAAGTTACACGTATTATAAAAAAAAAATGAAATAAAATTCAACAGCTACAGATTTCAATAGAATTTAAGACTTCGAAGTGTCAGAAAAAATATTCAATGTTCGTTTTTTTTTCTTCAAATTAATTCAAAAATATAGACAACAAAATTTACTTACCAATAGCTCCCCATATAATAGATGCACTAAAAAATATATTAGCATTAGGACATGTCCATCGGGTATTTCGTGGTGTACAAATATTTGGAATCGTATTCATCAAATAGTTCGCTGTTAGATAATTTACAATGCCTGCTACAATGGTACCTATTAATTGAGTAGCAAACATTGCACGTGGTGGAATCTAAATATAATCATTTAGAACTTTATTATTAGTTATACATATCATACCTTCATATAATGACCTAGTTTTAAATCAGAAATTAGAAGTAGAGCTTGATATTGTGTAATATATCCGTAAACTTTAAATGTCACATTTGCTAATGGATCGCCCGGAATGACAGTGCCAGCAACAAATTCAGTAATAACATTAAGTCCTGAATAAAAAATCAAAATACTACAAAACAATTAGAAAAGAAAAGCAACAGTTATTTACCAATTGTTTGATTGGTAACAGCTTGAACAATACCAGTAGGTAGAACAAAAATAAATGCAATTGCAACAGCAACTGAAATATACAAAAAAAATAGAAAATTAGAAGAAAGAAAATGAAATCGAGATCAATTCATTTCATTTTTGCTTTTTTTTTAATGTTAATAAAGTAGACATGGTCCGGTTCGAGTCACTCATTCAAATTAGTATTAGTAGATAATTTCAACATCAAACTTAGCCTCAAAAGAACTTAATGGTTTTCTGCAAGAAAAAAATCTAACTGGTGATCTTATTTTCCAAAAACAAAAATTCGTATTAATCTTCTAATAAATTTGCTAGATTAGGATCAGTAGAACATGTGTTTTCTCAAAGCAGTATTTTAACGATATCGGATTGTTCAAATTTTCCTAAGCTTATATTTGTATTTTCACATCTTGAGAGTACAATTAGCCAAAAGATGAAGGACTTGCGAGACTTCAATACTCTGATGTGTGAGTGAAGTACCAATGAAGTTTGTACTTTCTCTTTCGAAGGAGTGGTTTAGAATTTCAGGAGGGGCAAATACCTGTTTTTGGGAGGACAGAAACAATATGATTATTAAAAATAATCAGAGAACCCGAAAGAGCTCACCTGATGCTTGAAGGAGTGCTGCTTGTACTCTAGATAAAACACTGCATTTATGACTGATAAACTATTTATTATTTATTGGAAAGATCTATAAACTTAATTCAACTTACGAAATAGATAATACCATGGCATTAATTGACCAAAATGACAAGCAATAATAGCAAGACAGAACGCTATAATAAACAAAATGGTATACCTAAAGAAAAATCATAATCAATCTTTTGTTTTTAGAAATCGTCTCTATACATACCACCATTCTGGTGCTTCACGATAGCGAGACATAAGTACAGAATGAATATCATGATGATTGTCTTTTAGAGACGATCGAAATTGTTTCATTATTGTTTTGCCTGTATATCATCATTCATGTTTAGTTTTCTTCAAAACAAAAAAAAAGAAACAATGTTAACTTACCATGGTACAATATAGTATGAACAATAACTGCTGCGATTGCAGCAAATGATATACCATACGAAAAAGCAAAAACAGCTGGCATTCGAAGTTCACCTTATAAGATAATTTTATGTAATAAAATTTATCAGATCTCATTATCTGTTTACAAAGTAGCATACCATATTCTTTATAAGCAGTTTCATTGAGACGCATTTGTGAATTGAGTACAGCAGAAACATTATAGAAATGACCATCTGCAGTAAAAACACGAGTACTAATAATTGGCATTGCTTGTGAACCCCATAGATTAGAATAATATGCCATAGGTGCAATTATCCATGCTAATAAAACGAAACCCATTAATATGTTAATTTGAGCCCTATATAAGCATAAACAAAAATGAAATTTATGTATGAAAGAAAACACGAGTCTATTCAGTTATTTCACTTTCCAGAATGGAACAATTATCGGTGAACCAAGAAATGCAACCCATGCATTCCAATCAAATTCTATTGAACCTATACCAAGTCCATTAACTCCAGTAAGTTGTGAAAGAACAACATTATCTGGTTTAATCATACATATCCAAGAGAAAAGTGAAAGAACAGGGAAAATATAACCAGGAAACCAATACCATAAAAATTGACAAAATGATGCTACGAAAAAAAATCGAAGACGTGACATTTTCCAACGTGATTCTTTATTTGCTTCGTCGTTGTCACCAATATCTTTATCATCATGTAAGGTTCGAAAAAGAGTACAATTGACAAGATTAGCCGGCCATACCATAGCTGCTGGCCAAACAAGAAATTTTCGCATAATACCAGCTATGCCATAACCTAGAACTTGTGATGTAATAACAAAAAGAATACCAATTATTGGATGAATTAGGCGTTTGTAAAATAAGCGTAATGTTGTTATAACATCAATAGCATATGCTGTACTCTATAGAATATGAATTATGTTGTCTTTTTTTTTTTGCTATTGTATATTAAAAAGAAACTTACACATGTTGCATTAGCCATTGCTGTTATAATACAATGTTCTTTCATAGTAAATGGACCTGGATTAAGAGTAAAACTCCATCGAAAAATTTTATATTTTCGATTTGGTAACATTTTAGCCATTGCTTTACCTAATGGATATGTTAATAATTGAGCAACAAGAGTACCAACAAAAAGTGGTGATGTTCGATACCAAAAAAATTGATTTACAAACGAAAGAAGACATGTAAATAGAAGACCAAGAAACCATGACCGAAATGTTAAAACTAACATAGAAGGATCATCTGTATTTGAAACAGTTATTTCTACTTCTTCATCTATTATTTGTTCATTTGCATTAGTAGAGAATGGTTGTGTTGAAACTGTAGAATCTTGTCGATCATCAATATGAACTGTTGAACTTTCTTTACTAAATGTAACCTGTAAATCATCTGTATCAGGTTCAATATTTGAAAATTGTTCTAAATCAATATTAACAATGTCTTCATCATCTTCTACAAAAGCTAAATTGTCTTCACTGTGTTTTGTTTGATTTTTTTTATGTTTTTTATGATGCGTAGTTTGGTAACTAGGCGTAATAAACCGTACACGATTAGTTGTCATGTTGAATATCAATTAATTATTTATACCTAGAACTATAAAACAATGCCATATTTATTTTCTATTTTCCTGTTTCAAAATAAGAATGGTTCTTTTACCAAAAAAAAAAAATATTCAAATAACAGCCTTAAAACCATGTATATCGGAAGTAAGCTTGAATTATAATGAAATAAGGAGAGAAAAAGAACCAAAAATAAAGAAAGAAAATATATATAGGACAAAAAATAGGAAAATAAATTATTTTAGAGTAGCAAGAATGAGCTGACGAAACGATCACTATTAAAAATATATAAGTGATTCTAAATTCAACAGAAAATGATTACACAGGCAATTTTAATCAATAAAATCATATCATCAAGTTAAAAACAAAATAGTTACATTTTTTAATAGTACTACTGATTTCTTAACGATAAAAATAGAAAATGTAAAAAAAACGAGGAGAGAATACTGATAAAAAGTTTCTAAATTAAACACACTTAATAATCCTCGCTTTATGTCAATTTCGATGATTGATTATTCATCATTAAATCATGACTATGAGGATCTATTGATCTCGAATGACGAATAGCAATAAGAAAAAACCGTCATCCATGAATGAATATCACTAGTGGTTAACAAATAGTGTAAAATGTTTGAAATTAGTCGGCTTAACTATCATAATATATATATACATCATTTTTTTAAATTTACATGCAAAAATTTTAATGAGATTTTAATAAATTTTCTTTTTATTTTTTATTCTATATGAATACTAATTTCTTCCTATGTAATTTAGACTTACCTTATTTTATGTTTTATACATTTTGTGTTAACTCATCTGTAAAGAGTCGACTAAGTAATGCAAACGAAAATGGCCACGTTGTTTTTTTTTTATAACGTATGATTCATTTATTGCTATTTATTTCTGATATACAAATCATCGTTCGAAAAGATTATTTGTTCTCAAGACAAACAAAAACCACGTCATGATCATTTATGCTCACTAAAAATTACAATGTTTAAAAATATTGAATGCTTGAATAACAACGAACCTGCTAAATACGGCATGTGCCTATATTGTATATGTAAACTTGAATATTATAGAACAAGAACAGAAAAAGAAAAAAAGAACAAGCAAAGAAAATTGTGCCATCGAGAAAACGGCACTATTGCAAAATAACGAAGACGTGGGTGTCGATGAGAGTTACCAATGATAGAAGAAAAAGGAAAGAAAGGAAAAAAGCGGCCTGGTAATAAAACCATCTCGGTAGAGTTTTTCTGTATGATGATGTGCTGCTAGATTCAAATTATTCTGTTTCACTAATAATAACATATAAAATATCGTCAACTATCAGACAATAATTCAATGTAGTACACTCTCATCTGTGTCTACAAATTTTTCTATAAATATTTTTCTTCAAATGTTTGTTAATCGTCATAATTTTTGCGGATTATTTTTGATGAAAAGTTATATTTTTCCTGAACTATCCATTATTTTGACGTACATTTTTCTCCTTATCATCTGTACGTGAGAAAAAAGAAATAATAAATTTGAATGTTCGAAAGTTTATCTAAGTATTCTTTGATAATAACTAAATATATCGTAACGTGATATGTTTACTAAAATTCATATTATTAACCATTATTAACAGTATATTCTCAGTTCATGTATATATCCAATAATATTAGTAGTCAAGAAAACATTGCAAAAGTTTCGAACATCATTAATAAAGTCTTCTAAAGTAATATTTATTTTATAACTTATCTAATAAAAAAAATATATAATTAATTAAGATGTTCATGAAAACCTCACATGCTTTTAGTTGGGAATTCAAAGGGTTTTTTTGATTGGCTTTTTACGAAATATAAATCCTCTCATAGAAATGCTTTTCAATAAAATAAAAAAATATTTTAATAAAGCTCAAATAAAGAAACATCATTTATCAAAGGCGTTATGTTTGTGTACATACATCTTTATGAAATCTTGCAATGACATAATGAGTTTCTGATAATATTGCATATAACTAGAATTTTTTTAATTATCATGGCATTTTCTAATAACTTTTTACGCCAATGCACACAGTCATTAAATATTCTAGTAAACGAATGAACTCATTTTGAAGAAAGAGGGTGACGAATTACCGCTGTCATAGATGAGTAAATAGAAGTTCGCGTTCACTGATCAATGTATTGACTTAGAGTGAAGATTATATAAGTTCTTCAAGTGTTTTGAATTGTTATTCTGTAGTCATGATTCAACTGAATCCTTATACCACTACTGAAGCCATGTTTTCTGTCCATGTCATAAACTATCTTGAGCCAATACGATAAGAATTCCTCACTGAAACTTCGTCGTGCTTCCTTTCTACATTTGACTATTAACGTTGTACACTCTGCTGACCGATATCCAACAATGAGGCTTAAAAATTTTACTACATGTCGTTAAAACATGTATATCACTGCCTTTGCTGGAAAGATTTTTTCTTCGCTTTTGTCGACGATGAATAGTCACTTGATGATTATTTTCTACTACATTAAATGTCATTGAGTACTCACAGATATTTATGGCAGGAAGTTTGAACACAATTTCGTTGTTCGTACAGATGAAAACGATTTGTTTCACACACCGATGTATTTAGTATAGACACAACATGGATGTCATCTCATGATATTACATATTCTATTGTAGGCTTGATGAAAAAGATTCTTGATGTTTTGCAGAGTTCCAAAAAATCTTCTAACCTATTTCTCTTTGTTCTTTTTTCTCCATCTCTTACTTTTTTCTTTTTCTTTCTATTTTTTCTTTGTCGCTTTTCTCTTCTACCAATCTGCATAACTAAACTAAGGTGCTTTCAAGACGGCAACGATCAAAAGACAATAAAAATGCTTTAGAAAAAGACAAAAAGTCATTATAGAAAGAGCGAGAGTGGTTTTTAGTTTAGAAAAGTATTTTAGTTCGTGTAGTTTTTGTTGAATAACTTATTTACTTTGTTGGCCTATTATTATTATTACTTTTTCAAGGTACTACTAATGAGAAATTTGAATGA